ATCTAATACATCTAGTATTAAATTCTCTCTAGATTTAATAGGATTCTAGATAGTTTAAATTATTAATATATCAGTTTGGTTATTTCAGGGTAACTTTAACAGGGATTTTATTTACTACTAAGTAGGATTTTTAGTTATTTCTTATAGTACTTAGTTTATTATTCTAGTTAGGGTTAATTTCTTTTCCCTTTTTAACTATAAAAATAGATTTTCCTTTAATAAGGTATTATATTTCTGGTTCAGGTACTGGCATTTATTTGAGTTTAACTTCTGCATCTTATTTTACCTTTAGTCTTTATTGTTTTTATTATTTATTTTCTTTTCTTCTAAATTTAGGATCTTCTTATCTTTTTGCATTATATGCTCTTTTCTTAGCTTATTTTTTGCTTTTACTTTGCATATAGGTTATTACTATAAGAGCTAGGTGTCCTAAGATAGGTTATTATTCTAGTTCTAGATATAGGTAATATCTCTTAAGGGTTTCTTCTTTACTAAGGAATAGATCTTAAATATTAAGAGATAGGTTAAAGTTCTTAATATATTTTATTAGTTTAGTTATATTATAACCATCTTTATAGATTATATTAATAGTTCTGATTACTATTTAGGGTTTTTTATATTTCTTAATTATACTAATCTTCTTATTTTCTAGGACTAGTCTATACTTCTGGTTAATCTTAATAGGGTTCTTATATTCTGAATTATAATATCCTTTCTTACTGTAGTTTTAGCAAGTAATTTTAGATTTATCTTTCTTAGTTATTCTAATAATTATTAGTTTAGAATTAGTACTATAAGAAGTATTATTATTTTATTTCTTTCCCTAGTTAATATTATAGTATAGCTTATTTCCCTAGTATCCTTAGTTATTTTAGTTATAGCAGATTCTCTATTAGAATTATATATTATTAACCTTAACGGCTCTGCTAATATAGTTAACTAGTATCCTTAGTCTAGCTTCTTTATAGAGTTCTACTTAAACTATTTCTTTAAGTCTATTAAAAAAGAGCAATATAAGGGGTTCTTAGTCCTATCCTAGCTTAGTAGCTAGTTAAAGAAATTTAGTTCTATACTCTAATATAGATTTAGTTTATTAAAGTACTTTAATCTTTCTTTCTACTTAGCTTTTTTTATTAACTAACCTAAATACTTATTATATAGCTTTCTTAAATTTAATATAATTATTATAAATTTAAAAAGTTCTAGGTAGCAGTTTATCTTTTAATATAGTAGTAATTACTTCTAATATAGGTTAAAACTATTAGGCGGTATTACCTTTAAGATATCCTAATATATATATAACCCTATTACTATTATTAGTAAACTAGTTTAGAAAGTAACTTATATAGGCTTAGTATTAAGTAAAAAAGGTAGCTAGTTTAGCAGGGTTTCTATTAAATAGTTTAGATATATTAGGTTTAAGAATTTCCCCTAATTCTTTCCTATTTACTATAGTAGCAGCAAGTTAATATATTTCCTAAATCGCATTTTAGTAGTTAGCGGCCTACTATGCCTAGAGTGCAGCAGCTTTAGCTAAGGCTTATCTAAGGTTATCTATTTCAGTTATTATATTAGTTATCTGCTAACAGAGCTAGGCAATATCAGAGTCAGTGCTACTCTCAGAATTATTATCCATATCCCGATCATTATTAACAGGTGCTAAAGCAGCATAAGATACAGCATATTACTATGCAGGGTTAATATAGGCAGCTATTACATTTATATTACTTAGTATTATGCAGTATAGTCTAAATAAGAGCTATTAATATATAATAGTTAGGGTCTAACTATATTAAACTAAGCCGTGCTAGGTTTATTATTAGCAGATTACATAGGGCATAATACTAAGCTTATCGGAGTGTTATATCTCTTAATAGTAGATTTAATATATATTAGGCTTAATTAATATAAAGAAGTTTTATTAATAGCTAGTAAGCTAAGTTCTATCTAATACTAAATAAATATATATATACTTAATTATAAGGGTACTTAGTGGTACTTCCGTTAAGGACCAAGATGTTATTCTTTCAGTCCTAGACTATTATTGCAATACTTCAGTCCTATCGTAACTAATTAAAGTGAATAGACCGAGAAGGATCTATTTAGTCCAGTTATAATTAGTGAGATTTGTAGGGAAATTTATAGGGTACACGTGACGTAACCGCGAGGGTCGTAACAGTAGTCTAGTGCATTACAATATGTTAAATAGCTGTAGTAAGAGCGTATTAAAGAGATTATATATAGATAAAGGCAGAAGTACTTGCCTTTTGTTAATATTTATAACTAGATACTTAAGATAGAATCTAGCACTAATAAAAATAAAACTACTTAACCTAAGTATAGCTAAGTTAAAGAGATAATAGTTAAATTATTAGAACTTTTATTTTATATTAAAAAACTACTTATTAAGGTACTTAGGGCTTAGGGTAAAATATTTAAGATTTTTAAGAATACTATAATATTTATTAAACTATTATTCCCTTACTCTGCTTACTTTGCCCTTATACTTAATAAATCTGTATCCTTTGGCTTATAAAGATGTACACCACTGCTTCCCCAACTTTATAAATAAGTAGAACAAGAAAAGCTTAGACCCTAAATTATATTTAATTTGGAGGATATTTTATAAGTTATCCTACACTTGCCTAAACTTCTTTAAATCTTAGGACTGAGACTCTAAGCCTTATTAAAGTTCCCCATGGTGATGTAAGCTATCAGCCACATGTCTCAACTGGAAATAATACTTCTGAAAGTCTTCTCGTCCAATGCCCCCGAATCTAATATCAGACTCGATATTGGAGTCACAGAATCCTACCCCCCAGCAATTGGCGAGGTTAAGACTTATGGCTAAGAGCTTATAATTGCCACAGCGAAGTTAGCTAACCCCATAACCCAATCACCCAAACTTTTAACCTCGTGCACAAAAGAAATTTCTACAACTCTGAAGCTATTGGATATTGGCTTTTCGCGATTGAACTATCATTCAGGGCCCCCACAGTGGCGGCTCGGCGAGTATAAAATAGCCGACTGTTCTCCTTTTTTTTTCTGACCTTTCTCTCCCTCTTATGCGATCATTGCCTACCCAGGCACATTAATGAGAAACAAACTATAGGAACCACAAATTAAGTAAAATACGTCAATATGTTGATGCGGTGGCTGTACTAATTGTTTTGCCGCCAAACACGGCCAAACCGCAATGTTTCTGGTAAGTCCGTTCTACTTCTTGAACGATTTAGCGCTAATGTCTGTCTCAAGAAAACACAACTATCGATGAGATTCTTGAGACGATTGTTCATGGCGCCCATGACAAACCGAATGGGGAGGTCTGCACAAGCACTGGAGTCCCAAAGGTGAATATTCATAATCTCCCTGACAAGCCGAATGACGAGGACTGGACCAGCAGCATAGTTCAAGAAGTTGTCGATCGAGGCAAATCAAACGTATTGAGAGAAATGACAGAGGTTATCAACAAATCAGACAGTCATCTTTTGAACCTCCCAGATGAGATCCTCTTGCTTATTATCAAAAACCTATATGAGGGATCCGACAAGCCCTCACTATTTGCGTTTTTCGTTCTTCGCCAGGTGTCCCAAAAGTTCAGAGGCCTCATGAGAGACAATAATTTTCTGTCCCATGTCTTCTCTGATCGAGGCTGCTGCGAATGGTGCACAGGGGGGTTCCGGGGGAAATGGACACGCATAAAACCCTCGCCCTACGAGCTGCACTGCTTCAAACACAAGATAAAAAAGGTTGGCATAGACATCGAAGGACTGGGAGGTCTCATTAGGATGGAACGAATCTGCAAGACGTGCCGACCAGAGTTTGAGTCTCGGCAACGAACAGGCGTCTCCCTGGATTGCAAGTTTGCAGCACGGACTGGCCAAGACTGGATGTACTGTTGGGCTTGCAAAGTTGAGCATCCAACCCTATGTTTTTCAAGCGAAGAGGCTCGAAAGCAATCAAATCGGGTTTGCATTGCCAGGACAGGCTATATTCGTATATGCGCCCATGAAGTATTATCTTGGGACGAGTTGCAAGCATCTCTTGGGTACGGACAGGGCGTATTCACGACGTTCAAGAAAGTTTGCACGCATTCAAGCCACCTTTTTCATCACAATGACGAGCGACAGCTACCTACCGCTAAGGCTCAAGGGAACAAAACCATCTGCACTCTTCACCTATCGTCTGGAATTCACTCAAAGGAAAGTCTTAATGAAACCTACTGCCAGGGAGACGGAAGGAGCGACAATGTTGAATATCGGAACCATATATTACCACTTGGTATGACGCAGATGGCACGGGAGTCTGAGGGGAAGAGTCCGAGGGTACATGATGAGAAAATGGCGGGTCAGACAGCATCGATTTCTTGTGAGCATTGTTTGGAAGACTATGAGTGCCTTCAATTTCGCTATACACGATCAATATTACCGAATGCGTCAGCACACAACCTTCCGGGACACAGTTGGTACCATGCAATCAGCCCAGAGTCTTACTCGTATGCTGGGCCTTGTGGTGTACCAGAGACCTGCTCTGATCCTTTATGCCGAAATTATTACTCTTCTGGGCTTCGCTATCGGCATGCTGATTATGGGAAAGCTAAAGGATATAATCACTTATGGAGGACAAGAGGTAGTATGTATTATTAACATTAAGGCTCCTTTTATTATGAGTTAAATATAATTATTTAAAATAATCAATTAAATTATATCTTCAAGCAACTAAAGTTTATATGTTTTATTTCTATTATTATAATTACTATACCTTCAAAGTAGTTCCGAGGGTAATTAAGCTTCCTTGTTTCCTTTGTCCTTGTGGCGGCTAATGAAACGATGGTCAAAATGCTGTGTGGCCTGAAGCATTAGGCACCAACTTTGTACCATCCTTCTGTACCGCTGATTCAAACTTCTATCTTTCACGACTTTTTTCCTTTTGTTCATAACCCCAAAGCTGTCCATGAACAGATATTACCGCAGCCATGCGACACGATCTAGCCTACTGGCAAGTGCACGACACTGAGGATGACTGTGATTTGATCATCCGATCTAACTCTGGCCATGTATTCTACTGCCACATTTGTCCCAGTCAATTTATACGATCTCCCACCATCACAGAACAGTACTTCAAATGTCTCGAGCTCTTGAGAACAGGCGAAGTAGAAACTGATGATTTCTACGAGGAAGATGCCCACGAATGGTTGTTAAATTGCTTCGAGCCTTTGATTGCGCGACTTGCGCCATCCTCAGAGCTTCAGGTCGTTACGCAGCCGACCTTGGCTCATTACTATTTCCCTGAACAAACCTCCGTCTGCCACCTCAAAGCTGTGGACTATAAGCTACAGCCTGAACAGCTGGACACCAAAAACCATGGATGGAGTAGCCCTATTGTCAAATTCGATTCCGGTTTCTTGACTGAGCTGAAGCAGTGGACTCAATCCTACACTGCATCCCAAGTTCAAGTATGCTATGATCGACCGGAGGACAGCTTGATCAAACCGCCAACCTGTATCAACATAACTAATCAAGATGGTCAACCCCTCAAATGTTTCTTCAAGAAGTTCGGACTCTCCTTTGGCCCATCACATGCAAAGAAGGAACTTCTTGTATTGAAGAAGATTACCGAATCTCAGATACCTCCTCCACCTCAAGCGTATATCTGTCGCCTCGTGGAAGTGGTTCGAGAAGGAAACGGGCTTCTAGGAATGTTGCTCTCCTGGATTGACAAGAAGAGTGTACTGTCCAAGGCCAAAGCTTCTGCAAGCTCCCCAGAGTTAAGAAAACGTTGGGCAACTCAAATTCGGAATTCACTTGACAGTCTTCACGAGAATGACATTATATGGGGAGATGTCAAAGGGGAGAATGTTCTTATAGATCAGAATGATGATGCCTGGATCATCGACTTTGGTGGAAGCTACACCATGGGCTGGGTTGATGAGGACAAGGCTGGGACACTGGAGGGCGATGAGCAAGGTGTTGCGAAGATCTTGGAACTTCTGGAGCAGTCTTAGCGAATACGAACTCTATACCCTGATATAGGTCGCGTAGCAAACAAGCGCTCAAGATCCTCTGATGTGACTGCAATTAACAGCAAGACCTTGACCCATGGGCTATGTTCCTCTTTAGCCGTTGTCTGTTGGTGATAAGAGGGGGCGAGGGTGGTATTCCACAGAATGGGTAACCAATAGAACGGACAGGCGAGCCGCTCCCATAAGCTCCTCTTCGCCACAGAAGGATTGCCAACACCTAATAAGTGTATTTATCGTCAGTTTTAAGACTTAGCTTCAACCTGGAGGTGTCGTCACTTGATGTTAAGTTTAGAAAAATGGTGCGTAATCAGGTGAATCCTTTGCCCGGTCTCTTCAGGCCCAGTTGGTTCATCGCAAGGTTCATTATATCAACTTCGGATTCTTGCTATGCGTCGCCTCAATTCCAAGCTGTTGGTCGGATGCGATGGCCGGCCATGTTCTGGGTGCCGAGCGTTAATATCTTTCGTTATAAAGAGGATGGAAAACCTCATGTTGCAAGTTCTTTCATCTGTTACACCTTCATCGTTATTGTATAAAACTTCTTGAAAATTTGATTCCAAAGTCCTTTTAGAACTCTTTACCAACATCATGTGTCAGACCTGGGTTTACAAACTTGTCTGTGGACATCAGCAAGGCGCAAAGTGGTATGATCCCAACGATCCTGAACATTGCCCTGTTGCCGTTGCAGCAAATCGACGCAACAGGCGAACTGGAACACTTTTGCGCTGTTCTCCTACTACTACAATCACAGTTTCCGTTCAGGGGGTTTGTGAACGGGACAGATGTTTTGCCAACTATTACCTAATACCCTACGGATGGTGGTACCACTGTTGCGGGACTATGAATCCCACAGGGCAGACCTCTTGCATGGGTTATGTATTGAGCTCTCGGCAGCAGGCTTGCCGTCACGAGCCTTGCAAACTGTGCGAGAATCAGGACCCTGCTCAACGACGATAGCTTTCGAGGCCTCTATGTTTTGAGGGCCCCAGAATGATAGGCAGGATGATTTAGCCCGTTCTTCTCACACGTCATAGGCTTCCTATGTACTGTTGCGAGCTATGGAATATTTGATAGTCTTGGCAATCTCTTAGGAACTGTATATTGTCGGGGATGAGATTTGACTATTGGAACGGTACTTGTATTAGGGGAGGTGGGTAGTTGGTATACTGCCTGAAACGTGTTTATTAGTGTGTTATTTTGGGATGATAGACCTGACAGCAGATACTTGCATTGCGTGCCTTACTTGTACAAGGGGAGGAGCGTTAGATGGTCTTTTTATTCGAGATATCTGGTCATGCATCAATCTAAAGTTGAGTGATCGCTGCCTCTCGTCTCCCCAAGTGCTTTTCATGAGTTCATTAGAAGGCAGACCGAGTTCGGACATCCTATCACCTGTTAGTATGCAGACCCTATGACAGGAATAGAAGGGAAGAAAAATATCAGAATAACATGTACAGAGACTTTACGTTCAATGTGTCTCACGGAGCGATCGAGCTCGTTTGCAATTTGTTGCTTGTCTGCAGGAAGTAGCCGATACCGCTCGCATAGATCTCCATCTATGAAGCCCTTGATCGGCTCATAATAGCTACGATACTTCAGATGATCACGGCCAACAGGCGACGGGTCAAGAGTACGCATATGCATCTCTAGCGTGTGGAAGAATTCAGCGTCATCGCGTGTGACGAAGGGGATGAGCACGCCGATGCTGCCTTGTAAACCGCTCCAAACGAGAACATCCTGCCCTCCCACGACGAGGCTGGCCTTGGTGATGCTGGTCGGTATATCTTGAGCAAAGAAATGCGCCACCGCGTCAAGTCGGTTTGGCGCGCCGTGGAGGTAATCCCGTGCATTGAGAAGAGTATTTCCACCCTCGTCTGCCTCTTGACTTGCCTTCTCGGGGCATCGGACAATCCAGAGGTTACCAAATTTATCACCACCAACCACCGATTCGTAGTCAACCATGGCCGTACAGGTTGTCCAGCGTGCAATTGTGTCATCGATGAAAGGGATTAGCTTTTGATACTGATGATCGAACACAACCATTGTCACGCCCTGCTGGAGGTCACCGACAACGATACGGCTGCCCTGAGTATTTAGAGACACTATCAACTGCGGTGCCACCTCAACATGAGCTTTTCGGAGTAGTTGCTTCAAGCCCAGATCATAGATTCGTAGGGCTTTGCCGATTCCTGCAGCTAGCCGACCTTGGAAAGCCACAAGCGCCATCTGAGGCTCCTCTACCTTGGTCTTGTGAATAAACTCCAGCTCTCTCCCGTTTTGTTGGAATCGATAGACGTGGATGTAGCCCTCGGAGAATTGCCTGGGATTGAGGATCATGTCTTTGCCAGTACCAACGAGCAGAAAGCTCTCGCCATCCTGACCAGTGAATGGAACCACCGCAACACTCATAGCAGCCTCGTTGCCTTCGAGCTCGATCGTCTGAAGGACCTGTTCGCCGATGGGATCGACAACACTTATGCATGAGGCCCATCGACCATGACCACGCGGATAGCCAAATTCTTCTGGTGGGAGTAGTTTGGCATCCCCATTCGTTTGGTTTTCAGCTGCCGCCAGCAACTGTGTACGTAGTTCAGGACCCAGTGCATTGTTGTCCGCTTCGACCGTGTAGAAGTATGGCTCATTAGGATGCTTAACAAAATGTCGTGGTGTGTATGTGAGAGGCAGAGATTTCCGGACCAAATTATCGTACAGATTTTCGATGGAGAAAATGCTGAAGGTTGGGTTAGCAAAGGAATGTGCAAAACCTGACCGTCGGATACGGCACACGGCTGTGCATACCCACAGCAAGGCTTAAAAATGTGTAGGAAGGGAAGACTTACTGGAGGAAGTTGGCGTGAATCGCGATGATACCCTCCTCACACTGCTCACTGCTAAAGTTCCATCCCCACTCCAATTCATCGCAGTCAAGAGGTGTCATCATGAATCCTCGTTTCGAGTCAGTATACCCCATCCATGGCTTGGAGCCAAGAGCTAGAACACAGATTTGCCCCTTGACTGTTACCTGGAAGAGCTTAATAGCCTTAAGACCAAGGAACCTCGTTTGCGTATCAGATAACTCTCCTGTAATTTCATCCAATCCAGTTCGGAGATAGACACCAGAACTCAGGCCGATATGCAAGTACAATCCAGAGCTACGAGATAATGGATCCTCCATCGCCATGATGCTTAGCGCCGAGGGTGCCGCAGTCAGCGCTTGTATAGACTTGCTCTCGAGCGTGGAATCTGGGTCCAAGCTAAGGATTCGAACGGTGCAATCCTCGCATCCCACCGCCAACATGGGGCTTCGGAGTCGCCCTTCAGGGACTGGTCCTAAACTTAGACAGGTTACTGTGCTAAATATTTCTTTCTTCTCATCGTACTCAGCAAGCGGTCCATCGCTATCGACCTCGAAATAGACAATCTCTCCTGAGCTTAAGGCGACTGCAATCTGTTGCTCATTTGTAGCAACGGCTACTATAGATCGATGTTGGGGAACAGGCCATTCATTGATTTCCCCGCCACGGAGATGTCGGATGCCTCTGGGGTGAATTTGTACGAGACCATCGTCCGCGATTTGCTGGATGGCAAGGGTGGTCACAGACGTGAGAAAGCCCGAATCGCTGACTTGCTCGACTTCATCCCCAACACTCATGACCAATGTGTTATCGAATGAGGTCAAGATGATGTATGCGTCATATTTGTCGTGTCTTGTCAATCTCGTGGTCCAGACACCAGAGACTGTTCCAGGTAGCTCAGAAGTCGCAACCTCGTTGATCTCCAGCCCATGCTTGAGCATCCGAAAATGGCTCCTCGCGCCGTTGCCGGATACCGAATAGATCTGTGGCGCATTTTCCCCTGTCACATCAGCAACCCTACAGTCCAGAAGAGGACTCAAAGAATCAATGCTTTCTACGAAAGTGAGATTCTCTAGAGGACGTGGGTAGAAGTAGACAGGCTGGTAAGCAGCACGAGGGTCGGTAGGAAAATCGTCGCTGGTAACTGCAGACTCTGAATCGTCGTCGCCGAGCTTTTCAAATTGATAAAAATGATGATTACCAGACTCAGTAGCAACAAAGAGAAATCCGCTCTTAAGAATACATAGACTGCTCGCAACAGGGAGAGTATCAAAATACTTAATCTTGATGCGCCGTACCTCTCCTGTCAGACTACCCTCGTTATCTTGCAGGTCAAACGTGAGCTTAAAAAGGTCGCCATCTTCTGTCTGTAGCATAAAGAAGAACGCTTCAGGGCTATTCTTGAGCTTGTGCACCACACCACCAATCATAGTACGCTTCCGTTGCGGGTCTTCTGTAGCTCCTCGACGCCGTGGAACAGGGACACGAAGAGGGTCTTGGTTCGAATGTCGGTATGTAATGCTTTCCTCTCCACACACAAGGACGCCACTTGGGCCATCATTCCCGCCAGGGACTTGGAAGAGCAATGATGCCGTGGAGTCGACAGTTTCCGACCACTTGCGGACCACGTGGTTGAGACCTAGATCCAGCTCGTAGTAAACGAGCTCAACGTCAGGTATCTCTTGTCCAGAGGGATCCTGGTCTGACTTTGAATAGTCCGTCTCAAGAGCTGCAAAGACAGGATTCGAATAGCCCACATCGAGAGCTACGAGGGATAGAACAAGAACTCCATATTTGTGCGCTTCGAGGGGAGAGGATATAGAGAGTTCGGCTTGAGCATTTCGATTGAGGACGTAGACGAGCTTGTTCTTTTCAATAGACGCAATCATGCAGGCTTTGCCATTGGGATCCGTAGCTAGGTATTGACCCGGAACGATCCGGCGCACACCAGACTTGCCAAATGTCTCCAATTTAACGCGAGAGAAAGTATTTTCGCTCGATAGGTACTCGAGAACAGCGATACTACCGGAGTCGGTTGCCACGATAATATAGTCTAAGCATTTAGCTCTGTCTCGACCACACCAGGCAAACGCTCTCGTTGACGTTTCCGGAGACTTTCTGCTTACCCTTGGAGCTTCCCGCGAGGCAAAAAGAGTCAACAGATCGAATTATGCTAAAGAGGTCTTGTGAAAGCAGTGTTTGCATGCGGATCGACACGATGGAGGGTCAAGAGGGAGCCTGATACCGTGAGAATCTGCTGCTCTTTAGTCCCCGAGAAATGGCCGACGATGGCTTGTGAAGCGGTCGTCGGAGGGCGGAGCGTCAGCGAGTACAGAAACATATTCGATGCAGTAGCCATGAAGACAGATTCACGCGAGGAGTCTTCCAAAAAGAATTGCGTGTAAGTATTTGGTGCTGGTGTCCTAAGGTGACATGATGTGAAGTGCGGGGCAGTTGCTTGATCAAGCCCCCTGTTGTTTGTTGCTGGGCAAATGATAATCCCGCAGTTCCGTGGGTTAAGAAAGATAAGAACGCACAGACTGACAGGTTGAATCTCCAGTTGAGACTTCTTTAAAAACTTATATTTAATCTTTCTTCTCGAGAATGGATTACTCTAAACTTAGTAAAGCCTCAGGTAAGGAATTCACTAACCAAGAAATAACATAAGTACCGCAACCCTAGCAGGAATAGCAAAAGTAGTCCAAGTACAGATACTGACTATTCACTTCTGTCTTGGGCAATTCTAATAGTCAACCGTAGAGCTCCTACAACTTGTACTCTATAACAGATCTAATGTCACATCAAAGTGCCACGGAAGAGCCCGCTGAATACCCTTACAACATGATACCACAAACAACCAGCAAACCTGATTAGGAAACTAATCGAGTTTGCCCACAGCCAGATGCGGAAAAACCAGACTTTATGCCAATATGAGTCTCCGAGCCACCATAATATTTTGAGGCTATCATTCAGGACGATAAGACAGACGAAAATGTTTGAAAATATGTATGATGCGAGTAGAATCGTGCGAAACTCCATCATGGCGTCTGCTGTTGCGAGGACCTGGGGGCGCTTCTTGTCACGTTTTGTTGTCTCGTCTTCAGCTGTTGCCCTAGCAAGTGCCTGTTGATACTCGGCGTTTCTAGCTTCGGGCGTTTCGTCCCGCTGTGTGTCCGCGGATCGGATGTTGGGGTCCTGATCAGAGAAGGTAAATCGCCGTTCAATAGTTGCCGGCCTTGGGCCTTCTTGGCTCCGGGCAGCTTCCGTGTCTTCATGTCTACCTTTCCTCCCCCAGCTAACATCATGTGTGTTGCTGAATGCGTAGATATTGAGAATGTTGACGTAAGAGGAGGATATGAAGAGGAATTGTGCAAAAGAGGTGAAGAGATGCAAAGGGTCAAGTGCAAGAAGAGCGCTCAAGACGTAGACGCCAAACACGGAGAAGCCGGCGACGATGATGGTGCTCTGTCCAATGTCGGCATAGAACTCCCCGATATAGGCATAGTTACTAGACCCAGTATCGTCGGCCTTGTAGTCTGCAACACGTTTGACAAGATAGATCAGGTTCATGATCAGATAAGCTTGAATGAGTCCAAAGATCGCGAATGAGATGATATAGCTGATTTTGTGATTCCTCGGACGGCTTCCGAGGGCGAGTATAAACTGGAACAAGATCGTCGCCAGGTACACTATCTGGATTACGGCATTGACGACCGGTGTTGCCTTTCCGAATGGGAATCCGCCAGTCGGTGTATCCTTTGGGGGATCTCCCGAAATGCTATTGATAGTAAAAGTCGTGAGTAGAAATGCCGCGAGCGAGAACCAAGCCAGGACGAGAGCGAGAACACCATGAAGGAGGGGGATGAAAAAGGCCACCTTCCGCATTCTCGTATGATCAGACCTCCATAGATGTCCACATCTCTTCAATACATAGATAGTCGAGAAGAAAGCTCCGTTGAGCCACCGTCGCCGCTGGTTGATGAAGTCTGTCGTGGTCATGGGGATATCGGTGGTGGCTGTCACGGGAACATATTTCAAAAGCCAGTGTGTGTCTGGTTTGCTGATGATCCTGAAGCAAATCACTCTATCGTCCGCAAGATGACGATTGAGGTTGACGGGCGATAGGGCTGGACGATCGCGGTTATGGCCTTGGATCCAAGTTGGGTCGCCTAGGAGCATATCTTCAAGCGGTTTACCAGCACTGCCCACGTATCTGAACAATGGCTATCAGTCAGAATCACATAACGACAGCTGATGTCGTTGCACAAACCTATAAGCAGAACACGCCCCAGGCAGGAGGGACAGAAAGCCTGTCGCTGATTCAAACGTCCGATCCAGCTGAAACCCAACCTTGTACTCAAAGTTCTGCGCCGCAACGATGGGGTTGAGAAGGTTAAGCCAGTTCCCACCCAAAGAACAGGAGATCTCCCCACAAGCGGCAGCAAGCATTGGCTCAATGTCAAATTCCTTCCAGAGCTTGAAGAGAGCTTGCTTGCCCAGCTTCGTACCGACGTCGAGGTGCACTGTAATGTTTGGGTCCAAGACTCTCGCGAATCCATTGTACAGCCATCGATACGAGTTAAGCTTCCCGCAGTTTGAAGCCTTCATAAGTAGCATCAACTGTACTGGAAACTTCATTGGCCTGGATTCAATGTTGGAAGACTTTTTGTTGCCATCTGTATAATCCTCGCAGCCGAGATGGGTGGCCAGATAAGATGTAAACTCGAACTATGAATGAAATCGCGACAGTTAGACAAGCCCGACATCTACATACCGATCCGCAAAGCAGACTTACCAGGTGTCCTGTGACTTCCTCCCCCTGCTCTGTCGTCTTTCTGCACAGTCCATTTTGGTACAGCCCAATGCTGGTGAGAACGTCGAGAACTCCAGGATCCACAGACTCAATACCGTCAATGAGAATGCAAACCACGACTTTAGTCCAAGAGCCCTTTCCCCAGACTTTTGACTGCGGACGAATATTTAGATACCAGAGATTCTGCACAATGCTCTGCAACGTACGGCGAAGGAGGCGCTTCGGTTCGTTGTAAACAGTGATGCCTACGAGAATCTCTGTGTGACGAGGGTACTTGAACTGCTTGTGACGGAGAGGATGTTTCTCGTGGAACTCTTGAGGGTCTGTTGAGATGGCTGTATCTGTATTATTCTTGTCAGTGACAGTCAAAAGGCCGACCTGCGGAGTGAGAGTGCTTACAGGTCAAATGTGCCATCTCATAGACATTATCTTCTGTTGTGGACTCGAGATTGAGGCCAGCAGCATCCGCAAGGTCTGAAGGAATCGGCACGTGGACTTGAGACCCAGAGGCATGTCCAGCGGGAGATAGTATTATGTCATGCCTTACAACGTTCTGCAGCTCCGTGCCTGCTTCGGTTCAGTAATGAACGATAATTGTGTGATAGAGAACGCACCATGTTCAGAATCTGCAGCGTATGCAGGAACCTGTGGGAATAGAGGTGCCCGGTCAGACGTAGACATCTGGTTTTCTCTACAAGTATCGAAGCTGAGACGACGGAATGGTAATTTGGCCCCGTTTTTCGCTTGCGGGGTCGACATTCCGCTGCCTTTGTGGAGACAAGGCCCCTTCTAAACAACGACTCGTGCAGCTGGAATGACTTGCAGTGAACTTGGTGTAGCTCGAACTCAGCTCTTCCAGAGCTTCCAAAATATCCTTTGAGATTTTACGGGGCTTCATGTCAGCGCTGCCTCAGATGCGTTATTTGCGATGTCGTGCGGCTGAGGGCTGAAAATCGCCTAGCTGTTTTGCCTTGTCTCAGCCATTGATCCAATCAGTGCTGCATGTCTCAGCCACATTCCTTTTCGCCATAGGCTTGCTCTAGTAGTATTATTGCTTTATTATGGTTCTCAAATGTTAGATATCTTGAACTACACGGTGTTTTGATTAAGAGCTCTTAATGTGGCCATTCCCAAAATCATCACCGAGAATCTCAGTCGCGAGTTCAGCGGACTATGGTAAAAAACTCATCGGGTGGTTATCCCGATCAAGGGTTATGGCAGTAATTCCTTACCGCTCCTGAAACGCTTTTACGCAATCGTGTGGCTTGCATCGAGGTTCAATTGGCCGATGCTGCAGGTGATATTGTGATGGGCGTTTCTGCCGTGCATCGATATCCATGAGTGACCAACAGCTTTTGACGCCCAATTTCAATGTGGAACTAGCTCATTCTGCCTTGCCAACAGCCAAAAGTCGATGTGCCTCACACGCAAAGTCGACGGAAGAGAAATGCCATACCCTGCTAGTTTTCATAATACATTCCAAGATCTATTCCTCGTTCTAATACCTCCTCACAGCAAGACTGCATTAATCATGAATACCGCCGACTCGTTGGTCGACCGCTGTAAACAGTGGCCAAAATATCCCCGTAACTTACTACAGCCGTGCCACCGACTGAGTGTACTTGATGATTACCGCTCGCGCCTCGACAAGCCAAGGACGAAGCTTTTTGATGACAACCGGGAAAACATACAATTCCTCGAGCCCAGGGGTTTTGTACGCGGTCGGTAATGATCTATAGAATGTTTTAATGCCTTGATCTCATAATTCTTCAGGGTACAAGGAAACGGCAATCGATGGCCCAGCCGCTCTCGAGAAGCATCTTGGGCCGTACGGCGAAGACCCTCATTATTGTATGATGTGAGTCCATGAACACTTATAAACTCACGAATACCAGAAACTCATTCACGATAGTTTTATTGAATCCAGAAATTCGCGATCGTCATTAAACTGTTCCCATCAAAGCTTTTGCTACCTATCGACCTTCTACCAAATTCCTGCCAGCTTTCTGGACTTTCTATTTTCTTTCGGCCAAAGCACGGAACCCTTGGACTATCATATGACTGGCTTTGATGGGTTTGACACCCTTGATTCTCCAAAAAGCGAGATTCTCGAAATTCCTAAATTGGGGCGTTCTGGTCGGGAACACATCGTACAGTACCTCCTGGGCTCTGTTGAGAAGTCTACGGAGAGAGGCGAGGTAATCTGGAGTATTCGCCGAATGGCTGTTCATCACAAGTTTGATTTCGTTACCGGGAAATCATTCTGGCTCAGCATCACAGCCAACTCTGTCATGCAAGATAGGCTCAAGGAGGCGATCGCAGAGGACCCAAAGTTCAACCCTGATCGGGCAACGGGATTGTCATCGTCCTTCGCAGCAACCCTGATGACCAATCTCGCGTATGTTGAGTGGTGTGATGAGTCCTGGCGGGAATGCATCAATGATTTGGAGAAAAGGATACGTGTTGTGCTGGAAAAGGCGGAGACAGCATCTGTTGATCACCAGCCTGATTTGCATGCATCTGCCATGAGATTCTTGACCGTCAGAACTGCTACCGCAGCGCTTGGCGCACCGGAAAAGCATAGCCCACCAAGTCCTGCGGTTTTCAACCCATGCCACGGTATTGGAAAGCCACTCGTAACGTATCTGCACTCAGCGCTTGGCAAATCGTTGCAGCAAACGAATGTAACTCCATTGCTTCCTCTAGCATCGAAGACTGCAGCAGTCCCAGCAACCGAGACTGGCGACAATTTCGAGAAGGGTCTCAGCAACCTCAAAGTTCTCGAGACGTTTTCTGTGGAGAGCTTACAACACCTTCATTATCTAGGTGGACAACTCGAGAAGTTTCGCTTGGTGATGCTGCTGAACTACCAGACATTGCGGGATATCTCTGAGCATTACCAAGATCTGACAATCCGCGAACATTTCCCCTCAGAACATCGAGAGGAATGCGACCGAAGCCTGAGTTCATTCGCACGGCGAGTGGAGCGCGTAAGAAGAAACCTGGAAATTCGGGTTACACAGATTGAATCACTGCGGGCTTGGCTGCAGGACGGAAAGACACTGGTAAATCTGATTGGACCTTGCGTGATATGACTTGCTTACCAGCATCTCTTAGCTTGAGGGGATACTGCAATATCGCAGCGTGCAGGTCAGCCACATTTTCACCGAGAGCTCCCACAGCCAGTCAGCCAAGATAGAGCATATCGCATACAAGACAGAACAAGAAATGATCTCGATGCACATTATAACGTGTGTCACACTTGCTTTTCTGCCTGGCACATTTGTGGCTGTAAGCTCGTCTCCAATACCTCAGTCGGGACATGCTAACAGAGACCTCCCCTTCTCTCAGGCCTTTTTCCAGAGTGGACTGATTGATGTGAATCAGGCTGCGACTGACGTTCAGGGAGCGGTCAGCTTCCATCCGGGAGCCTTCAATCTTTTCGTTGCCATATGCTTTCCTCTAATGTCCCTCACCTTTATCCTTTGGGTAGTTCTGTTCAAGTTGCTAGCAAGAAGAGCGAGGAAGAGAGTGATGGAGGATAATATTCAAATTGTTTGAACTCGTTACATGCATTCAAAAACAACAGATAGATCATACACGGCCCGGCGCTCATAGATACCGCAATTGGCACCTCTTAACCCGGAGAAATGACAGGCTCAGGACAATTAAACCTCTGATACATGTGCTGACACCGGGGAATCAAGCCTGTGGACAGGAAGCCGTCGTCTTGGAGAGGAGAACCCCCAATCTAGGACAAGGCTCTGGCATCACCAGATTGTGTGCGCGGCTTAGACGCTATGGAAGTCAATAGGCTTTCCCGGTACTGCCACCTAAATTGTAAGGTAGACAAACACATTCCAGGCAAACCGGCAGCCAGGTCTGTTTGCAAGGCGTGGTAGGGCTTTGACAATTGGCAGTTGTGGACCTCTCTGCCTTATTTGGTTGTTATTATAACCCTGCCATCAACTGTCCGACCCTCACGGTCCTGTCCCGATCACTTGTTAGCCCCGTAAGCTATTATATATACCCGCTTCCCCAGTGAGTCGGCTTTGGTTTCTGAACAGCATGATCAACCCACTGACTACTTCTCCAGCGACATTGTTGACGCCAAGCACTGCGACGAGCATGTTCCGGATAATGTTCTCGGAAGTATCTCGAGGTGGCATGATGAGAAAACATAGATAGACTTTCCTTATGATGGTATTCTGTTTGGCTTATTGGATGCTGGTGTTAACCATCGGAATCTGAAGGCGTTTTATGAGACCCAGGGATGGGGCCCAAATATTGTGTTTGAGGTTTTGCGGTGTGTGCTTGTAGACCAGATCTATTGGAATTTTGTTTTTTGTATCGTTTTGAATGCTATTGTAGTTCTGACAAGCACATTCTATGATTATACATCTTGATTTCATTTGTTCGCTTTGTGTTTGCCTGGTACCATTCCCGCTCACGCTTTTAGAGATAAGTGCAGCATTCACTGGAGTTATCGTCAAAGTTCTGATACTACCGGTACATCATATGCTTCAACAACACACATAACCTCATCAGAAGAAAGTAAGTCTCCTGTTTCTTCCACTATTGAAGAGAGAGTCGGCGCTGGCGGAGTGAATTCTACCCGACGGCTCATTAATTGTCCCAAGCATTAGCGCCATATCGAAATTTCCTCCACCGGAATTGGAATTCGCTGTCAATTCCGGCCCGGAAATTAGGCTAGTGGATCAAGCCGAGGCCCCCATGTCTAGCCTGTAAACGAAAACAGCTAGCTTTACTTACCAATCACAGGAGGCGATAGCTTGACCTTGTGGTAAATGGAATTTTCGGATCGCGTATCTGTGAAATGTCTCCGAGCCCTACTTACACGAAGTATATCTTTTGACACATGGCTCCATTCGCCTTCTGAGCAATCATCGGCAATCATGGAAACAGAAATGCTTTCAATTACAGCGCCAGCTTATACCTGCCCAAGTGGCTACGAACTCTCGACGGTACCGAAGCCAACTATCACTGGGGATACAGATGTCCTCATCAGAGTACATGCAGCGAGTATCAATCCAGTCGACGTCAAGAAGGCTGCCGGCGTATTCAAGATGGCGATAAAGGAAGAGTAAGTCGCGCCAATTGAAAGTGAAAAGACGCTTGCTAATAGCACGGTTGTGAAGATTCCCATATAAAATTGGATATGACGCCGCAGGTGTCGTTGTAGAAGTTGGAAATGGCGTAACAAGGTTAAAGGTTGGCGATGAAGTCTATACAAGATTGCCAGAAATCGGGAGAGGTATGATGAAATGGTTCGTGAGAGGGGGAACCGACCGCTGACATTATGAAACAGGTGCTTGGAGCGAATTTGCCAAGTGCCCAGATGACTATGTCTCTTTGAAACCGAAGAATCTCTCATTTGCCGATGCTGCATCGCTACCACTGGCTGGAGTCACGGCATTGCAGGTCCTCAGACAATACAAAGGTTCACTAGAGGGCAAGACGGTGTTCATCCCCGGTGGCTGTAAGTCACATATCACTTCTGTCATCCATACAAATTCTAATGCTTATTTGTAGTGAGCGGTACAGGAGCCATCGCATGCCAATTGGCCAAGAATGTCTTTCATGCCGGTAAGGTTATCACCACAGTCTCTACCACCAAGATCCCCAAAGTCCCGGAGCTTCTGGGTGAAGGCACGGTGGATCAGAGTAAGTTATGAGCCCAAAAATCGAGATTTGTCTAACCGACAACATAGTCATCGATTACACCAAGCAGAAAGTCTCGGAAGCCATTCCTCCCAAATCAGTTGACTTTTGCTTCGACACTACCGGTCAATCCATGGAATTTCTCTCACTTATGGTCCCTTCAACCAGCATGATTGTCTCCATCTCAACAACTCCATCTGCCTCAACACTACAGGCTTCAAGCGTCATGCGACGACCAGATAACCCTCGGATCCCGTTCGCCGGACGACTGTTTCTTGACGCGGCAGATGCGATTCGCAGACTTCGGGCTTGGCGCTGGGGAGTCACATATATGTATCACTTCTTGGACCCCAATCGAGAGGATCTGGATATACTTACAGGTTGTGTGGAGAATGGAAAGGTGAAACCCGTTGTTGGGGCGAGGGTGGACATGAGAGATATCAAGGCCGTTCGCGAAGCTTGCGACCAGACCTACAAGGGGAAGGGAGGTTTAGGTAAGACAGTCTTTGAAGTGACCAAGGATTAATGAAAATCGAGCGAGTAATATTTCAGTTACAGCTTTGATTTCAAGAACGACAAGTCTCGTGGACTAACCACGTCTGCCTTGATCTCCTCCCTTGACCTCTCCACATCTTTCCGCACAAGCTGCGAGTATAGCAGTTGTATCCTCTCCGTCACTGGGCCTCTCCTTCCATTGCCAATTACTCGACCATCAATCTCAGTAACATGGATTTGCGAAGGGAAAGTCCCTGTGCAGAAAGCCTCGTCGGCACCATACGTCTCAGTGAGTGTAAAGTCCAGCTCTCGAACAGTAATGCCATTGGCTCGGCAAACATCAATCGTCTTTTGACGAGTAATTCCTTGCATCTGGTTGTCCTTGGTAGGGGCCCAGACTTCATCACCCCGGACGATGAAGAAGTTGACTGAGTTGCATGTCTTGACAAAACCGCGAAGGTCAAGCATAAGCGCCTCATCGACGTTCATCACATTCGCGTGAATGCAGGCTTGAACGTCAGTTGCTTTTGAGATGTGATTCCACTGCTCGTCCTTAACGTCAGGTGGTCCGCGACGAACCCATGTTGTCGCAAGTCTCAAGCCTCTTGACTTGGAGTTGGGATCAACTGCTTTTGACTCGGGGATGATGACGATGAGAGGAAGGCCAATGTTGACCTTGGGGTTCTGGTACGGAGTAGCCTTCAGGCCACGACTGACGACAAGTCGGATGTGAACATGCTCATCGTCACCCATGTCGTTCGCATCAAGCGTCTTGTGAATGAGGTCAAGAAGATCTCCTCTGGACAGACCGAGGTCCATGTACATGGCTTTCGCTGACTGGAAGAGGCGGTTGATGTGCTCTTTGGCAAACTGAACTCGGCCCTTGTTTGCACGAATACCTTCCTTGACTAGTCTTAGTAGTTTTGTCTTCATTTCTGCCGCTCAGCACTTACCCAGATGCCATCGCCAATGAGGAAATTTGAGTCAAAGACTGATACTACGGCTTCTGCTCGTGGCACCAGACTGAACTTTCCAGTGACACCATCACGAATTCCAACCTATCTTGGTCAGTACTTATCATGCGTACTTTGACAGAATGACTTACTCGGATGGAAGCATTCTTCGCATTCGGCACGGAGCTATGCGTTGAGCCTCCGTGACTTCCCTTTGCGTTTGTCATATTTGATGTTGTCAAGTGAATGCTGTATATGGGTCTTCGATTTCGTGATATCGAGATGGAATGGTTCAATTTAATTAAATATTATATCTCCGAGAATTTTATTACAGCTCATGTTGGATCTTCGGACCGTGGAGGTGAGCTCGGTCTCCACCGGACGGCAAATTCGGTCGTGACCGAGCTGACTCGCGGAAATGGAGTGAGCATCAGATAAGGCTTGCATCATCTGCCCATTCTTAGCAGAGAAAATCAGACTTCGATTCTCAGGGATAAAATTACTTCAGCAAATTTTGGATAATTTAGGATAAGCTTGGAATAAATCTAGCAGACTCCTCGATTACTATTTCCTTTTGCCGCCTGATTCAGAGTCAGTTACCTTTTCACCGTTTCATTGCTCTGTTATCGAAATCGGCCAACTACCCACTGTAACTTGACGTGATCGCAAGGCTACCCAATCGTCATCGGCATCAATTCTGGTTCGTTCGTTATCATCAGCAACCCCAGATAAACAGGGCGGGGTGATAGGCTAGAACTCCTCAAAGCAGTAAAGTCCCCTCGGTAGCGTCCGAGTAGTGAGCTCGGTGGTGACCGAGCGTCTCGTTGTACACCGAAGCCCAAGGACTACAGCGATAAACTCCCCGTTGCTGCGAAAATTGCCCCCACTAAACCCGGGGAAGTGGTAGACTAACTTTTGTAGCACCGTCAATCTCAAGAACTCATAAAGACGACCATGCGAAGCATCCAAAGATCGTCGAGGGACTTCCCATCTCGCCTCTAGACTTGGACTTCATCGATAGCTTTGCACCATGTCGCAGACTCCCAAGGTCGAGCAAGGCCAGGCCAAGGATATGGCTCAATCTGTTGCTTCTGATCGCGAGCAAGATGAGGTGCTGGTGTTGACCAAGGCTCAATCGAAGCGACTGCTCCTCAAGACAGATCTGGTCGTCATGCCACTTGCCGTCCTGTCTATGACTCTCGCCTTTTTAGACAAGGTATGTTCCATCACAACATTACGGCCGATCAGTAACTGACTGTCGCAGAACGCGTTGGGATACGCTGCCATCTTCGGTATCAAAGAAGATGCCCACCTAAAACCCCAAGAGTACAGTTGGCTCAGCAGCATCTTCTACTTCGGTTACCTGGCCATGGAGTTCCCCAACCTGTGGTTAATGACCAAGATTCCCATCGGCAAATACGTCGGTGGCTGTCTCACTCTATGGGGTGTTGCTCTATGCTTCATGGCCCTTTGCCACAACTTTGCCGGACTGGCCACTATTAGATTCCTTCTGGGTGTCTTTGAGGCTGCTGTACTACCTTGCATGATGATCATCAACTCGATGTGGTATTTGAGGAACGAGCAGCCTCTCCGAACTGCGTTCTGGTATAATACTTTCGCGGGTGTGTTTGGAGGTATTCTGTCGTATGCGATTGGGCAGATCAATGGCTCGCTGTCAACCTGGAAGGTCAGTCCAATCACTCTTACACGATATCCATATGCTGACAAGAGACTCTAGTACATCTTCCTCATATATGGATCCTGCACCGTGCTCGCCGGAGCTCTGGTCTTCTTTGGCCTCCCTGATACTCCCTCTAAAGCATGGTTCTTCACGGAGGAAGAGAAGAAACTCGCCATGATTCGGCTCGCTCCCAACCAAACTGGTATCGAGTCAAAGAAGGTTTGCCACTGACGCTCACCCCGGCTTTTCCAATGCTGACATGACGATGTTAGAAATTCCAAACTGCACAAATCCTGGAGGCTCTTCGTGATCCTAAGTGCTACTGCATCTGGCTCGGCGTCTTTGGCTACGCCCTCGCCAATGCAGGCATCACAAATTTCAACCCTCTGATTATCGCTGGGTATGGCTTCAGCAAGACCAAGACTGTTCTCATGGCGACTCCCCAAGCGGCAGTTGCCATGATCAGTCAGGCTATTCTCACGACTGTCGCGTTCTTCATCCCTAACCTTCGATGCATCTTCTGGATCTTCGGTGCGCTTATGGGCTTGGTTGGGGCTGTCATGGTGCATTCGCTCGATGTTGCCACCCAACGCGACGCTTCTTTGGCGGGCGTTTACCTGATGGGCTTCTATAACGTCCCCTGGGTGTTCCTACTCAGCCTGTCATCCTCTAACACTGCTGGTGCGACAAAGAAGAGTTTCATGGGTATTTCCATCGCGATTGTCTACGGTATGTACCACCATCCTACTACATAATTCTTCAGTTTTCACCCTCTAACTGACACTTACAGCCGTTGGCAATATTGTCGGTCCTCAGTTCTTCCTTGATAGACAGGCACCCACGTATGCCCTCGGAATAGGATCTATGCTTTGTGCATTTGCCTTGATGGCTGCCACTGGTCTGGTATACTATGTTCTCTGCGGTATAGAGAATAAGAGGCGCGATAAGCAATATGGCAAGGCTCATGACGACACTGATATTGGACTGGAGGCCGAAAGGAGCGACAAGACGGATTGGCAGAATCCCAACTTCCGCTACACTTACTAGGAGAGCCCAGATTCTCTCCAAGACAGATTGCCTCCGATTAATTGATAATATGAACATTCTCATACCGCTGGATTGTGAACTGGCCGACGATAAGCGTGATGTTCGTTCACTTAATTTCGCGAGCTCATTCGTATGACTTTGTGACACAGTACCTTGGGTAGAACTTTGTATGATTGTTATTAAAAGGCAGCCCTATAGCCGCAATGACTTACAAGGCGTTGTATAGGGTGGTTTGAAGAAGTGGAAAGGTCAGGAGTTAGAAGCCAGAGACATACTCTCGTCTTTGAGGTTACGGCATACTTCAGTGGGGCTCTAAGACAGACTACCCTATATATTACTTTAAAACGTCGATGTTCACCACAGAACAGCGTGCTAGTAACCCAACTAAGAGAAGTGACTTAAAGTGAGAAATAAAAATAATGTAATTAATTAATTTACTTAAACTTAAACTTTAAGTATTATTCTTTAATGTGAAACTTGACATGCGCCAAGTGAGATGTATCCTAGATACTTCGTGTTTTTGGATCGAGTAAGTAAGTCCCCAATTTTTCTCACTCGATGCAATATCGCATAACGCCGAGATAGGGTTCGGCTCGGTAGTTGCATAAGTCCGATCCGTTATGGCGTCAACCATGATGTCTCCACTATTTTCGGATGGTTGCGAGACATTTAGACTTGGCCGTTATTCTTTACTTAACGAAGAATCAGACAGAAGAATATTGCTACCCTAAACAATAATGTCCCATGCTTTCAAGCCTTCAGCCTTCCGTTTCAAAAGCATGCAGTCGATGTCGGTCACGTAAGGTCAAAGTGAGTCCATCTACAGGCTCTTTTGAGACTCTCGGCTGACGCCGAGTCTAAGTGCGACCTCAGAGTTCCGCAGTGTACAGCATGTGCGCGACAGAATGAAGCATGTAATATCACAGACTGTGTATCTTACCCTTACGCGGCTGTAAAAGCTCTTCAAGACAGGATCAATGACCTCGAAGCAAGATTGAGACTCGTCCCAACACCCAATGAGACCGTCCCTGAACCAGAGCCAGAGGCTTCGGACGTGAATCCGGAGCCCCGTGCTGATCTGCAGAAGGAGGCTGAAGAGGTGGGTTTCCTCACAACGGGAGGATCAGATCTGTACTCAGGTAGCAAGTATGGTAAGTGAGGGTCGATCTTGATGATCAATTGAAGACCCTGCTGATCAATCATCTGCTTCAGTCGGCAGTGCGGCCGGATCGACATTTGCGAGGATCTTCTTCAAGCAGCTCAATATTGTTCCCTCGTGGGATTCCGGGAGCCAGAGAAGTGGTCTTGAACAGCCCCTCTGTGAAGCAACCGCAGCGATTCCGCCTCAACCTATTGCGCGGGCTCTTCTCAACATTTACATCTCTAGGGTACACATCTGGTGGCCATTTCTACAGCTTCCGCATTTGCGGAGGGTATTGCATCGCATTTATGAGAGTCCCAGGCAGTGCAGTGATCATGAGAAGTTTACTTTGTTTGCCATCCTAGCGCTAGCAAGCTGTCAGCTGACCACGAGAGATGCGCAGTCTCCAGCAATGATGGACCTCAACGACTCCAATGCATACTTCCAAACCGCATTGCGCTTCTTCAATGACTTTAGTGACCATCCACGAGACCTCTTCGGGATACAAGCAGTGCTACTTCTAGCCATATGGATGCTAGACTCGTCTCACAGCAGCCACAATAACGACCTTTGGCAGCTCAGCCGGTACATCATGTCGGCCGCCATAGAAGCCGGACTCCACCGTCACAACAAGAACTGGGGTTTCACAGCTGAAGAATTGGAGGTCCGGAATAGGACGTGGTGGTGTGCATACAACCTGGAGCGGTTAGTTGTCTCGCCCGATCGAGAATTCTGACTCGACTGACGTCGCAAACTAGACAAGTTGCGACCCTTACAGGTCGGGTTCTGTCCATTCGGGACCATGCAGTCCACACGATGTTACCCAATCCAGCCACATTCGATGCTCTTACACCCCTTGAGTGCTCTCTGGCCCCGGTTCTCCACAAACATAATGTCGAGGTTATTCGTCACATGATTGCGTTGCGGAGAATCGGTGGTCGCATCCTTGAGTCGATCTACATCGCGAGAGGGCCGAGCGGCACAGCTATGGATACAACATTCCAGCAGATTTGTGCGACTTCCGACCAAATACGGAGAGATCTTGAACTATGGGAGCAGCAATTGGAGGCAATGGGATTGAAACCATCCCGAGAGTACTCTGAGATGAAGATTGAGTACTGCCTTTTGCAGCTCCTACTACACAGACCATCACCGACATTCATGGTGCCATCACGCCAAATGGCGTCCTACTGTTCAAAGGCTGCATCAACTGCAATCAGTCACTGGTCCAAAGTCGAGGTTGAATATAGCATTTCTGCTATTTGTCGATGTTTTAGACACCTGCATGATATTATCCTTGTCGGACTAGCGGCTCTTTACTGCGACTGGTGAGTTGGGCAAGCTGAACCCTGGAATGTGACTGACATGCTTATCCTGCAGGCAGGCCATGACCCTAGGCCAGACTGGAGATGAGGCTCAGAGGCCACATCGACATTTCAATGAAACTGCCACTTGCCTAGACCTGATCGACCGCGGAGTCACATACATGAGGGCTCCATATCTGTCAAAGTACAAAGGCTTGTTCCAGGCTGTGAGAAACAAAGTTTACGCCAAGACGAATTTCACCAGCATTACTCCAGGGGCTATAGACTCGACCATTTCCCCTGGCACATTATCACAAGGCCTCCTTTTTAATCCCAACGACGATATAATGTTTTCCATGGGTGATGGGGTGGAAGCATATGTGAACCAGGTGAACGAGTTCTTGGATGGCGGTGGATTCAATGTCGATGAGGCTCTTGATGCATGGTACGATGCTTTGATGGGGGAGATACAAAATGGCGATGCCCAGATGATGGAGTGACACTTGAGGTAGAAAAGTCAATTACCGGCTGCAAATGGATGAAATATTGGTATTAATAATATTGGCATTAATAATATTGCTGCAATTTTACGAGACAACCAACAACTATCAAGGTGTGGCTGATGTTGGCGTCGTCATCCGCAACACAATTGAACCGTTATTAGCTTGTGATTGAGAGCTGACAAAAGAAGCTAGCACATCGTTGGCGCCGTTGTAAACCCCTGTTCAGCTGGAGGAGGCTCGATATGGGGTCGCGGCGGTCGCCTAGCCCATGCCGAGACATTGACTTCAGCCAACGAAACACTCAACCAATGACGGGGGTTCAAAATGAGTCTGGTCCGCAAAACAAAGTGGATGTATTGTATTAAGTAAGAAAAAGTAATAGATCGATCACCCAGCCAGTCAATTCTTGTCTCAAATGTTTAGTTACAAGGGTAGAAGTCCGAAGGCTCAACAGATCCATTATTATGAGAAGAGAAACTCCACATTCTGACTCGACATGACCCCGGATACCATTTACCCTTCCCACTAGACATAGAGAGGATACAAGACCATGGCAGCAAAGAGGGCAGCCTTGATGACAACAGGCCTAGTCACCTTAGTCTCGGGTGCGTGGCTGGTAACAACAACGGCTGATGGACTAGCGTCATCAGAAGAAGATGCCGATTCTGATCCCGCTTCATCACCGTCTCCATGCCCGGCTTGATTACCCGCTGCAGTAGACGGTCCGTTAGGTGCATCCACAGTGGCAGTAGTGTCCGCACCAGCGGGAGATTCGGGAGCGCCGGTGTTCTTAGGGCCATCGGGTATTTCGTCGCCTTTTCCAGCCTCATCGTGCTTGGAATCTGAACCACCAGGTACCTGAGATGGTTTCTGGGCATCGGGCATTTCAGGACCACCACGGGAAATCCACGGGTAGACACTCTCAGCAGGAGGAACTGGTACGACGGTCTTGTGAATAACGGCCGTGACAACCGCAGTCAGAGTAGAACCAGCCTTGGCGGCCCCACCGTGAGACCCCTGAGCAGCTGTGGCTGACTCGATAGGCAGAGTCAAAGTGGTGGTGACTGGGAGCTCGCCACAGACGTGACAGATAACGGCTGTGGTGGTGAAGCCAGGAGGACACTCGGTGAGGGCAGGTCTCTGGCAGTCAGACGAGGCGCAGGGGGCCGTGATGGTATAAGTATGTGCACCGGGACCATTGGGGCCAAGGGTAGGGAGGGCAGTGGTGTAGATGAGTGAGCCACCGCCTGTCACCTGACTATGACCAGAACCACCAGAACCATTGGAGCCACCGGAGCCAGAGCCAGAGCCAGAACCAGAGCCATGGGGTCCAATGGTAGAGGTAGGATGGATGCTGGTCACAGTGATAGGGAAAAGAGTGCTTGTCACAGTACAGTCTTCGGGGTTCGAAGGCTGTCCTCGCCTGAAGGGGAGCCAAGAGGCATGACTAACGGCAGGGAGGAGAAGAATGAGCGGAGTGAACAACATGATTAACGAGTGAAGCGGTGATATGTGCGTTGGTATTCTCTAGCCGTGAAAAGATGGCTGGAGTATTTATGTTTTTTTGCGTTGGCTGCCTCTAACCTTTTGCAAAGACCACGCATCAGGTGAAGTCTTCTCAACAACAATCACAACAAATCCGGCACGAGACCCCTTTCAAGTCTTGATCTAGCCTGCCTTTGAAAGTAGATGCAAAGTCAATCACATCGCTTCAATCTCCAAAGACTCGCTGGAATGTCCCCTGCATTGGTTCGTGATACCATCACGACATCCAGCTCTGTTGGACCAGAGTGAGGATTGATGCCTTTGTGAACTAGCTATCCGGATTGGGCTTGCACTTCGTCTAGTCTAGACAATGATTAGAACTGCCAACGGGCATACCCAGCTGAAAATCATAACCGGAAGGAGAAGATCTGTCTCGGCAATGCCCTTCGCATCAACGGGTATCGTTACACAAACTCTCCCTCAAGACCCTCCATCCTATCAAATCACGGTTATATCCACTTTCGCCCATATTGAGATCCCGCGGGTAAGGACTTTGTCTTAGCTAGGGCAGAGTTAATATGATTTACACTTCAGGCCCTTCCGAATCATCTACAACGAGTCAACCAAAGGCTCCCCCTCAACACCATCCCAAGACCTTACGATACCTAAAGCAGATGGAAGGATATACGAAAGGGATAACATCATGACATTTGAGGAATTTGGTGGCGTTAAGAAGCGAGAGAACAACGAATACGGACGGTTCATTCTCACGATAGCTTCTAAGCGAGGTGAGCTGACAATAGCTTCACTTGAAACTTTTACCATCTTTGCATTCCTCACGGTATGTATCCGCCCTCGCCCAGATGTTCAGAGATTGACTCAACATTGCAAACCTTAGTGGCGAGCTTGAACATGCCATTCTTGCAACATGTTCGCTTTAGGGAAGACATTAGTGATGCTCTCCATCCCCCTTTTAAAAACCTTTTACATAAATATCAGCATCTTCTACAGTTAGAAGTCTCGATATCCATCACCAGTACTCTCTTTATTCATCTATTTGTTACAACAATCGTTTTGGGTGTCATTCGCTTCGACTATGCGTCTTCGTCAGTTCATCCCTGAGCTTCTGCTCCTGGGCTCAACTACCCAAGCTCGACCTACGGAAGAGTGCCCTGATGGGGTTTCTGTCGTCAAGGTCCAGCCTGAAGTTATTGTTGGGCTTCAGCCTGTCAGTATAAGTGCTGTGTTCACTAGTAACACGGTGCTCACTATTGATGGGACTACGATTCCTATCACTGGTGCTCCTACTACCTTGGTAACTGCGTTTACTATTACGAAGACTTCGACTAGGTACATCACTGGGTAAGTTTATCCGATCTTTGAGTCTTGTGGAAGACTAGTTTAATGAATTGTATTTAGTAACCCAGAACCGTACTTTACTGGTCCCTATACGACCATCACTAGTAACAACCCCGGAACGAACCCCACTACGATCATCCGACCGCCCTCTGGCAGTGATCACACCGGAACTGTTATCATAGTCAACCCATCGGGTGGCTCTGGTGGCACACGTCCTGCCTTCACTGGCCCGTATACGACTATCACAGCCGATGGCCCAGGATCTCAGGCTACGACTGTGACACTCCCACCTTCTGGTACTGATGGTGTTGGAACTGTCATCGTGATTGATCCAACTTCTCCTGGTTCCAAGCCCTCTTCTACTCAGTCAGGTAAGTCTCCGGCAACGACTCTCACTATCCCACCATCTGGAACGGATGGCACTGGCACTGTTATCGTTATTGGACCTACGACAACTTCTGGATCTGGACATGCTTCCTCTGGTGGCTCAGCTCATACCACGTCTAGAGGTTCTGGTGTCCCCAAACCCAGCTCTGTCACCTCGAAGGGTCCCTTCACTGGTCCCTTCACCACCATTACTGGTATCAACACTGGTTCTGCTGGAACTACAGTCACACTCCCCCCCTCAGGCACTGGCAGTATCGGTACGGTCATTGTCCTTGAGCCTAGCACGACTGCCCAGAGGACGACCTTTACAGGTCCCTTCACCACGATTACTGGTGTCAACTCTGGCACGGTCGCTTCCACAGTGACCCTTCCCCCTTCAGGCTCAGACCCTACCGGCACTGTCATTGTCCTCGAGCCCAGTGGGACATCGAAGCCAAGTACCTTCACTGGTCCTTTCACGACCATTACTGGAGTTAATACCGGCTCATCGGGCACGACTGTTACTCTTCCCCCTTCCGGTACAGGCTCCGTTGGTACTGTCATCGTTCTTGAGCCTAGCAAAACTGGACCCCAAAGCACCTTCACTGGCCCCTTCACTACAATCACCGGTGTCAACACAGGAAGTCTAACTGCAACACTTACGCTGGCCCCCTCTGGCTCCGACCCGACCGGCACGGTTGTCATTCTAGAGCCTTCAGTCACTGCCCCTGCCTCTAGCTTCACAGGTCCCTTCACCACCATTACCGGTATCAACACCGGCACCGGTGTTGCAACTCTCACTCTAGCACCCTCTGGTACTGACTCAACTGGAACCGTTGTCATTCTTGAGCCTTCTTCCTCTGCCCCTCCAAGCACTTTCACTGGTCCCTTCACCACCATCACTGGAGCTGGTCCTACCCCGACCACTGTCACGCTTCCTCCTTCAGGTGGTGACCCGAGCGGTACTGTTATCGTGATTGGTCCTCCTTCAAGCACAACCTTTACTGGACCTTTTACTACCATTACGGGGGTCAACACAGGCACTGGATCTTCCACCGTCACCTTGCCTCCTTCTGGTACTGGCACCATCGGTACCGTTATCGTGCTCGAACCATCCACCAGCGCCAGCGCCACTGGACCTTTCACAGGACCATTCACCACTATCACGGGAGTCAACACCGGAACTGCAACTGGCGCTTCCACTCTGACTCTACCTCCCTCTGGCACCGACCCTACCGGTACTGTGATTGTCTTGGAACCTTCTGTTTCAGCCCCAGCGAGTAGCTTCACTGGACCTTTCACAACGATAACCGGGGTGAACACTGGCACAGCAACCGGCGCTTCCACATTGACCCTACCTCCTAGTGGCACAGATACAGTCGGCACAGTCATCATCCTAGAGCCCTCTACTTCCGCAGCCCCAACAACCTTCACAGGTCCTTTCACTACCATTACAGGCGTCAATACTGGAACTGCAACTAGCCCTGCTACTCTGACTTTGCCTCCTTCCGGCACGGATACAGTCGGGACTGTCATTGTCCTAGAACCTTCAACTTCAGCTGCAGCTACCACCTTCACTGGACCCTTCACTACCATTACCGGTGTCAACACGGGATCTGCAACTGGGCCTGCCACCCTGACACTTCCTCCTTCTGGTACAGATTCAGTTGGTACAGTCATCGTCTTGGAGCCTTCAACTGCTGCTACCCCAACTACCTTCACAGGTCCATTTACCACCATCACTGGAGTGAACACAGGGACAGCCACGGGAGCTCAAACCGTCACCTTACCACCCTCCGGAACCGATACCATTGGAACCGTCATCGTACTCGAGCCATCAACATCAGCCTCTGCTTCGACATTCACTGGTCCTTTCACTACGATCACGGGTATTAACACAGGCACAGGCACAGGTACATCAACCATAACTCTGCCCCCGTTAGGAACAGACACTATCGGAACTGTTATCGTTCTTGAGCCGTCTACATCAGCACCTGTATCAACATTCACTGGTCCTTTCACCACCATCACTGGTGTCAACACTGGTACCGCTACGGGTGCATCCACCTTGACACTCCCGCCATCAGGCACAGACACCATTGGAACCGTGATCGTTCTTGAACCTTCTACTTCGGCACCTGCTTCGAGCTTCACTGGTCCTTTCACTACGATCACTGGAAATGGTCCTGTTGCTACTACTGTGACTCTGGCACCATCTGGTACAGACCCTACCGGTACCGTGATTGTTCTTGAGCCCACTTCTACTAGTCCTGTCTCTCCTGGTGCTACTGGAACCAGCGATGCGGGAGCTTCCTCTACCGCTGCTCCTACTGCTGAGTCTTCATCCTCTGGCGCTGGAGAGTCCACCAGTACTTCAGATACCCCCGCCGAGACCTCTTCCGGCTCTGGCCCCGAGTCGTCTAGCACATCTGCACCCGCTGGTGAATCTTCCGGCGCCTCCTCTGCTGCTCCTGAGTCCTCTTCCGATGCATCTTCTGTCCCCACAGAGACATCTGCCAGCTCTGCGGGTACTGAAGAGTCCTCCGCTGCCACATCAGATGTTCCCTCCGAGACTTCTAGTGATGCTGGTGTGAACACTTCATCTGATGCTGGTGCCTCTTCCAGCCCCGCGACCTCTGATGTCCCTGAGACTTCCTCGGGTGCCGCAAGTAGCTCCGATGCTTCAAGTGATTCTCCCGCCACATCCACATCTGCAGCATCCGAGGAGTCTTCTGTTACGTCAGACGCCCCTGCTGAGACTTCCAGTGATGCTGGTGCTTCTACCTCTAATGCTCCAGCCACCTCTTCAGCTGACGCTGAGTCCTCATCCGCTACAGCTGGGGAGTTCTCTACATCTGATGGACCTGCTGAGACCTTAAGTGACACTGGCTCGTCTGCTGCCGCAACCTCTTCCGATGTTCCCGAGTCATCTTCAGCCGGCACTGAGCCTACCAGCACTTCCGATGACTCTGGTGCCAGTGCCACGTCGTCTCCCGCAACATCAGATACCCCTGAGACCTCTTCCGATGTTCCCGCAGAAACTTCCACCGATGCTGGTGCCAACAGCTCATCAGACTCTGGTTCTGCAACCTCTTCTGATGTCCCCGCTGAGACTTCCTCTGATGTCCCTGCCAACAGCTCCTCGGAAGAGGCCAGCACATCCGCACCTGCGACCTCATCCGAGCCCGCTGAGACCTCTTCCGCCGACACGGAGCCTACCAGCAGCGCAGCCGATACCTCTTCAACCCCTGCTGAGACATCCGCTCCCGAGTCCTCCTCCGCTGCCCCCGAGACCAGCGCCGAGCCCACCTCATCAGCCGCAGAGACATCTGCTGAACCTACTACAACCGAAGCCCCAACTTCTTCAGCAGAACCTACCAGCTCCCCCCCCAGCCCAACCACTCCCGAGCCCCAATCCTCCTCCGCATCAGAGTGTATCCCCACAGCCAGTGTCCAACCCTTCTGCGACGTCGCTCTCCCCGCCGGCTGTCAAGCCCTCGAGACCACAAACGGTCTCGCTCTGGTGCCCGTCCTCGCCGCCTGTACCGTCGCCCTCGGTCCTTTCGCCATCGGCAACGTTGCTACCTGTCTTGCAACTATCCCATCTTTCTTCACCGTTGGTTCAGACATTGCCGATTGTATCCTCACTGCCTTTGAAGGTCGCTGCATCACCACACTTCCCGACTCTTGTGCCGATCTCGCCAACGCCAACGGTCTCGCGCTCGTGGCTGATGTCGCTGTCTGTGCCGTTGCCCTTGGTCCCTTCGCTGCTGGGAGCGCTGCTACTTGCCTCGCCTCCGGATCCATTGGCTCGTCTACTACAGGTGTTAGCATTGTGGAATGTCTTGAGATTGCGTTTGGCTTCGCATCTGGCACGGGTACCATCACTGGAGCAGACAACTGTGTTGAGCCAACGCCGACCCCAACTCCTGTGGAGGTGTGTGCATCTGTTCCTGAGCCCTGCGAGAATCTCGCCAACACCAACGGCCTCGCTCTCATCGCCGCTATCCCTGTTTGTACAGCTGCACTTGGTGGCTACGCAGTCGGTAACGTGGCGACTTGCTTGGGCACCGACCTCATCAGTTCAAACACGTTGGGTGAGACTATCGTCACTTGTCTTGAAGATGCCTTGTCTGAGCAGTGTATCACTTCGCTTCCTGAGCCATGCCTCAACTTGGCCGACAATAGCGCTATCCAACTTGCCATCAACCTTCCACTTTGCGTGACTGCTCTTGGACCATTCGCTGTTGGAACTACGGCTACTTGTCTCACGTCTAGCTTGACTAATGGCAACTCCATCATTGAGTGTCTGAACGATTCCCTCTTCAGCAATACTGCAGAGGCTGTGTAAGTGGTGTTTGTGGGTTAGTCGGGTTGGAGAAGTGAGATGGTGTCTGAAGTTGTTGATGTTGGAACTCTTTCATTTGTGATATAGCTATTGGGGAGGTCTTTGAGTAATGTTGGTGTCATGTCATGTTCAGCGTGGCAATGGTAGTCACAGGGCTATGTATAGTAGCTCATAATACTCAATTCACTTCCTTTCTACCTGGTATCTCTACTAGTATATCAAGCTCTTTGCCTCTCATTCCTTGTGCATCGCCATGTCATCCATCTTCTTCTGCCCAATTGCATTCGCACCGACAGGAGCATCAGGTCCATCAAAGATCTCCGCTACCTCCTCAAGAGAATAGCCCTTGGTCTCAGGGAAGAAGAAGAAGATCAAGGTCAAGTGAACAGCAATCGCAACACACCAAACGATGTAGTACTTCCAAGCAATAGCCTCCATAGCAACAGGGTTGGCGAAAGCGTTGTAAACACCCGCCAAGTTACCGGTGAGCTGGTACAGCATAGATGCCTTGGCGCGGAGCGAGTACGGTGTGACCTCCATGATATAAGTGGCTCCAATGGGAGAACAGGCGTGATACCAGAATGAGAAGACAAAGATCATGGCTAAAACTGCACCAGCGTAGCCCATATGCTCAAAGTTCTCCTGTTGGTTGCGGGCAGAGCAGATTGTCCAGATGATGTATGATACACCCATACCTGACATACCAACAAGGAAGAGTCTGCGTCGACCAAACTTGTCAATCATGGTGGCGAACACAACAGCTGAAAGGAAACCCCAGATTTGGAGACCGGCATTGAGCAGAAGCTGGGTCTTGTGGTCGGTGATGTTGATCGAGTTGAGGACCTTGGCGAGATAGTAAGACGTGAGCGCATTGCCAGACCATTGCAACATGGCGGGAATGTATAGAGCAAGGAAGAACCTATGCCAGTTGCCTCGAGTAGAAATCCACTCTGCCCATCGTGACTTCTTCTGGACCTTCTCGATCTCGAGCGTCGCTGTGATCTCAGCCATTTCGAATCGTGCAAGTCTCGAGTTGGGATCGCCATAACCATGCCACTTGACGAGAATATCCTTAGCTTCCTGATATCGACCCTTGTAGATCAGCCATCGAGGAGACTCGGGTGCAAACATGACTAACGAAGCCTGAACAACAGAGAAAACGCCCTGAAGAAGACTGGGAAGACGCCATGCCCAAGAGCTCTGCATCTGAAAGCTTCCGTACGTAACCCAAGCAGCAATGATAGCACCAAGTGGCCACGAGACCATCATGAAAGATGTCATCTTTCCACGATGCGTCGGGTATGTAACTTCGGAAAGTAGAGGAGGTGCCGCAGTAGAAACAATACCGAGACCGAAACCGATGATGAAACGCGAAGCAACAAACATGCCATAGTTATACGAGCAAGTCTGAACAATCGCACCAACAATGATAGTCACCGATCCGATGAAAATGGGCTTTCTTCGCCCCAGCCAATCGCACAGCTGGGAAGAAATAAGGATCGAAATGAGAACACCACCGTTGGGTCCAAACGTCATAGCACCAAGACGCGTCCCCTTGGGTTCGCCGAAGTATTCCTGCCATTGAGGCAGCGACTGCGCTCCATTCAGCATACTCGCGTCAAAACCAGTAGCGGTTTGAGTCAAGAGACCGCTCAGGAGGAGGAGGTTGAGTTTCCATAATGTCCAGTCAGAGTACCATGGTTTGCGATCGCGGGGAATGACATCGGCGAGGACGAGACCTTGGAAGTCATTGGCGTCGGCGTCGGGGATATGAGTTTCTTCGGCAGCTTGCTTTGACATCTTGAAAGAAGCAGACTTGACTCAAAGGGAAGTAAAGATGGTTGAGTCTGGTGTTTGTGTTTCGTTTGAATGACCCCACAGTCCTTTATATCTACGACTTTGACTTTGTGGGGTTGGAACCAAGGCTGGGAGTGACATTCCCTCTCCGGTAGATGAACCGAGGAACTCGTACCATTCATCACCCAAGACTGACCCCAAAACTTGCTTGCGGGGGAGACTTGGGCCGATGCCCGCTGCGAGTTTGCGGGTTTTTTACCCCGGATCTACCCCAGATTCGTTAACGTGCCGTGGGGTCTTTACGCTCTGTTTGGCTAGAGGGTAAATCCACTCACGTGAGCGTGACCAATGTTCTTGGTTCGGGGCAAACGGAGCCGATGGGGGCATTGAACCGGCAGCGGGAGAATGATCGGGCATCGTTACTCCGGGCATTCCACTAGCGAATTCTCAGATCATTAATGCGAAAAAGGAAAGAATACACAACTAACTGTCGAGTTAATTGTAGCTAACTCGTACGCTTAATTGACATGAAATCATCCCTGTACCCCAATCCATTAGTCATCTGTGTTCTGCTGGGTAGATACAGGGTAACTTGAGGTATGAAGTATGCTGGGAATCAATTGATCGCGTTATTGCCTTGACTGAATTAAACATACTTGGAATAAAAGTGAGATAAAAAGATTGGTACCCTCAAAGATTGTGCTCTGGACGTAACTACATGGGCATCAATGCTGCGAAATAAGAATATCTTTACAAATTTGAGCGTGAAAAAGTTGCTCAGCTCACACGAAAAGAGACAAGCCGGGATGAATAAACTAAATCGAGAAGCCACATTACCGCATCACGATAGTATGATCTGGCAATTGAATAGCCATTAACTTATTAGATGACTTAGTGAATATTCTTGAGTGTTTGATTGTATTTAAAATAGATTCTGTGGCGACCAGTTAAGTGCATAGCAGTGCGCTTAGGATTGAAGTTGAGATCTTATCTCAGATAAGATCCATGAAGGCCTTCAGATAAGGAAAACCAAGCTAAGATAAGCGATCAACACTTCACTTCAGTCCAGAGCAAGTACTCCATTGCTGGATAACGATTGAGACGCTAACTAGATTTATCGAGTAAAACGATAGTCTCGCTCTCAAAACTCAGCTGAGAGCTCAATGGCACCCAAGCTCTCACCGGCCCTCTCCCCTCTCCACCGTCATGACGTGCAATATTGAAGGAGAAATGCATGTCTCAGGCGTTCAGTCAGCCCCCGAGCTCGGAAATGCTGAATTGGGTCAAGCGCTCATGGTTTGAGCTGTAGCGTTAATCCCCAGCGAATCGCCAACTGAGAGAACATTATCTGGTCCGCATAGGAATTTGCCAAGCAATTCAGCTGATGCAAAGGTAGCTTAGCCTAGAGCCTGGAACTACAACTTGCATCACAAAATGAAATTCTAAATTCGTGGGTAGCTATGCTCAGCTAGCAACCGAGTTGACACTCAATATATTCTGGATCACAGTCGGGTCTAGGACGACACGTGCTTACTTTCTATCACATACCATCCAGTTTCCCAGTCTATATGCATTTAGTGGCGCATGCAATGCGACGACTTATCGCCATTCTGTGCATATTCTGTTTGTGATTAAGAATTTGAGAGTAATGTGATAGCGAAATACTGGAATCTCAGCCAGCCACTTGAGTGGCGCCGCCAATGATTCATCTGTCGCCTGCTCCATGCTGGCCCAGCCCTGGATTCATTTGCCATGTGGAAAAAAAAAAAAAAAAAAAAGAAATGCTATAAGAACCGAGCGATAGCGACTCGGGTTTGAATGTCGCAAACAAGCAAACAAAGATCAATAAGTCTCAACTACTTCAAGTAAGCATGGCGTCAACATTCGACCTCGCTACGGATGAGTTTCTCACTTGTGAGATTCATTCCGAGAGCACCCTCCCACTTCTGAGTTACTTCATCGCGTGCAAGAAGCACAATCAGAATGGCTCCAGGACCTTGTTCCAAAAAGTCAAGTCAAAGATCGGAGTTGCGGATCGTCCCATCCCTGATGAGTCCGAGCAGTTGCAAGATGTTCTGCTGGCTCTGATGAAAGATGGTCCCGGAAAACATGGGGAGAAGATCCCCGGCTGCCCAACGGTGAGTGAACTCAGCAATCATCTCTATGCTACACCCTGCTAACCATAAGTAGGTGACTATCGTCGGTGCTGGTGCCTCTGGCCTTTGTGCTGGCTACGAGCTGAAGAAAGCTGGGTTCAAGGTCACTATCCTTGAGGCTTCTTCACGAGTCGGCGGGCGAGTCAAGACCTTTCGTGAGCCAACCTTCGCTCATGGTCTTCATGGAGAGGGCGGTGCCATGCGTATTCCCGCCAATCACTACTTACTACACAAGTATATCGAAGACTTTGGCCTAAAGCCCCAGCTGTTCGACTTTGAGATGAAGAACAAGTTCATTTACATCTCAGGCTACGGCGAGACGCTTACCTACGATCACTTCAATGATCTCCTGCAGGCAAAGGACCCCAAGCTGCTGTCTCTCTTCCCTGGTCTCCGCGAATGCGAAAAAGGTAAGACGTGCGACAAGCTGTTCACAGAGGCTGTTGGAAAAGTCGTGGATGACTTTTGGGAAGCCTATGAAAAGGCCGCTGACGAGGTCTCGTTTCCTGAGAAGATTCAGGTCCAAGCTATCAAGGATGCATATGCCGCGATCACCAAGAAGTATGATAGCTACACGCTACGATCTTACTTGACTGATGTTGCGGGGTGGACTGAAGATGCTATCAATCTGTATGATCTTGGAAATGCTCATGTCGTCTTTGAGAATGGGTTCATTGAATCGTTCAAGGATGCCTTTTTGTCAAGTAACAAGGGCGGCGAACAGGCGGGTATGAAGCAGCTTCAGGAGGGGATGGATGTTGTGCCCAACGCTTTCGTCTCTAGCGAGCGAGGAGAAAGTGAGTCGCAGTCGCCCCTTCGTTGAAGACACCCTTAACTAATACAATACAGAATCACTGGTGGATGATATCATTTATGGTGCTCGAGTTACCGAGATAGGTATCCTTGAACAATCGGATCCCCGGATCCCACTCCAGGCTCCAGTGAAGGTGACCTACGAAGTCACAGCCAACAGCCTGAAGAAGTCCATAACCTCAGACTATCTTATCCTCGCCATCCCCTATACCGCTCAGCGAACAATTGCCAAATCAAAGCCTTTCGTTCCCATGCAGGAAATGGCAGTTCGAGACGTTCGCTACGTGGAAGTCACCAAGATCCTCCTGCAGTACAAGAAGAGGTGGTGGGAGGAAGTCTTCACCAAAGCAGACCAAGGCTTAGACGGTGGTCTCGTCAGCGACCTTCCTATCCGCTACACCATGTTCCCCAAAACAGATGGCAACACCCAGTTCGAACATTCTAACCGTGGTGTTATCATGGCAGCCTACACCTTTGAGCAAGACGCCACTATTCTTGGATCCCTCTCTCCAGAGCGGCGTATTCAAATCGCTGCTGAGAATCTCAATAGGATCTTTCCCGGTGCCAGGTCGCTTGACCTTCTCGAAGCCGGAGCATCGCAGGTCTTCCCAGCCGATGAGCTGGCTGGTGGGAGCGCGTTTTGCTATTTCGGTCCGATGCAAAAGACCAAGTTCTTGGATACTATGCAGAAGCCTGATTGGGAGAATAGAGTTTTCTTTGCTGGTGAACAGGCTAGTTTTACTCATGGATGGATCCAGGGTGCTTTTGAAGCTGGACTTCGATGTGTTCAACAGATTTGGTCCGTTGCTATTGAGGGTAAGGCACAGTGAGGGAAACAATAAAAGACCTTGATCTTACCACGTCACTTGCTGTTTCCTTTGCTTTTCATATGTAGTTCTAATCGCTCGACAACATCATCCTCTCACTGAGTCCCTCATTCTAGTACGATTCTTTTGCTGCACGGCACCATGGACCTCTTCCTAGACCCTATCGTAAAATGGCCAGTCTGCTGCTTAAGCCATGTTCTGTCGCTTGTCTTCAGACATTCAGTCCGCACTGATCAGGAATGCACTTTAACTACCAGCTACCCAGACTATACCAAAGAGGGATATTGTAACAATCCTTGTGTACTAAAAGGATTAATAGCCCGCTATGAGATATAAGGTCTACTCAAAAGCATGTCAAGCAAGGTGCGCTTGTTTGCATGCAAGTTGGGGGTCAGAAGAGCAGCAATCTTGAAAAGGGCATGCAGGTCAAGTGTCGAGACATTGCTATTTCTAAGTACCAATTAGCATGAAATTATAGACGGTCGAAGTAGTAAAGCCTTTTCGATCACAGGAGCTAGAAGCGGTGGGTAGACTGCCACAGAGCAGTCAAGTTCCAGACTCTGATATACTGGAACGTGTTGTGAGGAACAAGTGATAGAACCACAATAATGAGAGGTACAGCGATGTATACTTTCGTAGCATTTCTTATGAAAGTATCGAGCTATATATATGGATGGCCTAGATACATGTCCCTAGCCTAAACAACTGAACACAATATTCCATCCTGAACTACGCATCCCCTTCCGTAGCTAGGCCGAGCTCTTCAATTGAAGAGCTACTTGAGAGTGATTCTTAATATATTTAAAATACCGACCTGACAGTGCCTCCAGTAGCCAATGGTCAGTGTTTGAGTATACCGGTCCAGCTAAAGACCCCGGGCGCGTCAAGTGAAAGCTGTGCCATTTGGTGAATCAAATCGTTCGCTGTTGCCTCATTTTGAGCGTCATATTCGCACTTGAACTTTTTCAACTCGCCCCAAGAATTCTCGAGTCCAGGGATGTCATCCCAGTTCTCGGCCCCAGCACGCTTATTCAAGAGTGACTCGTACTCATCCGGCTTGTTCTCTTTGATTGCGACTGCGATCTTCTTCAGATCATCGAGGCTTATCTTGTGTGTCTTTGTACCTCGTGGAGGCTTGATCCCATAGTTGCTCTTAATCATCTGTAGCCATTCATTAGCGATCTGGTCTTGGTAAGGAAAGTGTGGACTCTTGATGCTGACAGTAATGGTGAGCGCGTCAAAGTCTGGCTTTGGCATGCGTGCTGTGATGGTTCTCACATCACCCGGAAATAGCAGATTTGGGGCTTTCCATTGATCTGTCTTTACAGAGAAACTCTCTAGCAACACCTTGCACAGTTCTTCAGAAGTGATTGTCGCGAAGTGACTATCCTGGCCTTCGGACGAAAGAAGATTGGCCAGAAAACCGGAGACTAATGGCGCGGCTAAACGGGTCTGTCAGCATTCGAAGGAAGGGAGTGAGATAAGGAAAAGTATCCACAACTCACCGAAGGATGTGCCGGACGTAATCAAGTTGCTACCTGGCACTGCTATATCCGTACCTGGTGCGTAGACGTCCACCACTGTTGTTACTTCGTTAGCTCTGAATACATTCTCGTCACAGGGTAGTTTACGTACATGGACCATAGCATGATTGCTGGTTGATCTTACCCTTCTTGTCTGTATTACCGACAACTATCACTCCGGGCTCACATTGCGGCCAGGCCTTTGAGGTTCTATACAAGCATGTCTTGGACTTTATGTCAGCAAGCCGTCCAGGAGGCTGATTTGTCGTTGTCTTACCCCGCTGTTTCCAGCTGCAGCCACCGGAATGATGTTGTACTCTTTTATCAACCGCTGAAGGATGTATGAGGCGGTTCGAACGGTACCAGGCTCCTGGTCTCCAAGCCCCCAAGACATATTCAAAACGATACGGCCGGGCAATTTGTTGTTTTGGATTTCCAGCTGAAGACCAGATAGTGCGCATGTCACAAAACCTTGCGTGGGCATCGTGCCCACGAAGTAGTGGATTTTGACACTTGCTTTGGGAGCGACTTTCAAACTGGTTAGTTACAGCCTGATAAGAGTTCCCGATGAGTACTTACCGCCGTGATTTTGCCCACAGGCAATGTTGGTGACTATAGTGCAATGGTCTTCGGCCTTACCGACGGTTTTACTGGCATTGACCGTAAACGGACGATCAGCCTAGAACGACCTGCTTAGCTGACACGACTCCTGGTGGAGATAATTGCAATACACCTTACCTCTATGTCGTTTTTCACATAACCCTCCCCGTCTACGATACAGATAGTCACATTCTCTCCCTTCTTGCCCATGACTGCTGTGTCTCTGACCCATGAGTTGGATTTGTTTTCATTCAGGATCTGGATCTCGTTGAACCTGTCATCCGACAACGTGACCTTGGACGCCCCCCAATTAGAGCAGGGCTCTTCAGTAGCGACATATTTTTCGACAACTATATTGGGAGTAAAGCAGAGTAGTTCCTGCAATATGTCAGTTGAGGGAGTCCGGATCCATACTTGATATCGAGTAGCCTTACAGGAGATGCATTAATTGCCTCTACAACCTTTGGATGGAAGTAGCCCACGTACATGGTGGTAGGATTGTCCAGCGTTGCCTCTATTCCTGGAAAGTTGGTGGAGCCTAAGGATGGATTATCTTGGCTCAGATTTCGAATCTTCTCGATATGGGCATCCCGAGCGGCCTGAGAGACACGATAACTACCATCTTTTAGTTGGACGACCCCCGCACCATCCAATACTTTAACGCCCTGCAGAGTATTCAACTCTACTTGATCAATTGACTTGAGAGCTGGTAGGGGTTTGGGACTATGCAACCACATAGATTAGTCATAGCTTGGCTGTGTTAATCGTGATGGAGTGACATACGGTTGAGGCTTGGTATTGTCCTTGCCAACGCGATTAGCGAGTGGCACGGAATGGCGTACCGTAGTATCTTGCTCAGGCATGGTGAAGAGAAGCCTGCTTATGTTTCTGAATGAGGGAAAGTGAGGTGTTTAGAACACTCTGAATATGTCTTTATGTCCTGATAATATTTGGAAGAACAGAAATCATGAGGAGGATCTTTTGTGATAACAACAGTCGTTTAGTGTTTAGTCCTGATAGAACTGGACACCGGGATACAGCTTGAAGTTTAGCTCGCTTACAAGTCGCAATATTCATTCAACCCATGGATACTAAGGCTAGAATAGATATCATTCAATAGTTCCTTAGAATCTGAGACACGATTGGCGCCGAGAGATGCCGATAGCCGAAGAGAATGCATCTATACCTCTGTGAAAATACAACATGGCACGATTCGATCACATTGCCTCTGAAACTGGATTAATAAAATCTAGCGTCTTCAGATAACACCCCGGCGTGTTAGCTTTCTGTTTACAGAAGTACTCTATACTTGTGCGATGATCCTGGTATAGGCATATTTCCAGGCTATGGCGTGGCTTGTCCCCCACTACGATGGAGCCACTAAGAGCTATTGATCAAAGCCACACCCTGGTCGCTTGTTCGAGACCATTCAGTAATACAGATGACCAACAGCAGTTCACATCCTATCCTCATCCAGACATCTAGACATTGAGCTGGCCGCATTGATGTGATACTGACTCTATTATCACACACTATTGAAACCTTTTGTTTTCAGCTGAAGCATGTGATAGATCTGGACTGTCGGTCGGAATAGAACCCTTGCGCTTGGGGTCATTGCCCACATGATGCAAGCGGCGAACGCCGACTGCTCAAAGAGGTTTTCCTGTTTGGCAGACAATCCCTACACTCTCTTTGCTATGCTTACAGCTACAGCTACAGCTCCATTTCATCACAAATCTTCCCAACACGCGTCAGATCACACTGTCATAAAATGTTATCTCTAGAAGACCTTCCGGTGCCTACTGTAGAGAAGCAGGTTGACATTGGCAGAGAGCTTGTCTTCCCATGGATTCATCGAGAGCTCACCTTAGGCACTGGCTTCTCATCAAAACTTATATCTACACCCAATCCTTGGATCACGGCCAGATCTCCCTTCAACATTGACGAGCTCAGAAAGCAGCGACTGCTTTATGACGGCAAAGTGGAGGGTAGACATAATTTTCGCGATGCTGAGTCCACCTCTCATTCGACTGGCATGGAGCATACCAGTGGCAGTTTGGGAGTGGCAGTTGGATGCTCATTCCTGAGTGCAAGCGTGACAGGGTCGTATGACAAGACAGTCCTAGAGACCAAAGATGTAAGTTAAACATGGTCTTGCTGCAGTCTCAGTTGGGCTGATGTATGGTAGACGTATAGCGTGTCGCGCACCTGTTTGGTCCGCGATGGAGTGATACGGTTCAAAGCAGAGCCTCGTCTTTCGTATGAAGCAGAAAAACTGCTGAGAGAGCCCAATGGCCAAGCCAAATTTCAGGAAGTCTACGGCGACTACTACGTCTCGTGCTACATCCTGGGAGGGGATGCAGGTGTTTACGTGGCTACGAGCGACGACACTGTCGATACTAAAACAAAGGAAAAGGTGACTGTGAAAGTCAAGGTCTTGTTTTTCACAGCCAGCAAAACCTTTGAGAAAGAAAAGTCAACACACGACGAGACTTTTCAGGTGACTATGAGCGGCTATGACACACTGACCAACACTTGCCACGGTTACCCGTCGAAGAAGAAGGGCTTGGACAAGGTTTCTCAGGCTCAGTTTAATGAGGTGAGAAGTCAGAGTATAGGATATCTCCAGAATGTAGATAAACTGCCTTTTCGTGTCCGTGAGCGGATGCGGGAGTTGCGGCTAGTTAATGACCAAGATGAGCTGGAGTGGTCTCATTGTTCAGATATTTGTCGGGCTGGGTTAGTAGTCCAGGTGATTCTGATGCCATATCGTTATTTGAGGGACTACCAGATAGCGTTGTACAGGAATTAGCGATAGACTGTTATGTAGTGATCGTTGTTCATTTGAAATACAGAAGATTGTGCAAACTCAGATACACAGAATAGCAGGAGCAGATCAATAGCCTATCATGTAACTATGATGTCTAAGTTGTGAGCCAGATGTGTTATTAGCAGCTGAGACTTGTGGCTGACAGCTTGAATCAGCACAGAGGACTTGATTATGTACCTTGTACAAACTTGTGGATGTAGTTATTTGTAAAACGTTTACTGCTGGCATGTTAAAGGCATTCTCGGACGCTGATTGATGTGGATCATTTAAGGTCTTTCATGCAATGTTGCGGATGAATCAGAGCTCAAATAGAAAGAAGACGACGACTTATCAAGCATATATAAACCAGATTCATTGAGACTAAGAGCAAGACCGAGGAACCTCGAACTAATTGTCCAAAACCAGAGCCATTATCTTCCATAACAAGTGTTCTACTCGTCAAGACCATAGAACACACCCAAGCGATCAAATGCTGACCCACTTTCACCCCAGAAACCTCTAAGAGAGTAGTTTGCTACTGGAGCATCTGTCCACAGGGTATCTGACTGATCAGGTGGCACATCCATACCCAGCTTTGCTGACTGGCCCCCGGCGGTAGCCAACGTGATAGAACTTACGACCTTGACCGGAAAATCAGGAAACTTGCCAGCCGTGATCTGCACCGATGTGATACGATCGCCGACGTTGGTTACTGCAAAGGTCTTCGGCGTGCTGTTTGGGGGATGACCTGGCGTGTTGTCGTGACTGCGGAAGAGAGATGGCTTGTCGGTGAAGTCAAGCTGATAAGCTACGATGTAGTTGTTGGAGCTCTTGTTGTTGATCCAAACGCTGACGCTCTTGACAATATGGCTGTTGGTCACGGAGGGGAAGTCGTTGATGATGGTGCCGGGCTCATGCTTGGTGTGATCACCTGCCCATGCTGTCATGAGAAACTTGGAAGACTTGGGGTCCTTCAAAGCAGTCTCATACATGGGCTTGAAGTGGTCTGGCAGCTCCTTAGGAGCATAGTATAGTCTCTCATGCAGCGTGGGGGCGGGCGCGGCAGAGGCGGTGACCAGCTTGGGTTTCTCAATCTTGGTAACAGTCTACAAAACAAATCGTTAGAAAAAGGGAAGACCGCAGGTGCTATCTGTACGCAACTTACAGGGAGTAGCCTTCGAAAGAAAGTGGGATTAGTGTACTGAAGATCTCGCTCCGGGTCCAGCGCAAGCATGGGATTGGCAATGACTTCATCCACCTCCTTGACGATCTTGAGCATCTCCAGTCTGCAGTCCTTCCTGGCCTTCTCCAGACCGAACTCATCAGGTTCATACGGAATGCCGATGTTGTCTGGGTATTCAAAGTTCTTGGATGATTGAGAGCTTGCGGTATGGGTGCCGCCAGGAGAGTGCAAGAGGTTGACCAGCTCTAGCACTTGCTCGCTGCTGTCGCCAGCGTTTTCGCGAGCCGTGTCGACTAAATCTTGCAGAAAGTGAAGGGCTTCCATCCTTTTGGGCTTGCTAATCTCCGTCTTGACATCAGCTTTTCTTGGCTCTATCTTCGCCGTCTTCAGTGTGACATTGTTATCCTCATAGTCGGTAATGTCTACGAGGTCATGGTAATTAGTCTTATGCGCGGCGTCTTTCGCAAAGATTCAACACTAACCTAGGTGAATCTTCTTCCAGATGTTCTTGTAAGCCATCATGGCATCCAAGAGATCGTTGGTGTAGAGACTGGCAACGTCGTAGTCAAGAACAGTTGGTTTGGGGCTGAGCTTCTGGAAGCTGAGAAGGTTCTCGTACTTTGTGAGTATAGCGCTACGTGGTATCGTCAGCAGTCGGTCGTCCAAAGAAGCCACAAATACGAAGGAATAACATACTAAGTCCTCTGCGGGCATCGAGCAACGTTGTAGGGGAATGCGGCAGCCGCTTTGGTCAGTGACTCGATGGACCATAGCTCATCGGCGGGCTTAATATCCCCACCTCCATTCCAGTTAACAGTGATGGTAGTCTCGCAGTTCTTCAATGCATTCGTCTTATCAAGATTGAACGAAGCATTCAACTTGCCACCAGCTGCATTGCCCTGTCCGAAACTCGCTTCAAGTGCAGCTTTGATATCTGACTCGGTCGACTTGTCGGTGATCTTGACAGACACGATGGCATCAAGCTCACCTCCTTCGATGAATCCAGAGATGTAACAATCCCCGTATACCTTCATGAACTTGCCAGTGTTCCAGACGCCATCAATGGCATTGAACTGCCGCACATCTTCAGCCATAATGGTTTGATTGACGACAGTTACCTGGACAAAGAAGTTGAGGGTGCTCTCCTTGAACTTGTCAGAGTTGACATAGGATCCTGTGAGACCGCCACCTGCTGTGGCTGTCTTGATGCTCAGGGCTGCTGAGACATTCATGGCATCCGTTACTTCAGAGACCTTGTCGACGTGACGTGTGCAGTACGAGACAATCTGACTGACTTGCTTGGTGTCGCCCTGGTAATGGTCGCCACCAGGGGTCTCTGTGTCATAGACAACGGCATCGTTCACCAAGATTTCATGCGTGTAGGAGTTGAAACTAACAAAGTCAGTCTTGGTGGGCTGATCAAGGCTATCATGCTTACCCTTGGCCAATTCTCATAGCGGCATGATACGGGGCAAGAGTGAGAGCCATCTTGTAAGTTCGCAATGGCTATTGTGTCAAGACAAGCTACACTGATTGATGGATGGAGTGCGAGGAGAGGTATGCTCAAGAAGAAGAGATTAGAGCTCTGTAAGGTGCAAATTTCGTCTGGATTCCCTGCCCAAAATCTGGCGGTGATCATATCTTCTACTCATCCGAGATCCTACTAGATATAATTGATAGAATAGCTATTCTGTGGACATTTGCTAAACTCACGCCTCTCTAATGAACCAGAGGAACATATGCAATTGTCGCGAGTACATAGACATGTTACTCTGATCGATCCAGATCCGTTGATGGCTTAGATTGGGCCACGTGCCGCCTCTAGTGCGGAACGGCCGACCAGGAATATCCTGCATGAACTATTGGCGCACTATTGATCTCCACTTCTTTCGCACACCTCTCAGTATTCCATCTTTGCAGCGCCGAGGACATTCAGGCTATGCCTAAGCTGGAAACATCCTTGAGGGTGCTTTTTATATGTAGCTGATGTCACCTTTTGTTCGTCATTATAGGCTGACAATTGTCAATGATGCGGCGCACTTACTAGCCCTGGAAGAGCCTTCTTCACTGCTCAGTCAAGGTCTTTCACTCACCGAATTCTAGACCGTTCTTAAATTGTCTTTTTTGTGATCCAATGTCACCTGGCGATTAAATCAGCCCTTTCGGGCACCGTTCGTATGACTATTTGGATTCACGCATGGGATGGTAACAAGCCATCCCAATAACCCTGTTTCATTCATTCTTTTAGGACTACCTAGATATCTCTATACAGAGGCCCGGACTGACTTGAATAGGCAAGTCCTATTTTGTTTGTTTTCATCAGTATTGCACTCCTCCTATTTCTACCATTACATCGTCCCTGTATGTTGGAAGGGATTACAGACTCTCATTCAATCTCATATTTTTCTTTCAGTATTTACAACATGGAAGCCGCTCATGATACATGGCCCGCGCCATCTGGTGCCAAAAGGAACTTTGGGCCATTGAACCAGTTGGGTGACTTGTCCAAGGCAGACCCGGATAAGATCAGCGTGATCGACTTTTATGCATACCAGCAAATCTCTTTCATCACTCCAACACAACTGTGGGATGCATTGAAGCCCGGAGACGCGTACAGATTTGTAGACTGTCAAGGTATCTCATTGTTCAAATTTCACCCTCTCGACCATCTGGATATTATGGGCTAATCTAAATATCACAATCTTTATGTATAGAAAACAAAGAAGCCACATTAATGCTTGCTGGAGCCATTAGGTGGGACGTCAAAGACGATCGCGATATTCATAAAGAAGCTACATTCCTTCGACGCAAGGACAACGCGAAGGACTATGGCTACTTCCAAGATAGCCTTTTCCCTACTGATCCCCACAAGTTGCCCGATATCGTTATCTTCAACTGTCAACTTGGCGTCAACCGTTCCCCTATGATGGCTTTCTGGTACATGAGATACCTTCTCAAAACTTACCCATCAACTGTCCCTGACAGACCAAATGTAAGAGCACTCAAGACCAGGGTATATATTCTGGAAGGCGGTGTTTCGGGTCTTGAAAGTTCAGGGACACCAAGAGGCCTACAGAGCCTACGTAAGTCCAATTCCCTTGAACGGCTAACTCTAGCCCCGCTGCCAGAGGTTTAATGGAAATGATACTGACCCGTTCCAATGTGATAGTATACGACCCATCAAAGAAATCCGGGACTAGTGGTTCTGGGACATCTTTCGCCTCTTCCCCTCAACCCACAAACCAGAGTAACATGAGACGTGTAACATCTGGGGTGAGCAAACCTAATTGAGTGATTCTTCTGTTGTATGCGTCAGGTCTGGTAGCAAAGAGTGGTTAGGGATGGCTACTAGATGAAGCCGGTTTAGCAACCACGTCTGAATCATGACATGGTCGAGTTGGAAAGGATGGCAATGTAGTTACAATGACCGCGGTTTGATAGATGTTGAGAACAGAATCGAGAAGTTTTGCGATACCGATTATTTCCCTATCACTATAGCTTTGACCCAGTGACAGTTGGTGACATGGCCGGTAAGTCAAAAGTGACAAGAGAGCACCAAACAATTGTCTTCTGTTCCAAGACAGCCAAACTAATAGTGAATGCTGGGCCATCCACTGGTCCACTCCTATTTGGTAAGACGGATGATATACTTCAAATGAACGGACAGCATGGTGTAACAAAAGAGAGTCATCGTTAGATCAAAGAAGGTATGGTGTGCTTCCGATGTTCATCGTTCCATATACTAAGAGCCAGAAGTTTCGCTATCCCTTGTCTTAATGTAAGGGCTCAGACGAATATGTTAAACTAATACTAAAGTTGCACTATTCACTTCGCTGTTGAGTCTGTCAATTCAACGAAACTAACTAGAGATCAAGCAACGAGTATGCTGGGGATTGGCTTTGAAATTACATTCCTAGGCGCCGCCGTTTGACGGTGGACAAAGCTGAATCTGCAGGTCCGAAGTGCATGCAGCAATCCGTCAAGTCGTCCCAATTCGTTAAAAGTGGCTTGCTTGGCCAAAGCTGAATGCCCATCTCGTCGGCCCCAACTTTCCCAGCGCGTGATAGTGGTGCCCCTAGCGCCTACTTGCCGCTGAACTAGAAGTGCTAAGCTTTTCGCACTCGCCCCGTCTAGCCTAAGGCAGTCTAGGTCTGGCACGGCACGGCACGGCTTCTCCGCCCAGCATTGTAGCTGTTCGACTGTGGCGAGCTGGCATGTCAGTGAACTGAGACATGCATACGAGTGCATCTAGACTTTGATAAATAATGCTGATTCAGTGGCGTTGTCGTTGGTAGCCGAGCACATGGGATCGCGGCAGTCGGCACATAGTAAGTTACTAAAGCGACGGATTGAAAGTGCGAGAAGGCTAGCTGTCGGCGGATTGGCTTTTTTAGACTTAAATCCTGGCAGCGCGATGCAATTGAAGCTGAAAGAGTATCACACACTAGGCATTCCATGGTTTGCGGCCCTCGCGGCCTGCTTTGCGTTATGAACTTATGCGGGAGCTAAGGACATCACGGTTCCGGAATCACAATTCCCCCGAGAATATTTCTCAAAAACCATGTAATCTCAGGGTCTAGATGTGTTAGTGGCTGTTTCTGGCACGTGTCCTGCAGATTTAACCCTGCATTGATGTTCAGATTCGTGGTCTGATCTAGAACGGAAAGCCGCGGGGTCGATAGATTCCTTCAGGATTTATATGCGTGGACCTAAGATAAACAGAACAAATAGTATACACAAATCACTCCAGAGAGGGCGCACTTCGGAAATTTTTATCAAGCCAACAATCTGAAGTAAGCCACTGTGTATGTCACTTAGTGAACTCCTAATTGTGGGCTTGCAATTCGAGCCGCGCATCCACTTATTAATGCCTTCAGTTACAGATGACCTAGACTGCCAGTGACGGCAAACGACGGTAAATATTACGCGGCCTTGACTGTTTTCATCTGTCATGATCTTGGGCTATCATGAGGGTAGTTGATATGCTTCCTGAAGACTGTTATTAGGAGTGTTATTTTGAGTTGATAGACCTGACAGCTCATGCTTGCATCCCGCATCTTACCTCGTCTGTCACGAGATAGGGCATGGCTCCATATTTGCATTGTTTATGTTGTAGAACGTCCTGATATGTAAATATGTCTTGCAGCGGTCACTGTCAGCTCTCCCATAAAAGAAAGTTTGACAAGTTCACCAGTAAAGCTACCGCGGTCTAAAATGACATAACCATATTGGTGCCTTGCCATGTTAACTAATAACGCTCGTTCTATCTCCATCTTATTAAGAGTACACAGATTGTCGTCCTGTTCTGTCTGGCTGAGATATTCCCAGGGTTTCCAGACACTTCAAGTGCAGAGTGTTAGACTCAAATAACATCAATGATATGGATTGAAAATGGATTGAAAATGTAGTATAATTGGAATCGACATATTAGATCCTTGTAGTTGATACAAAAGTAATACGGGCATCAATATGAGCGTCCAGTCATGAAATAACTGTGCTTTAAGCTTTGTTCAGTCTCTTAGCCTCAATTTGCACCGACTCAGGAATCCACTCCTCCAAACTCTCACTCATACACTCATCTGAAAGCTTAATGGCACCCAAGCTTTCACCGGTCCTCTTGAAACGAGGTTTAGGATTGGGAGTAAACTGTATGTCTCACGCGTTCAGCGAGCCAGCCATCGAGCTCGAGTAAGACTACAGAATGGGGTCAAACGCTGCCGGTTTGAGCTATAGGTACTCAATTACGGGAATCGCTAGCCGAAGGAGTATTATCTCTTTTGCATAAGACTCTGATAAGCAAAGAAGCTAATGCAAAGCGAGTGTAGCAATAGGTCGGGAATTATGACCTGCGAAATGTAAATCTTGATTAGATGAAGCTGCTTAGCAAGCCACCGAGTTGAGCTAATATGCTAAATTAAACTCGGGTCTAGAATGCCATATACTTATTTACTGTTATAAATTATCTACGTTTTTTTATTTATATTCATTTTAACTATATGTAATATAATAACTTACTACTATTCTATATGTATATATTTATAATTAAGGATTTATAAGTAATATAATAGTAAAATGCTAGAATCTTAGCTAGCTACCTAAGCGGCGCTGCTAATAATTCATAGGTTACCTGACAATACACCGTCTTACTATTACCTCTTAGATATATATAATACTGACTTTTTTAAGATAATGAGCTCCTGCTGTAAGTTAAAAGTATTAAATATGTAATACTATAGTAAATCACACTGAAAAGAACAATGGCCACATCTTCGGACCTTAATAGACTTAAGTTCTTGGCCTATGAGATTTATTTAGAGAGCGTTATCCCCCTTCTCAAATACTTTATTAAATATAAAGAGGAGGATAAAACGAGCTTTAAAGAACTATTTTATTAAGTAAAGGGAAATATTAGCTACTACAAATATAAGATCCCTAATAAGGCTTTATGACTTTAAAAAGTCCTTTTATCCAAGCTAGGTAAAAAACTTCCTAGATGCCTAATAATACATATATATTCTTAATATACTCTATTTATATCTGCCTGATTAAAAGTTAGGTAATTATTATTAGGACTAAAGTCTTTAGTTTATATACTAGCTACAAACTATTAAAAGTTAGGGTTAAAGTTATTATTCATAAACCTTTTTTATCAGTTAGTAGTTAAATAAAGAACCTCTAAGAGCTAACCTTTACTTATTGATTTTATAATAAAGGCAGGGTAATATACATTGTACGTAATTACTAGGTATTATATAAATATATTAAAAGCTTAACCACAAAATCCCATTTATTGTCTTAGTCTAGTAGGCGTTTCACTGCAAGGAATAACAAACCACTTCTTAAACCCATACCATGACAGGAGAAGTCTGTTGCCTAAACCTTGCTTAATTCTTTGACTTCAAAATCAAGTGACTTGATAATTTACTTTAGATGTAAGGAAGTAGATGTAGATTCCTATAGTGAAGCTCTTTATTTACTTGAATTCTTTACAGTCGTTGAGATGATTTACGATGTGGCTCTGAGAGCGGCTTAAACAAGAAGCATTTGTCTTCATAAAGTCTGAGGATCACAGAAGAGGTGACCTTGACAAGAGCATACAAATAAAGTATTCAGATATCGTAGTTCTCGAACATGAATCAAATAGCGACCATAAGAGGTCAAAGAAGCGAAGTCTCCTCATTCACGGGGAGCACAGGACATGCTAATGGGAGCATTGCTACAGGATACCGAAAGTCAACAGAGCACTTGCAGATAAAGACAGTCTGGAAGATTCTAGCTTCTCTATCCCAGAACAACTAATGCCATCTAGGCCTTCTTAGCTTTGGGAGTCCCTCCGCGTCTGCCAAACACACGTCGTCTAATCTTGGGATGGACTCCGTTAAGCGGGCTCGCCTGAAACAAATTGGTTGTGAGAGCCTTTGGTACAGTCTGCAAAGCCGACGGAAGATCGTTCTCAACGAATGCAACGAGAGACTGGTAGTAGTACTGGGTAGTCGGGGAGCCCTTGGGTACCTGAGGCACAGTGTGTTTGCCACTCAGGTAGTCAAAAGTGGTGAAGAAGATGACCTTTCCATCAGGGGTTGTGGTGCTGGCAAGTGTATGCTTGTTGTTGCCAGAATTATCGTTATACCATCTCTGTAAGTTCGAAACCTGATCAAAGGTCACGTTGGTGGAGTTGTCAGCACCAAATGGAAGGTCGAAATAGGCGGTGCCGGTGTATACAGTCTCGCCAGATGCTGGATCCTGCAGCTGGTATTGGAGAACATACCCAATGCCAGCAAACTGACTGCTGGAGTTGATGTTCATGTCTGCAAACTGTGCAGTGGGCGGAGGCTTGACGCCAGGAGGAGCGGGAGTACTGTTTAAGGGAAGAATTGGCTGATAGTCCTTGATACTGTTGTCCGAGTTGAAAGTAACAGGGCCAATGACGAGCTGGCCCTCGTCCGTGATCTGGCTCTGGTCGAACTTGATTACCCAGACAAGCTTGTACCTGGTTAAGTTCCAGACTCTCACGTACTGGAAAGTGTTATGCAAAACAAATGATAGAACCACGAAGACGATGGCGAGAACAATGCCTGCTTCGAGGAAAACCCCACCCACTTCTGCAGCACCTGCTTCCTCCTGAAGTAGACTTAGTAGAATCCTCAGTTGCGTACGTCTCTTGACGACTTACAGCTTCTGCGATGGCGACACCTTCGCTAGCCTCGGTGCTGATGCTTTCGTTCCCGATCGAGTTCTCTTCCTCCTCTGCTGCCTGCTCCTCGAATCCCCCCTCAGCAGCATCTGGGTTGTCTGCTATATTCTGGATGACATCCGCCTGAACATTCGCCACAGCTTGGATAGTGCCAAAGAGATCGGGGAAGATATCCTTCAAGCCAAAATATCCAAGGATACCGACGCCGAGCCACCAAGAGGTAGTAGAAAAGTCATAGTCGCTCCATCCAGCCGTGTTAGTCACAACGCCGATACCGTGGTACGTCACACCGTTTATAACGGTCGTCGTACCGTTGACTTTGACGTTACCGTTGTCATCAAAGTCGAGGCCGCTGACGCTGATTTTATTGAAGAAGACTTTACCAGTTACGTTATCAACGCTCTCAACGTAGAAGACAGGAAGATTGTTGGCGTCGGTGCCCTGAATCCAGGCCTTACGGCCGTTGTCCTTGAGCTGCTGGTAGACCTTTGCCATGTTGTTGATGCGGTTAAAGTATTCAGTTGTGCCTTGGCCGCCAGTCAGACCATTCTGAACGCTCTGGAGAAGCGTTTCAGCGTTGGCATTTCCGGAGGAGAGTGGAGCTCCAGTGAAGACCTGCCCAAGTCCGATGAGAGGAGCCGACATGATGGCTAAATAATATGGAGGGTAGTTCAAGATGAAGAATGATTATTGAAATAGAAGTAGTGAGATAATTAGATTGATCTGAGTGCGTCGAGAGCAGTCCTCCTTTATACCTGTGATGAGTGTTACACCTGGCAAATCCTCTCCTGGGAAGAAATTAGTGATAGAGTTCTACGAGGGCAGCCCATATATCAAAAGGGAATTCGGCATTGAACGGATCGTACGAGAATGTGACTCAATTGTCTGCATCAAAACAGGACTCAGAACACCCGTGACCAAATACAGCGACATCTAGAACGTCAGGGTTTGTCTCCAGCCAGCCAAATTCCCAAATATTTCGTCTAATATGTCGGTTTAGAGGAAGGTCTCTGTGCCACTTCATTAGTTGGGAAACAATTTGTGTCACCTATGGCGTTTGAACACGAGAGCTTACTCTGCATCGAGACATGTCTGATTCACATGGCGGTAGGGAACTATATGAGCCAATGACTGGTACTTATTCCAGATCAAGTCGTAGACAGTTTAGGGGAAGCCAATCAAGAAACTATGCTCTTGATGGTGTAATCTACCTACTCAAGGGGAGGCAAGAAAACTTATGAGCTCTTATCTAAGTGACAAGGACTTGGGTAAACTTAGTATATCTTATCATGACTTTAGGCTAGATTATTTTAGCACCCTGACTCAACGTCAGAAGCTTTCTTGCTCCCTGAGGCTACTGTACAGGCAGCCACGCGGTGATAGTGTACAGCCTCTGGTGAATACCAAACGTCATAAGCTTATGCGGGAGCTAGGGATATGCCGGTCCCGGAATCACATTCCGCCCGGCGAATATGTCTCAGAAACTGTGTAAGCTTAGGGTCTAGACGTGTGATAGTGGCTGTCTGTGGCGCCATTTCGGCAGATCTGACCTAGCAAAGATATTCAGCTTCGTGGCCTACCAGTCTAGAACTAAAGGTTGCGGGGTCAAGCATTTCAATCAGCCTCAAGCGTCGAGCTGAGCTCGAAGAAGCAAGTAGTATACAAAGACTGCTGTAGATATCGCATACTTCGGAAACTTCCGTTAAGCCACCTAGTCAAAGAAACCCAGAGAGTATATCGCTTGATCAACTCCTAATTGCCAGTTCGCTTATCAACGCTGCCAGCAACGATTGCCCTAGATCGTAGCCACTAATGACGGCACACTACGATGGATATTGGGAGACCTCAGGTGCTTTCGTCTGCGACGAGACATGCAATTACCGCAATAGTATCCTTTGAGATGTGAAGGTCTTGATATGCACTAGGATGTCTCGCCGCGGCCGCCGCTAGTTCTTCGCAGAAGGAAAGTTTTGAGAAGTTTACGAGTACGGCTACCATCTTCTTCAAGAACTTGAAAATGTTAATGCGGTCGCACGATTGGCCTGGGATCTGGTAGCCGCTTCATCGCTTGCCTGCCTCACAAGAGGGATACATACATTTTCTTCATAAGAGCGTTGGATTGAATTAGCGTGAAAGATATGCCATCTTATATTGACCAGGGGGCAGATCATAGGAAGGAGATGTGTTGGACAGATGCTTTGCATTACTAGGAAACTGGGAGGCCTAGGTATAAGTTACTTCCTTTTAGTTACTACCCATAACGTTCCAGAACCACCTCCGAACACTTGAGAAGCAAAGTTTCTGTCCTCGCTTAATTCAGGCCTTGTTCAGTCGCTTCGCCTCAATCTGCACCGACTCAGGAATCCACTGCTCCAAACTCTCACCCACCGGCTTCCAACCAAGAAACTTCCTCGCCCTCTTCGCCTCACCACGACTGTTCAATCCCCACGAAAGAGCTTGGAACCCCAACTTCTTCTGCGCCTCATCAACATCCAAAACCTTGGTCTCATCACTATCAATAACGCCCTGCTTCTTAGCCTCCTTGGCAATAAGAGCAGAAATCTGGCTCCATTTATGCTTGCCGTTCTCGGCGAAGAAATAACCCTTCGGACCCCAGATTTCCTGCTCGTCGGACTGTTTCTCAGATGATGCGGCGCGCTCGGAGAGAAGAAGGATGAGGTTAGAGAGATCATGAACGTGCACGTTGTCCCATTCTGTCTCGCCTGCGCCGATGATGGGGCCAAAGCCCTTCTCGAGAGTTGTCTCGGTCAAGCCAGGGATTTGGCGACTTCGCTGGTTGGCGGGTCCTCGACCGGTTCCGTAGATGGTGGGAGGGCAGACGATGGCGACCTTTACGGCGCTGGGATCCTTGGCAGCTTCGTCGAGGACAATCTTGTCGACATCGCGATGGAAAGCGGTATCGGGTAGAGAAGTGACCTTATCGACTCCCTCTAGATCGTTGTAGGCTTGCTCGGGAAGAGGAGCTTCTCCGTAGCGCTTGTTGTCCATGTCGTACCAGCAGAGGATACCAGTGCCGCTAATATGTATCCAGTGGCCAGGGTTTGAGCTTGAGTGGGAAGATCGTAGGCCGGCAGCGATAGCCTTGGCAGCCCCTTGGTGATCAGAGCTATCAGCAGTATCTGTACGAGTCAGTACCTGGAGCAAATGAGAAGATTGACGGTACTTACGAATAACAATGTCGGCCTCAGAAGCCGCCTTCTCAATGACCCTGGAATCATCCAACGATCCAATCGCCAACTTCACATTAGGATATTGCTTCTGCACATCCTTTCCCTTGTCCTCACTTCGTACAAGGATGGTGTACTTCCAATCAGGGTGAGCTTTATGCAATGCGTAGAATGCATCACCTCCAATGAAACCGGTGGTGCCAGTACTAAACCGGGGGTCAGCGTCAGCTTACGGTGACATTGGAAGGGAGCCTTACATAAAGACGCTCTTTGCAGCCATTTTCGTAAATCCGTTCAGATTAATTTCTTGATGTGAGTTTAATGATTCCAGTCGGGTTTGTGAGAATAGGTTTATTGAGGACTTATAGAATTCGACTGCTGAGATATCGAAGACGTCAAAAGAAGCACCGTGACGTCATACTGAGCAAATGGCCCCTCATAACGTTAATGGCTTAGCAATCTGTTAAGCCTTCCAGCCAAAATACATACACTGACTAACAGTTGGACCTTAGCCCCGTTTTGCTGTGGATAAGGTCTGTTCCAGAAGAATGGTTCAATACTTGGGCAAGCTTGCTTTTCAATCAATCTATGTTACATGACGTGCTCGAGGTCAAAATCGCATTGAGCTCTCTTCTAGAAATTTCCTAACAGCAGATTCAAAGGCCAAGTCCGACCAGATGAATTGGTTCAATATCTCGCTTGTATCAGACCACGAGCAGTGAAGGCTGGGTCTTTCGAAACCCGTCGAACGCAAAAGTGCGGTGTAACCTGAGCGTACAGGCCCGTCTGGAGCAAATACTCCACCAATGCATATCAGCCAAAGCAACAAGTCTGCATGCTCGTTCCATACGGGCTCATCATGAACCATTTCAACCTCTCTGAGAAGCTGCGCAGTAATATTGGACTTTCAAGTTAGCGAGTGCTTCCAGAGGTTACATGGGGACTCACGGGAATTACTAAAGCGCACCAAACTTTGCAGCACAGCATTACTGAGCACATGTATGCTGCAAGATGACAAGCCTTGGATATCGGACAAGCGTTTGGGAGGGCCTGAAGACGAGATTGTATGGATGCCGTGTGACTATTTATGCTTACCGTTGAGACTGGACGTCCGGTACGTTGATAAATGTTTCTAATGCATTGAAGAGCATGGATATCTCTGACTATATCCAGGAACTCTGGGCTGAATAGGTGAGAGCGTACTTGGAAGCCCGGCGGTAGCTCAAAGAAGTCTGGAGCTATTGAGTCTCGTTGCCATTGAAGTTCGGTGAAAGTCGTATGGTCGACTATGCGTTTTGATCCCACCATGATTGACGAGTTCAGGTCCTGCCTGTCAAAGAGTGAGCGGATGACCTGAGTTCATCAGATCCACGTACCAGAATATGGCGCGCTTGATGCCTTGTGTGAGATTCACTACGACTGGTTGACATGCATTAAGAAGGTACTGTATTGCACCCATGTGAAGTTGAACCTGCGAAGTGGTACCAAGCCGTGCCTGATAAGTTAGTACGAGCATACCTTCAAGTGACCGACGCGAGGACCTCACCTCAACACCGACTAGTAACAGTATGGCACCAATAGTTGACTCCGAAACGGCTTTGTCAGGCATACTTATTCTTTCACGGATATGCTGCATCGCTTGACCTCGGTATACCAGGCATTCCTTATTAATGACTCCGCCATTTGCCGTAAAAGCCAACGACAGCATCACAGCATTTAACAGAGCCGGATCAACAAGCCCAGATCGGAATACTGATTGGAAATTCTGAAAGTCATCCTCAACACTGAAGACAGGCTCCGGAGCTTGGCGTGCATTAACTGGTATACATTAGTAAGATGCCTAGGGGTGCATCAGAGAACTCACAATCGTTGAGTAAGATATGGAGTCGTTTGGAGTCCACTGCAAGGCTTTGGAAGGGATCGAGCAGATTTGCAGATAGCGAAGCAGGTAACGGAGTTATGCGCTTATCGCACCGCGTCTTGCAGATAGTTCTCCATTGTTCCCGTTCATCTTGCATTGTTCTTACAGAAAAATGTTGCATCGATTCTTGTTGCAGTTGTCGCTTTTTTTGCAGTGCTTGTTTCACGGCATGTGATCTCGCGAGGCGCTTGGCAGCCTTGTCACGGGTCTTGTCTGGCGTGGCCTGAAAGGAGACGAACTGAAAGTCGACCACTAACAAGGGTTAGTGGAGAAATGCAAGTGATTCCCTAGAGGGCACATAACATACTGTTTTTTTCCCCTAAAATTTATTCCTAACAGAGCCTTGAGTAGGCGTTTGTGGCAAGTATTATGGCGCCATCCAGGTCAGAAAGAGCTGGCCCTTGGTCGAGTCTCACTCTCACCGTAAGCTTGATGCTGCTTAGAAATCGTCCACCTCAAGACCCATATTTCCCCTGCTGTAGATCGGCTAAACCATGTTTGGCAACATCTCGTTTCCTCTTTCGGAAGTATCTCGTTGCTGCATCAAGGACAACCTCATTTCCAGATCTTGACAGGTCTGCGCCTTGATAGCACAAGTTCTAATTGTCACCGCTCCATTGAAACATGGTTGATAATATAGAAAATTTTTGATGGATTTATCAGCTCGCTATCTTATGATGGATCCATCGCAAACTTTTATATGTCATCAGTCCGAACTCCCAGGTATAAAGCATGCAAGATGGACGGTAGGGGGAATATACATCGGTCAGTCTTCACTTAACAGCTTCCTACCGTGTTGAACCATCATCGAAAAAACTCAGTAGACCACAATCAACATGTCAGAATCACGCCTTTTCCAGCCCATGAAAATCGGCAACATCAAAGTCCAACATCGCATTGGCATGGCCCCTCTTACACGCCTTCGAGCAAGCATTGACCGAGTTCCTAATGCGCTTATGAAGGAGTACTACGGCCAACGCGCTTCTGTACCTGGAACTCTCATCATCACAGAGGGAACGCTTGTTTCTCCTGCTGCTGGTGGAGGTTTCGCCAGAACGCCTGGAATCTGGAACCAAGAGCAAGTCAGGGCCTGGAAAGAGGTCACTGATGAAGTGCACCGCAAGGGCAGTTTCATTTTTGTGCAACTGTTTGCAATGGGTCGTGCTGCAACTGTAGAAGTTGCGAAAGATGAAGGAATCGACATTATCGGACCGAGTGCAATCCCGATTGAAGGCAGTCCTGCTCTGCCCCGAGCAATGACCCTGGAAGATATCCATGAAATGATTCAGGCATTCGTCACTGCATCAGAGAATGCGGTCAAAGCCGGCTTCGATGGTGTTGAGATCCATGGTGCCAATGGGTACCTGCTCGACCAATTTCTTCAAGACGTCAGCAACCAGCGCCATGACGAGTACGGCGGCAGCATTGAAAACAGATCCCGTCTCATCACTGAGATCTTGGAACGCGCTGTCCAAGCTATCGGCCCAGAGCGCGTTGGCATTCGACTCAGCCCATGGAGCACCTTCCAGAGCATGCGCATGAAAGACCCAATCCCTCAGTTTACAGACATAATCAACAAAGCGAGCCGTCTGAACTTGGCCTATCTCCACCTCATCGAGTCTCGCATCTCAGGAAGCCAAGACTGTGAAAACAATTCCAATGAGAAACTTGACTTTGCCTATGATCTTTGGAAGGGACCTTTCCTCGTTGCCGGCGGGTATAAACTGAAAGAAGCGGAAAGGCTCGTTGACGAAGAACATCCCGACAAGGAGATCATGGTCATGTTTGGAAGAAACTTCCTAGCGAATCCGGACTTGGTGTATAGAATCAAGGAGGGTTTGGAACTCAACCCACATGAAAGGAAGACATTCTATACCAGCGATGTCGAGGGCTATGTGGATTATCCATTTGCCGTTAGAAAGGATGCAGCGGTTTCGAACTGATTTCAGATTAGTTGGGCTCTTGCTACAGGTCGCTTCTCGGCAGGGCGTCGCATTTGCGACCTCATTTTGTTCTTTTATGTAGCTCGTCGTCTTCTCATTTATTTTATACAATCCAATCCCAACGGTTTACTCGAAACTCAATATTAAGCCTGACTATGATCCGCAGCCTAAATGTGTATGCGTTTCTTTAGTGGTCACTGGCGACAATGCGTTTTTGGGAGGCCAACTGCGGTGCCCACCATCGAAGAATTACCGCTTAGATTCTTTCTTCGCTTTCTTCGCCTATTCCAGAAAGTTCCAACTCCATATCCAGCCTTGGTTCTGTTCCAAAAAAGGATTATCCAGCATTGACTCACCTGGATCATATGTGATATCCCCAGTGAAAAGAAGACTGGCCGCTGTTTCCAGTAGTTAGTATCTACGACACTGGTAATTCTCCGTCTGCAAGTCGAGAAAGCTCACCTTGTTCATATTCCAAGAGGGTGTCATTTAATGAAGTGTCAGCGCAGACGTTCATGTCTTGATCTCCAAAGTTCATGCTGAGTGTATCAGTTATGCTACCATTATTCATCGTAGGCGGTGGATTCAAGCCAAAGTTTCTCTCTAGCATCGGCGCTTGTCCAGAACATTCTCCCCCGGGCTCTATGGTGTGATTTTCGCCTCGGTTTCTCTGAGGGAGTTCTGGATATGCACTGGTCAGAAGCTCAGTCCCTGGCCTATTATCGCCTTCCTTTGCCCTCACAAGACCCATCAATCTTTTCGTGATGTCCAGACTCTGTGCCGCAACAATTGACTTATCCTTGAGAAGGGTCTGGACTTGCATTAGCTGCCGTATCCCAGATCTTGCCTCGACCGAGTTGGAAGTCAAAGGATCAAGGGTTATCGAAATACATAGTGTCACGCCCGCCGTCAAGAGGTGCAGTGATACAACAGCTATAGCATATGTCTCAGATGCTTCCAGGAGGTATGGGGTGGATGCGACTTTTGATATCTGCAGTGCAGCTTCCCTACACTGTTGCATCGCCAGCCGAAATGGGTCAGTCTTCGAAGTGACAGTGTTTGTTGAAGTCGAGCTAGCCATTTTGAACGATAGAAGAGGCCTATGGATTAAGATTTTCGCATTTTCGTAAGCCAGCTTGAGAGAAAGCGCTTGTAGGCGGAACAGATAATTCTCAAATTCTTGTCCAGTTCTTTCCCGGTCCTGGGCAACCTGAACGTCGAAAAGAGAGTGATGACTATCAAAGCTGAGCTTCGGGGCCAGGCTTCTATACCACTCTTCGAGACGCCCATTCAAAACCGTAACTTTATCGAAAAGACCTTTTAGATTGTCCTTTCTCTTTCGGTCACCATGCCGAGTACCATACAGCTCAACTAATGCGGACTTGACAATAGCCGACAGCGTTGACATTGCACACTTGTAGAACAACAACGATGGTATCATCGTCTGGCGGGACTCTTTAGTTGATCCAGAGTACTCATCATACGGATCCAGAGGCTCGACATTGCAATCGCTATCGGAAAAGCCCAGGGGAAACCCATAAAGCATTGAGCAGAAAGTATCGATCTCGTAGACAGCCCACCAGGCCCGTTTCCGGTCTTGTATCTGCTGGTTCAGAGCCTGATCGCTAGGATCTCCAGGTGTCATTTTTCGATGAAGGTTGAGTGCTTGAGCGATTCGCAATCCAGAACCCGATAGTGGCCAAGCCATACCAGGTTCGCCGTGGTACAGGTAATAACTTGCCAGCAAAACGCAGAATTGCACCGCTTCAAGAGAACCTCTTGATACAACATCCAAGAATCTCAATTTAAGGGTGGTTAATATCCTGTCTTTCAGTTCTTTTTGATTAACATTGTGAGACTTTAGCTTGCTTTCTTGAGCACCGATGTGATGCAAGCTGGTCGCGAAAACAGCCAAGAGAATAGCTATAAAGCCTATACCTCTCGATGGAGCATTTGAACCAGAAGAGAAAGCGGTGTAATGATAAAGATCCTGGAATCTTTTTCTAAAATCATCTTGGTGAAAGACTAGGATGAACCAGTGGATCCGATCAAAATAGTTATCGACCAAGAGAGTCGCAGGCCCTAGTTCGGGTAATAATGACATGAGTTCCTTCTCGGCGGCGGACGGCTTGTACTTGATGTCGCCTTGTTGTAGATATATGTCTCTAGGCCGTTCAGCGACATGTCTTTGAATTGTATTATTGGTGTCATTGGTTTTAGATTGAGCCCAGGTCTCCGATCTTAGAGCCGAGAATTCAACACCTTCTGGTGAGACAGCATCATGTTGCTGAAACGCCTACAGCTACGGGTTAGTGATGAGATATCGAAGGGTTTGGCTTTTTCTCTGCTCACTTCTTCAACTAGCTTTACAGTCGAACTGGAATTCCAAGCTGATTCTGCAGCTGAGCCGACAGTGGCTCCTGGCTGATTTCTGTCTGATTTGTTCGATGTCGCGGCTGGCTCTGGTGTACTTTGATAGGGTCTCCATCTTGAACTTTCCGATGCGATGCATTCAGTATTTGCTCGTGAACACAGAGTACATGGGCGCTCGATATCACACTATCGAATTCAGTCAACTGATCTATCGTTGGGAGGGGATCATTCACTTTAAGCTTTTGCTTACGACATCTCTCGCAAGCCCTGGAGACTTTGCGCCGATTGCTCTTCATTGCAATTGTCTGATGGTGTTGGTTGTCAAAAGAGAGAATGTTGCGATGATGATGATGGGGTAATATTCGGAGTTACTCTTTTCCATATCGGACAACTACTTATAGCAACTCCGTGTCATGATTCGCCGGAGCCAGCGTATTCGGCTGAGGCGCTGACCTATCCTGCGCAACCTGTTAGTTCTTTTCCTCCAAACCTGCGGACCCGTATTATAGTAGTAGGTCCCCAGATGTGACAATTCCTATTACAGTAAAATGTTTCAATTGTCCGTTATAGGGAGGGAATAATGGAGGAATTGATGAAGTTGGAATATGGCCACAGATGACGAATCGAGAGTGGAGTTACTGTTCAGAGAAATCTTGATGATTTCTATACATAATTTATAAACTATTTTCCCAACCCCAGCCTTTCACCTCAGACACTTTAATTCCTCTCCCGGCTAATCTTAGTATCCTCCGACTGAGCTGTCGGCCATGGGCTTAAATGTAACCGCAGTAGGCTGGTCCGTGATCCCCCTCTCAACCGCTTCCTCCATAATTGCAACTGTAGCTGTAGCGCCGATACGGGTAACGCCTAGCGACATAACATGCAGCAAATCGTCAAGGGTACGGACACCTCCGGCAGCCTTGACCTGGACGTTCTCGCCAGATTCCTCTACCATGAGTTTCAGATGAGGAATAGTAGCACCCTTGTAACTGTACATGCCATTTGCCTGCTTGACGAAACCGTAGCCAGTCGAAGTCTTGACGAAAGCCACTTCAATATCCGAGCAGATCTTGCAAAGGCGTACAATGTGTTCCTCATTCAGGTAGTCATTTTCGAAAATGACTTTCAAAATAGCCCCACGCTTGACAACGACATTGTTGACTTGACGAATCTCATCAGCGACGTAGTTCCAGTCACCGCCGAGTGCCTTGCCGATATTGATGACCATATCGATCTCTTTACCGCCAACAGCAGTAGCAACGTCAGCTTCGAAGACCTTGACGGCAGTGCTGCTGTTTCCATGAGGAAATCCAATGACGGGACAGATCAAGACATCAGTGCCCTGAAGTTCCTGCTTAGCCATGGCAATTGCATAAGGTTTGACGCAAGCTGTGGCGACGCCGTACTTCTTGGCGACCGCAAGGCCTTGAAGAATGTCGGCGTCTGTCATGGTGGGGTGCAGAAGAGAGTGGTCGATCATCTTGGCGATTTGTCCAAGAGTGACAGTGATTTCATTTGTGTTGGAACTCATGATGGCTTTGCGGATGAGTGATTGCTGTAAAGGTGACTTTGTTTGGAGGAGGGGTGATGATTGAATGAGATATCTGATGTTTTCTCGGGGTCCTGCACACTTTATATAACAAGTTCTCCAAGTCTCATACAAGAACGCCATTGGAGTCATGACAACGAGCTTTGGTTTCCCTTTATGGTAATTTGTTCCACCGGAAGAAAGAGTGGGGTACACATTTTTTAAGTACTAACCAGAGCGGAGAGGCTGTCGGGCATGCCTAATGGGGTATTTCCGTAAGCTTCCAGCCACCCATCAAAAGCGTCGCAAACCAGGGCTTTGGGCTTTGGGCTTTATGCAGATGCTCCGTCATCATTGAAAGCATGCTGTAAAAGGGTCAGATCTAACAGTCATACTCGGAGTTATCTTATGCTTTAATTACCAGTAGCCAGCGGTATTTTGGGTCTCATCTCCCCAATTGCAGTTGCACCATCAACTGTGCCGCGCCTAATGGAGGATTAGCTTCGATCAGCATCAACGCACAGGAGATGGCCATCTTTTGGACAACACCAAAGAATAACATCGAAATGGCCCTTCTGTTTCTGGGCGCCTTATTTCGCAAAATACAGCGACCTCTCACTGTACTATAGTCAGTTCTAGCTGGGACAGGTATTGCGGTTTATTCCGAGGAAGCGAATCAGTGCTCAGTTTGGTGGACTGGCCAGTCGAGCGATCTCAGGAGGACGACCGTGGATTTCTCCAAGTCGCAACAACGGCGACGCCCAACTGGCCTGTGTTTGAAGAGTCTGGCCCTGGTTCTTGCAAACAAACGCGGTCACTTGTTGTTCAGAAAGTATCCGGAACACATATTAATATGTTGGATGTTAATGCAAAAGGTGCTGTTGCAGGGCTGTCCTATCAGTCCTTGTAGAGGTTCGGCATACACGTGTTGATATTATAACTATTTTACCTGATACTTTGCACTGTACAGCCAAATCTATTTGACTAATGTGGCTACTCTACTTTACACGATGGGGAGAATAATTTGATGGACGAGAATAATGCTTGTGATACTACTACCTAGATTATGCTCAAGATTCTACTACAGTTCCCGTCGGATCAAGTGTAGACTAAGCCTGTCTCTCGTCTATTTTTACTGACGTATCACGGTCAGCTTCATTCTTATCTCAATGGGTCCACCGCTGATAACGAACGCTTTGTCGATAACAATGGGAAGCAAATCGATTTACCCTACGCCGACCTACATGGTGACCAATTGTCTATCAATACCAAGAATTAGCGAATATTAGCGGGAATACTTTGGTAAATAAGTATTAGCCTTAAGCTATCTGGTGATTATTGTCACTGGAATTATTACTGGAAAGCTCTCTCTCCTTGATGTCTGTACGATGTCAGCAACCAGCACGTGTACGGCTGAACAAATCACGCTCACATAGTAGTTCTGACTTTCTCAGAACAAGATTCAACCTGACTCTTCAAGAGGCCAGCGTCTTTATCCTGCCGAGAAAGTAGTCTATGTTTCCACACCTCTGTAAAGTACACTGTATTACTTTCAATACACCCTTGTTCTTAACATACCTCCTATTACCCCGCATCCTCTGAATACAAAATTCCAATACGCAACGACGGCAACTAAGTAGTACGAATGGACACCGAAGACGAAGCTGAAGGTTCTATCTTCAATTACAGCCCTACAGTAAAACTTGCCCCCGATGACACACATAGTCAAACCGTGGACTGGTTCGACCCTGCCACTACCGACGACTGGCTCAACAAAGAGATCGAATCACGAAGAGATGCTCTCGCCTCGACACCGACACATCTTCGAGAAAGAAGAATGTTTTGTGAGCTTTCAAGGCTCATTTTACAGCACTATCTACGATTTGGAACTGAAAAGTCTTTGAATGATGCAATCGAGTTGGAGCGAAAGGCCCTAGACTACATCAGCACTGGCTTCCAACGTGCCAAGTGTCTGCTGGTTCTGGGGGACATGCTGTGCCTCCGGTTTCGCCGCAAGAAAGCTGTTTGGGACATGGGATACTCCATCAGAGCCGCAAAACAGCATATTTATCCACTTCCTGCGCAGGGAGCTCCGTACACCTACCACATACTCAGCTTTGGTCATGGAGATGAAACTTTTGAGCAATCAGATCTGGATTCAGCCTTTGTGGACGTGGACGAAGGCATTGATAAGTCACATTCTGCACTTGACCTCATCCCTGACGACTTTCCCCTTCGGGCTGAATGGCTGGACCACCTTGGTTCAAATATTCTTCATAGATATTCTTTGAGCAAAGCAATCGAAGACATTGATAAAGCTGTCGAAATATGCAGAATTGCCTCCGACGATGCCAACTTTGGTCCCTCAGAAACTCTCATAGAGACCCTTCTTACACGGATTCCTGCTACCTGGGACGAGTCTGATATACTTGAAGTCATGGACGTCTGTGATGAAATGTTGTTGGAGTCTCTAGGCGATAGAAAGAAGACAATCTTGCAGTACCGTGCCGAGGCTTTCTACTTCCTCTACTGTTTGAGTGGGATGGTGGAACATATCAACGAGAGCGTCAAGGACTCCAAAAGAGCCATAGATTCGGAACGTGGAAGTCTAATGTCGCTTAGTGTTAGGTGTCATAGATTTAGGAGTGGCTTGTTATATACTCGGTATCAGCAGACTGGTGATTTGGCGGATCTTGATGACTCGATGGCCTCAGCAGCGACCGTGGCCAGGATTCTCTTTACTCCGGGCCCAAAATCAAAAGCTACACTCTTCAGCATGCTGGCAAGTGATTGGGTTTGCAGAACTGAGGCTACAGCAGACCAAACACACTTTGCTGAGGCCATCGAGTGGCATGCATGCATCCAACTATTTGGCACGAGCAGAATGGATTCTCTTCATGAACTATGTCGACGGCAATATGAACGATATGAGGTGAAAGGCAGGGGTGGCGATCTTCAGGATGTTGTGAATATTCTGAGACGGATGGTCGAACTGGTGCCTAGTCAAGCGTTGCGGAGCAGTCTGGGTAGCCGCGTAATGCAGTTATATTCCGAGTTCGACTTTCTGCAGTACTTGCTAGTGGAGGCAAAAACCATTTTTCGGCGGTTGGTTCAGGAGTCAGAAATAGATTCGGCAGACCATAGGCGGTATTCCTTGCAGCTGGCGCATTGCCTTTGCTTCCAGCACGAGCGGACCGGAGACTTAGTCGACCTCACTGAAGCTGTCAACATCGGAACGAGTATTTTCGAGACGGCCAAAGCAGACGATCCAGACTATGCGCTAGCCTTAAACAATTTCGGCGAAGCAATCTACCAGCAGTGTCGCGTCGGCAAGACAGTATCCAATATCGATCATATCATCCATCTATTACAAACGATGCGAGATTCCACCATGTCACATTCTCCAACCAAACCGCTCAGCAAATTGGTTGAGTGTCTCCTCTGGAAGTATCGCATGACCGACGAAGCTACGCATCTGGACTCGGCAGTCGAGCTGGCAAGACTTGCTGAAAGCTCACTCCCAAACAGATACCCTAATCACCATTGTATCATTCGCCATAGACTTGCCATAGCACTGCACGAGGAGTATTTGAGGACGCCGACGCTCTATTCTCTGGAGGAAGCTATTGAGCTGGAGAGGCAAAATCTACAGCCTGGCCAATTCACTCGGTATATTTCTCATGCTAATCTCACGTCGCTGCTTTGTGAGCTATACGTCGCAACAGGCGATCGGGAGCACCTCCAGGAGGCGATGGACATGGAAAGAGAAACGAGGAATGTTGACGGTCGCTCCACCTGGTGCTTCAGAGGTGACCGCGTGTATATCCCATATATTCTCGATATCGAAAAATCACACCAGCTTTCGAATAAGCTGCACGAACACCTGGAGACCATGACGACCACACGGGAGCTCAGGTCACGCTACATTAGTAGCCTGGCGTTGATGCTCATGGGTGCAGATGAGAACAATCTAGCAATGGGATATGCAAGAGAGAGTCTAGACCTCATTCCACCAAACAGCCTGGACCTGCCATGGCACTTGTGCTGCCTTGCGCTCTGCTTAGGAGGTAGCATTACAGCTTCAAAAAACGACTCCGAGCTAGAGGAGATGATCAGGTCAGCGGAGAAGGCCGTGGAGCTCTCGCTAGAAGATCATCCTGGCAGACCATTTTATCTTTCGGTTCTATCCATGGCCCTTCATAGACGATTCATGAAGACGGGAAGGTCTCCTGATCTCAACCTGGCGATCGATTACGGGGTTGAGGCTTACAACCTGACACTTGGAGACACGCTCCAGGACTGTGATAATCGATACTTGGCATCGGATCAGCTATCGTTCTGTTTACAGCACAAGTACCTCCGAGAGGGTATTTCGAGCGATCTTGAGCAGTCTGAAGAACTTCATCAAGAGGCTCGTAGATGTAGGCAAAGATTGAAGAGGAACGAGGCATACTTCAACTGGGTTCGAAGTTCACCTAATGGACCTTACACTGTACATCTCGGCACTAACACAAAAGGGTCTTTCACGCTCATAAACAAAAGACGTGCGTATGCTTTACTCCCGGACAAGCTGGACTGCCACCCTCGAATATTCGCCGTTGCGAAGCAATACTTTCGATACTACGAAGAGGAAAACGACGAGAACTACCTCTCCCTGGCTTTGGATGCTGCGAATTCGGCTCTCGCTTTCAGCCAAGAAGACCATATCACGCACTCTGCACAACTTCACCTCGTTGGGCGATGTTACGAAGAATACTACAAGAGGTCGATAGCATCTGACTGCGGTGAAGATCAAAAATACCGCCTCAGTCATCTCGATATGGCCATTTCAAAATTCCGAGATCTCATCAGTCATCTTTCTTCGGAAGATCCTCTGCGCCCTGATGTTCTTGGTCGTCTTGGATATTTATACTCGGACAAGCTGTTCTACAATTACAAGCTTGATGAATTGAAGATGGCAGTGGAATTACACCAGGAATGTCTCCATCTGGCAGGGGAGAGTAAGGTTGAACGTGCAAAGTGGCTACGTCATCTTGGATGCTCTAAGCTTATCTCCTACCACGTATTCAAGGACGAAAGTGATCTGCAAGAATCCATCAAGCTACTTGAACAGGCAAAAGATCAGAATCTCAATGACAAGGAACTTATCCCCGGCCTAGCCAGTGCCTACCGTTCCAAGTTCATGGTTACGAGAGACATCAAAGACATTGACGCTGCCATCGAGCTGTATCTCAACTCCCCTCTCGGGGAATATATCACAATTCCTAGGCTTGGTACTGCCTATCGTGTTCGGTTCGAGTTGACAAAGGCGCCGGGGGATATGAAGCTGGCCATATCTAATTCGGAAAAGGCCCTTGAGCTTGCTCAAAAGTACAAGGAAATCTCAGACGTTGTTCAGGTGCTCCAAAATCTAGCAAATTCCTATCTCGCGAAACACCATTACGGTGGCACTCTCGATGATCTCGAGCAGGCCATTCACTACGCACAGGATGCTGTGGATGTTGAAGCACAAGAAGCCTCCCAAGTTGTCGATATCGCAGGCCTACTGGGGCTCTGTTACACGACCAAATACAAGGCTACGAAATGTGAGGATGATCTTCTCAAGGCCATCGACGCCGATGAAAGCGACTTCTGGGTATTCATGCCAGTTGCAAACATATCAGATAGCTTGGTGCTTGCACAGCGACTGATGGAGTCATACAAGACTCTCGAGAACTGGGAGAAAGGCTTAAAGATTGCCGAGTACGCACTCGAACTCATCCCTGCCTACACACCTCGTTACCTGCGATGGTCGGAAGCCCAAGCCCTTCTTTCCAGAATCAGTGGACTCGCGTCTTTCGCCGCTGCCTTTTCGCTAGAAAGCGGGAAGGCTGAGGGGGCCAGTCTAGCTCTGCTAGAAAAGGGTCGGGGAGTTGCCGCGGACCTTTTGTATGATCTTCGTCTTGACTTTGACAGTCGGAAGTTTGCAGATCTGAAGCCGACGTACAAACAGACGCTTTTGAGCAGTATAGGACGACTTGAGAATCCTGTACAGCCACCGGGTCTCATTTCCGATGACTCCAGGTCTGGCACCGCGGAACTTACCAGGAGACTAGAAGCAAGCAAAATTGTCGACGATTTCATGGAGAGCTTTAGCACACGCCTGAAACCAGACAACACAGGCTTCACAGGGTTTACGAGGAACGGTCCCATTGTGATTATTAATGTCAGCTTCCGTTGTGATGCTTTCATTATCAAACACGTCGTTGAGACCATGCCCCTACCTAGGTTATCTGAGAAAGAGCTGGAACGGAGACTCCGCGATGGAAACTTGGGAAGCCTCAACACTTTGGAGTGGCTCTGGGATACTATCACGGGACCTATTCTTGAACATCTGGGTTATTCACAGAAGCCTTCTGGCGATTGGCCGCAGGTATGTTGGATACCTACGGGAGCATTGAGTCGCTTTCCGTTGCACGCAGCCGGCTATCACAAAGATGAAACTGGCCGTGCGGTCATAGACAGAGCCATGTCGTCCTATAGTTCATCGCTGAACGCTATTCTAGAAGGGGGAGCGAAAGATAAACGAAACTCCTCTGCCAAGGCGGTTCTAGTTGCCATGCAGAGAACGCCAGGGAGTTCCACTCTTCCACATGCCCCAAAAGAGCTATCGATTGTTCGAGAGCTATGTGAGTCCATGGAACTCCATATCGCGGAACCCAAAAGACAAACTCAGGAAGTACTCGCGCAGTTGAAGGACTGTGACATTTTTCATTTTGCTGGTCACGGCGAGACAGACGAGACGAACCCCCTCAAGAGTCAACTACGGCTTGAAGACTGGCAAACCCAGTCTCTGGCAGTGTCTGATCTGTTAAGTCTCAAGTTGCGCGACAACCCACCGTTCCTGGCATATCTCTCAGCCTGTGGAACGAGCCAGATCAAAGATAAACGCCTGTTGGATGAGAGTCTGCACTTGATTAGTGCATGCCGATTGGCTGGTTTTAGGCACGTGGTAGGAACGCTCTGGGAAGTCGGCGACGAGGCTTGCGTTGATGTTGCGGGGATGGTCTATCAGGAGTTGAAAGACTCTGGCATGGATGATCAATCTGTGTGCCGGGGGTTGCATAAAACTGTTCGGAAGATTCGTGATAGTTGGGTGGCAGAAGCGCATATGCGGACGGTCAAAAGGGTTCTTGGTACCTCGTTTACAAAGGCCAAGGATCACGAGAATAGCTTTGAGGATGTGGTGAGTGACGTGCGATCAACGAGGGATATTGTGCCGCTGGATGAGGATGAGAATGAAAGGCCTGCTCCTTGGGTCGCTTATGTGTATCACGGAAGTAGATAGTCTTTACAAAGACTGTTGGTAGAGGTATTTATATGTCTTATCAAGATAACATATTGTATGTCAATTGCAGTGTTGGAATTACTTAAACAGTTATCCATCCGGACCGAAAAGACTATCGACTCCCTGATGCTGCAAGCCACAAGGGGTATGCATTCCCATCGCGACCAATTAGCGTGTGCCCATATTGTCAGGGTCGAAGGCGGCTGCAGGAGGTAAATTATACTGTTTCAGGCGAATACTGGTGGCACATTCCTGATGTCCATGTCATCCAGTATAATTATCAATCCAAAGACACAGTCCCCCTTGCGCAGTGCAATCAATTAGGATATTGGTCTAGTTGCGCTGGTGGCTGGAAATAATGGTTCAGCCCTGCGTATCTCCATGCCAATACTTGGCCCTAAAAATAAGGTTCTTTCATCCCTTGCGTTCAACGGTTCCGCTATTTGAAGTGATGCCTTCTCCTCATGATAGTGAGACGTGTCCGTCTTTTTCTTTCGTAAGAACCTATTGTCTGTTAAAATTGCTGTGGCTACTTCGGGTCCAGCATACAAGCTGTGATTTTTGTCGACAAGTATTGTCTTTCTATTCTTTCTTCTTTTTGCCTTTTACACCGATTCGATCAAGTCGCCTCTGGACTACGCCCATGCAAAGGCAGCAGAGTTCTGCAGCGAGTGAGTACCAAGATGGACACCTGGCACCAGATGTTATTAACCACTCGCAACGGACAGCTCCGCAGCTCCACAAACTACAACCGATGCCGACCCCAAAGCGGAAAGTTCGGCAACTGCAAAGACCCCTGTCGCCGTCCGGGCTATCTTTATGTCCCAGCAGAAGAAGAGAGATACCGAGAGACCCGATGGATGCCGTTTACAAGCAAGTTTCTCAACTCTGAGGATCCAGAAACTGCAGCGTATCTTCACACAAGAGGAGACCACATCTTCAACGATACAGACGTCCCGCGAACATTCTTTAAAGGATCGAATATACCTATAGAATGGATGAAGCTAGCAGTAAAAGAGAATCGGCGTCGACAGGAAGCGATGGCGCATATCAAGAACGCAACATGAGAAGACTATCACAGGATGAGAAACGATGGTGAGTTCGGATGGCTCCGGGGCCGTTGAGTTGTTCCATTCGGCGACTCTGTCGACAGGCGAGCAGCCACGTATGTCTGTCACGAGTTCGGCCATGAAATGGTCTTCCCCAAGCTTCACGAGACAGAGCAGTGGCCCATGGGTGTCTATCATATCCCTGCATTCAACCTGACACATTCACTGCCTTTTGATCAGCTGGAGGCTTTACCTACAGGCCTGACTGATTCTGGTACAGGCAGATGTGAATCATCCCCTTGGAGCGACGCTGGGAAGAACTCTGGCAGCCACATGAGCGAGATATCAGGGACCGAACGCCAGACCCGATCTGATCCTCTGGCAGAATGGTCTCTGGGATCAACGAAGATTTCAAGTCGGCGGACAGAAGCTCCACGAAGGCCAGAACGTCACCCTGAATGGAGGATATAGGAAGCTAGTCTGGGACGAACTGCACTTCTTCTTGGCTCGGACGAAGAAGTATGCAGAGATGATCATCGGAGAGTTTCCGGATATTCCTATGATGTGGAGAAGTTTAACATATCACCAAAAGACTGGATCGGGAGGTATCGTGGTAATTGAGATGGATAGTCTTGGACGCGCTTTGGCAGAGCAGTATGGACATGGAGTGTTTGTATGGGGTCGTATCATTAGTCTAATGGGGCATTGGTATGAGGATGGGACTCATCCGGGTGAGGGGGCATTGAGTTGGTTACAGGGAAACATGATTCTGGAGTATCTCGCAAGATCTGCGAAATCGAAACTCGGAGGTGATTATAGATTTCCGTATTTCGACGGATGGGAGAGGTGCCACGGGGAACTTGTTGGGTGGGGAGGTCGATAGAAGAGACTACCTTAGTTATTCGATCAAGCAGCAATTTATTTTCCACCTAAGCTAAGCAGCTGTCCCGTGTTATTAGCTAGACGGGTCACTATACCTGTGATATCAATGTACACATTCTTATAGGGTGGGGATGACTTCCCCGCGATGTCCCACCCTTAGCGCAGCCCGGGGGACTGAGAATAAGATCCGAACTCCACTGATCTGATCAGCTACCCCAGACTATTAATACGCCCTGGATATCTTGACAATCATGATGACTGTAATTTGCTCATCACAGCTTGTATACGCTGAAGCCAATCTCTGGCGTTACTTCAAGTTCAAACCATGTCGGAACAGAGCAACAAGAACAACGGCGAGGAGCCTAATGCGGTTGAGGTTGAGCTACTCGCCGTCGACGAGGATGACAACTACCAAGGTCTGACCTTGAAGTGTGTCCTTGTTTACTTGGTAAGAGCCCTACAGACGACTTTGTCCCAGGGCCAATCTAACAACCTAGTCCATACTCAGTGGCTGCTTTGCGCAAGTCCTTGCAATTGTCGCGACCGGCGCAGTAAGTGCTTTCCTTGAACGGGACAGTCTTGGATTGTACTGATAGCATATAAGTTTGCCAGAAACATGGCCAACGTTTTGGGCGGACGTGACAAGTATATTTGGATCCCTCAAGGCCTGATCATCTGCAGCACGTTTACGGCAGCCCCCATTGCGCAGTCGTCGGACTTTTGGGGCCGTAGGTGGCCGATCCTGATTTGCACTGGACTCTGCATCACTGGCTCTATCATCATCAGCAGAGCATCTTCCATGACCATGGCCATTGCCGGGTCGTTGGTGGTCGGTGTTGGGGCGGGGACAACTTCACTGTTATATGCAGTTGCATCAGAAATCATGCCACGGCAGTATCGGCCGGTTGCCCAAGCCGGTGTCAATATTTCCAATTCACTTGCTGGCATATTTACATTACTCCTTGGCTTTGGACTTGTCAGGAAGGATGATGAGAACTTTCGAGTTGTTTGGTATGTTGGTACGGGGCTTTTTGCCTTCAACTTTGTGGCCATCTTCTTCTTCTTCAACCCACCCAAACGACGCCTCGAGTCAGCCTTGACTCGGAAGGACAAGTTCATGGCTCTCGACTTGATAGGATACGTTCTTTTCTCCATTGGAATGATAATGTTCAGTGTGGGGTTAACATGGGCTAACAACCCGTATTCCTGGCAAAGTGCCCCAGTCCTCAGCACATTCGTTATTGGCGTGGTTTTCATCATCCTCACGGTGGTTTGGGAAGTTAAGAAGAAGGATGGATTTTGTCATCATGCCCTTTTCCAAACAAGCCGCAACTTTGCACTTGCCCTGGTCTTTATTTTCATCGAAGGGTTCGCTTTCTATGCGGCCAACAACTTTCTTCCTCTGGCGTACTCGGTTTACTTCGATAGTGACCTTCTGAAGGTTGGTGCTATGATGTCCCTTATTTTCATTGGAGGAGCAATCTCATCGGTGATTGGCGGTCTCTACTCTACCAAGGCAAGGAGAGTCCGACCACCTTTGACGGCTGGGATGGCCCTCTTTGTCATCTACTTTGGTGAGTCTTGCAACATCTACACCCACTCAACTTTTACTAATTGCATTCCTTCTCAGCATGTATGGCTACTCTAAAGCCCATTCAGCTAGCTGCGATGTGGGGTTATACTGTCCTGGCGGGCTTTGGCCTTGGGTTCGGTCTTGTCATCGCCGTGACGACTGGCCAGATAAGCACCCCTCCTGGCTTGATCGCCACAACCAGTGGCCTGATCCTGACCTCAAGATCCTTGGGAGGCTCAGTCGCGCTCCCGGTTTATACTGCCATCCTCAATTCTTCATTGTCTAAGCATCTTGGCCAAAAGATCGCCGAAAGGGTTATTCCTCTCGGGATCTCTGCCAAGGACTTACCAACCTTTGTTAGTGCTCTTGCTAATAATGATCAACGAGGTCTGGCTGCTATTCGGGGTGTTACTCCTCAAGTCATCTCGGCGGGAGTTGTTGGATTGAGGTCAGCTTATCATATAGCTTTCCGCGGCACCTGGAGTGCAGCGGCAGCTGTCTCGGCGGTTGGGTTGATACTTGCGCTTTTTGTCCGTGATCCTCGCGACAGCTTTAACATGCACGTGGATGCGCCGGTTGAGGGATATATTGCTAGAGGGCTTGACCAGCGGTTGGAAGATGGGAGTAAAAGCGTAACTGCAACCGAACATATCGAGTCAAACATTGTCAGCGAAAAGCCTCGAGACAAGGCTTGACCAGGGAGTTTGGATTGGCTGAGACATGGCTGCTGGATACACTCAGCGTCAAAACATGGTACATTTGCATGGGCTGCAGCTAAATAGGGTTGCTGTGTTAGCAGATCATGTTTCAAGAAGAAGAGGTCAATATTCCTTCCGGATTACTCAAAACCAGGAGGAGCATAAGTCTATAGGCAAACAATTCACTTGAATCCATTTCTGCACTTTCAAATGTCACTAACAATCCAAAGCTTTAGTTCAGTGGCAATGCGGCAGTATCTTATGGCTAAAAACATCTTTAATGTTCCAATCAGTGAAATTGTATCGATCAGGGTCTACTCTTGGATTCTGACCTTGGAGTACGACAACCAGTATGGTACGGGCAACCAGAATTCTACTCGAAACTTTAGTGTTGAGGCTATCGAGCAGCCATAATGAAGTACAAAAGCGGGAAGAGGTGTCATTAGTTGCAACTTAGAAGTAATGAGAACATCGCTATGCATTCGTATGAGGAGGTTTATATGGATCAAGCGGAAAGTAAATATGTCAGTTTAATGTCGCGATTTCTGCTTTTAACGTACTCTCCTCTCCCGAACCTTAATTGAACTCACCTTTCAATCTCTCCTCCCTCGAGCCAACTCTTGGCCAACCAGTACAACTCGTCATGCTTTTCGAGGTTAACCGTGCCGATATGCCGCCTATGTCCAGGCATGTCCAGCAACACCTTGACTCCCATAATAGCTTCTTGCCAGTATGCAAGATACTTGTAGCCTGGTGGATATGTAGCCAACTTCTCCTGATCGACGGTAACCTGAAGGGCCTTGGATGGGTCACAAAGGATCATCTTATCCTTCTCATACCAATGCCTAACTAAGCGGGCGCCCCAGATTCCTTGGATCTTTTCGAAATAGAAGCAAAAGCGGCAGTCAGCCTCAACATCGAATTCCACGCCCTCTACCAGGAAGCGCTGTGTGATAGTAGCCTTTAGCTTTGTGACTCCACGGGTTCCTTCGATATTGATATCTGTGCTTGAGCCGTGACACCGATGCATGATAAAAGCGCCCTTATCCATGCCAGCTTTGGATGCAGCGATGAAGTCCTTGTAGGTAACACGGCCTGACCAGGTAGTATATACATGGGCTCCAGGATGGAATATGGACTCAAAGTTCTCCCATTCACAAGAATCTCTAATGGCGAGTGCCAATTAGTTGCTGTAAAGACTATGCAAGGGTCGCTTTACCTGTATGCAGGCCAGCCCTCAGCTAGCTCCCGAAGCTTCAGCCTTTCAAGTACCAGGCGGTCTGGTCCATTGTTCCGGATCGCGGTATCGGGCCGTGATCCTGCTGGGAGGCTATGCAGATCAAACATATTGATTATCTAGAATGAATTTACGAGTCAAAGACAGTCGCCAGTGTTGATAATGACGATATCTTCAATCAGAAGCAAATCGGCTAGTAGAACTAGCTGAGTTATCTTTTATGCAAGAAGATTCAGCAATGGATGTCCGGCGGCACGAATGGAAATAAGTTGGGTTCTTTGCCACCCATCACTAGCTGGCAGTTGTGAGACCGCCGGTGGAGTAGACCAAATGCTATGGGGCTGGGATGGAACTTGTGCCTTGGGATAGCCACCGACCAATTCACACTCCACTTAAGAAGACTGTGGGTGGGACAGTTCGTGAGGACACCAATTTGTCCACCAAAAGCCATTCTCTGAGCTGCGTATTCACTGGGAACTCTAGATGGACGAATATATTGTGATTTGGTTAGATCGTGGACTCAAAGCTGCAGGGACATGAAGCGGTAAGTAAAGGTACATATGGTTGAAGAAACCAGCCAGGAAGTAATCATTAGTCGCTGTATCAGAAGTCGCGATACCCTTTAGACCACTGTCCCGACCGCGAGTTGACAGTTGTCCATGCGACTGCTGGCATCATTAAAAGTGCAAAGTGCTAGACGATATTTATTACACAAGCTTAGTTTATCACAAGACCTCTTTAATTGACTAAAAGGGATACAGCAGACGGTCTTTCGAATAGTCCATCAATTGCCGCATCTTGCTGCTTTTCCAATGGCATCCCACTTAATTTTCGGCATTTCAACGCATTGTGTTACTAAAAAGCTGAGGGTGCATATAATGATTGAGATGTCAAGAAACGGAAGTGAATTGTCCATGATGGGACGCAGTCTCAACCTCCTATCCGAGACTTAACTATAAACCTTTTGAAATACAGATAACTGACACAAGTATTGCTAGTAGTTGTGCGATTGATACCGGGAGACGGAGAAATGGTGAACCTAATCGAGGTACTGTTGAAATGGTAGAGATAAGCTCTGTTGACTATGTAACCCCATGAAACTGTATTCTAACCTTCGCAGCAATGAACTATGTAGAGGGGTTGAAGATCTTAACTGCTCCAGATTGCGCCGCAGTGATATAGTGAATCTTTCCTTCAGGAGTAAGCTCATAATGAATCAAGAAATGGGCCTCGTAGCCTCCTCCCTTCCGTACGCCCGATCCAAAATTCAGGATATCCTGTCGGTAAAGTTAGCCATGGTACACATCCAAAGGGCATTACCATACCTCGATGTTCGCAACAGCGGTGAATTTGATGTATGATTTTAGTGCAATGCCGGTTTTGTCCAGAATTATGGACTGGACGTTGACGTCCTCGTTCACTTGACTGCGCGCGTTGCGAAAAAAGTTCGTCGCCTCCTCCCTGCCATGTAGAGTCTGTTTTCCATCGAGTATGATGGTAACATCTGATGCATAATACCGCGGGAAAGTGTCAAAGTCGTTGGTGTTGAATGCATTGAGATAAAGTTTGAAGTCCTCGTGGGAACGAATGACATCCCTAGAGGCCTCTTTCTCAAGGTAAGCGTCTTCCGTCAGCTGGATAATGTGGCCGTCCTTGTCAAGAGTGTACCAGACAAACATCTTGACAAGAGGGCCATTTCCGGGCCACACTGGCCCCCATCTGCCAGCGAGATTGTCTGTTTCATAGCCGTTGATGCCACGGAATTGGGTGTGCATCTCGGTGACAACGATGTCCTGTCCGAATACTACCCTTTTCAATTCGAGGGTCTCACGCATACCAGCATGGATTTCGTCCACCCATGACAGAAATTCGTCAATGGTCCTGTCGGGGAAACCACTGAATCTGAACTAATGGGAGAAGAATGAGCAACGTAACTGGGCAGACTTGAGAACAGGCACTTACCACTGCATCTTTGGAGTAGTACGCGGTGTATTCAGCTTTGTCGTTGCCATTGAAATGATAGACATAGTCGTCCAAATCGGCTCGATTTCGTATCGACTTTGTTCCAATACGGAGATCCGGAGAAGAAGACATGTTTTCTGAATTTCTGCTAAAAGCGTAAAGATTTGTCACAACGAATGCTCAAACCTTGAACCTCTGTCGTCCTTTTCTAGCGATCGTTAGGTACCACAGATTTACCCCAGACGGCAGCTGAGTTAACTAGTTCACCAAGGCTGTCCACTCTAGCCAATAATGGTTACGTGTACAGGTGGTAACCGGTGGGATTTGAACTTGTCAGCGGGGTTAGTGAGATGGTGTGTGGGTGGGTAATAGGGTGGAACGCCGCTTGGGCGCTCGAGGCTCCTTCATCGGCTGGTGTAGCTTGTGCCAAATGTGGATGAACGGCCACGCTAATACCGTCATCTGACACTCTCGTATGGAGCCGATGAATCTATCGAAATGCAGGAATCTTTCCCTAAAACCTGGATTTGATACTGGAAGCACAATGATCAAGGGAAATCTATCAAATGGTCAGAATGTGACAACTTTGGCAGAATCGAGAGAACATGACATGTAGTTACACTGTGGCGGGGCATAGCCTCGCCCTCTGTAACCTATCAGAATCGCACAATGAACAAGGAATTAATTCAATGAATCGCGCCGTTGGGGTTTTGTAGTAAATAAAGTAAAAAGCGAATCTGGTGAACTAACTCTACGAACAGAGTAGGGACCTCATCTCCGACAGTCTCCCATCTTGAATAGGTAATCGGAAGTTTAGATGTCTATTCTAGGCCGAGGGGCATGATAGGATGCAAATCCAAGTGAGGGTTGCAGTACATAATTCAGCCTACGAGGCATATATTTATTTTTAAACTTTTGAACCTGATTTCAAAATCATAAATAAAAGGTATGGGAGAATGAGTATGAGATATTCGGACAAGAGTGATATAAATGCGTTTCTCGGCAAATATATTTCGAATAAACAATCTTGAAAACATGAATGCTCCTTGTACGACTCGTGTACGATGAGATAATGGTAACAGCCATTTGGTGAGTGCCAAGGCATAGTGTATGATGCCACTGCTCCTTATTCTCGCACCTTGAACCGGCCGTTGTAATGAGGATACACGAACCACGCACAGAAAGTGTCCAATGGTTTGTCTGCGTCCTCAATGACAAGATCAAACTTGCGGACAATCTGAGGCACCATCTTGGTTAACTCCAGCAGACTAATGTTCCTGCCAATGCAAGTCCGGGCACCAGCTCCAAACTACAACGAGAATTAGTCTTCTGAGATATTCTGAAAAAGAGGAATTAACTTACTGCAAACATCATAGAGTCCATAATGCTCGTCTTCTCATCACCCAGCCAGCGCTCTGGCCGGAAGACTTCAGGGTCTGGACCATAGATTTCCTTGTCGTAATGTAAAACCCATGCGTTAACGCCGACCTCGGTCTGGGGAAGGGTTAGTATGAACCCATGATAAGCTCGTGATCACATACCCCTTCAGGGAAGTAGATTCCCGATAGTTCCATGCCGCCACGAGGCACGACACGAGGCAGAATCGTTCCAACGGCTGGGTGGATACGCAGAGTCTCCTTGATAACAGCTTGTAGATACGGCATGTCCTGTGCTTCCTGGAAGGTAACGGGGTCCGAGAGACCGCCGTCCGCTGCCTTCTGGTCGATCTCCTCTCGCAGCCTCTTGAGTTTATCTGGGTTCTGGAACAGGTAGTAGAGAGCGGAACTCAGTGTCACGGCAGTGGTGTCAGAACCGGCCCCGATATTGCTGCCGCATGCGTCAAGCAGATTGGGCGTTTTGAGACGACCTTCAGACTCCCCTTCTAGAAGCTTCTTCAAGAATGTATCATACTTGGTGGAGCCCTTGACTGTGGATTCGGCGTTTTCTTTCCGAGTGTTGTCGATCTGCTTCAGGGCGTAGCTGACAAGCGTTGAGGTGTTGGACGTCATACCCAATGCAGTAGCGATGCCAATGAGCCATGGGACCAGGCTGGGAACGATGCCCCAGAATGCTAAAAAGTCATTGGCCTCCCGAATGCCCTGTATCATTCCGGTGGTATCTCCCTCGTTCTCCATCATGTTGAAACTCTTGTTGAACTATATCGCACTGGTTAGTCAATCTTCTGAATGGTAGTGATAGGAAGGGGACTAACGGTGATGGCGCCAATAACATCAAAGGCATAGTATTGCATCCAGTGAGGAATGTCAACCAGACGGCCTTCTTTAGCAAATTCGTGTAACTTGCGGACGCACACATGGGTCATCTCGTCTACAGCAGGCTCATAAGATACCATGGACGACATGGTGTACATCGGCGAAATCTTCCTTCGCCTCTCCTTGTGCAGACCATTGTCTTGGATGGCAAAGATGTTTTGCTCGTGGACGACCGGGCTGAGCAGTGGACTGTAGTAAGTTGTCTTGATGTATTTGCCTCCTAATTCATAGACCTTTTTCACATCTTTCGGCTGACTGAGACTGTACCGGTTTGGTCCTACTCGTACAACGGGCCCTGTGTATCTCAGGGTTAGAGAGGATGTCGGGAGGTGCTTAAAAAGGGCTTACCGTAATTCTTGTGCAAGCGGATGAATTCTTGGTTTGAGTGGCCTTGCTTGACCACTCGATACTCCCACCAACGTGTGACACGAGCCAGAAACGGGCCGGGAATACTTCTCAGAGGTGAGAGGAAGAGGCTGTAAAGCAATGCGATGAAGTAGTAAGAAAAGGCAAGACCGAAAAGAGTCAACGGCAAGCCAGCAGCGACTGCCTTGGCATCGACATGCTGCAACCTTGATAAGATGGCTTGCACCGTCGGGTTACTCTCAGCATCTCGTAAGAATGCCATAATCGGTGTTTGAGAAGGCGAAAATAATGTTTGATGGACTTTTAGCGTATCTCAAGCTGATGAAGTATCCGATAGGTTTTAACATAGGGCAGTCAAGGAGATTGCTGATATGGCTGAGCGAGATCAAGTATGCGCGACACCATAGGAGGTCAATCTCGGTGGGATTATGGATGCCGGTGGGGTTGCTCATGACCACGTAGAACCTGCTCCGAGCTCTTTCATCAATTGTCTCATCCACGAGCGAACCCCTTCGATTAGAACTAGCGATCTCCCCTGGAGTGATCCCCACCGGTATAAGCGTAGTATTTGCTTCTGGCAAATTCATGCTCATCCCCACCGACATAGGAACTTCCCAATGCTTATCCAAATATTTTCTCCGCCTTAGCCTCCCATAGATCAAAATGACCTTAAGGTGTCTGACTTCCAACTAGCTAAGAACCCTTGTCAACTACCTGCCCTTCTGCCAAAGCCTCAAAACAACTCAAACATACACCGCAGCACAGCATGGGCGACTACACAGCAGAGATTGAACAGATTTACGCTGGCCTAACCGACCAGCCTCCTCATACCGAGGAGCAGAAAGTCATGGCCAAGAAGATCATCGAACTTCACTTAGCGACCTTCAAATACTATGACTACAAGAGAACATTCGAGCTCGTGGATGAGAACTACAAACAGCATAGCCAGATGGTCTCAGACGGCCGCGACTCTATCATTGAGGCATCCAAGGTTCTGAAGTCAATCGCCGCCAAGCACTGGACGGGTCCGGGAGAACCGCACTTCAACATGGTGTTCAAAAGGATACTGGTTGATGGAGACTACATTGTGGCCCAGATATTTTCTGAGCGCTGGCCTGGAGACGCGGGCGAGCATGTCTTTGACCTTTATCGTTGGAAGAATGGCAGGGTTGTGGAGCATTGGGATGTTATTCAGCAGGTTGATGCGGCAAATATTAAGCATGGTAACTCTGTTGCTTAGCTCTAGGGTATCAGATACTAGGATTGTGTCAAAGCCGAAGGAGTTATGGATGAATATAAAGTCAGAAAAACGTTCTATGAAGATAAACAGACTTTCAGTACCTGCTTTGCATTAGATGTTTTAAACGTACCCCGCTGTTCCTCTCCCGCTACTCAACAACCCTTAAGCGCTGTGTCGCCAGAGTCTACAGAGCTAGCTTCGCGTGTCTTAGCCCTTTACAGTAGTACCAAGCCAATCGCATAAAAGCGATACATAGCCATTGCTAACAAGCTAAAATACTAACACAAAGCAGAAATTTCACGTAGCAATTTCAATACGGCCTCTTGAGGGCACAGCCAGCTTCCAACCTAAACGGAGACAATAAACTTGGCAGACTGAAGAGATGCATGGAATGCAGTATACTGGGTTGATTGTCTAGCCTCTACCTAGCGTTAGCTGGGTGAAGTGCCTTTCTCCCATCTCCGTATCATGACGGAGGCGGGGAAGGGGAAAAAGGGCGGGGCCCCGCACATAGCTAGACAATCTTCGGGGTCCGCTTGAAACCCCAGGCTTGTCTTCGTACCAGTCCGGACAATTTTCGGACTCCGAGAACCCGTTTAACGTAATGTAGTGTAATTGACGAGCCAAGGCGTCTCAGTATACGAGAGTGGTTCACTGAATACACTGCCATCATCTCCAAGTGGTATTCGAGAGGGTCGCGGTAAATCTCAGATCCTGTAGATGGAACGAACCACCGACTCGGTGGGCACGGTGCGCTGCTGAGATTGACGCTAAACGAATTTACCAAGTTAGCGAGGATAAAAACAAACCTTATCGGCCCATGTAAAACCCGCCGCCAGTAAACCCTTGCTACTCATCCGGTGCCAAACTTTAGGCATAGTATTGTACCTGATTTCTGTTATAGTAACATTCATGTCGACTCAAGTCAAGAACGTCGCACTGATTGGTGTATGTATACACATTGGCAACACAATTGAACTTCATACATAATACTGAACAATTCACAGGCTAGTGGTAACCTTGGAGTTGTCATCCAGGACCATTTCCTCGCCCAAAAGGACTCGCCTCTCCACCTCTCCGTTTTGACGAGGGAGAACTCTGGTGCCAAGTTCTCAAAGGGCTTGAATGTCATCTTGACGGACTACAGCCCCGAGTCTCTCGAACGAGGCTTGAGAGGACAGGATGTAGTCATCATGCTCCTCCCCCCAGAGTCCACTGTTGACCATGAGACTGTCATCGACGCAGCGGTAAAGGCAGGCGTCAAGCGCTTCTTCCCCTCTGAGTACGGCGTCAGAACCTACCACCCAGCTTTTGCCGACGGCGTTTTGCTCGCGACTAAGAAGCGATCTATCGTGAAGCATCTAGAGAAGACCCAGGATATCATGAGCTGGAGCGGTATCATGTGCAATCCTTGGGTCGACTTTGTGAGTCTGGTCATAGTAATATTAAGCTCAAAGGCTGATTGAAACTTATAGTGTGTAATCGATGGACTTTTGGGCTTTGACATGAAGGATCGCAAAGCGCGCATCTACAACGGTGGTGATGTCCCATTCTCCACGGGTCTCCGTGACTTGGCTGCCCAGTCTCTCTACGCGCTCATCACCAATCCGGAGCGTCTTGAAGAAGCAAAGAATCAGTACATTCACGTCGCCTCTTACACAGTGACGCAAAACGAGATCCTTGATGTCGTGAAAAAGCTGACCAACCAGGAATGGCAGGTCGAGAATGTCACCTCTGAGAGAGTTATGCCAGAAGCCCTAGAGGACATCAAGAAAGGCTTGAACTGGGGTCTGGGCCACCAGGTCCAAGCTATTCTTTTTAGCTACGACTCGGAAGGCCATGGTATCGGTGATTTCCGCCCGTTGGGGATCTGGAATGACAAATTGGGCCTGTCGAAAAGTACCTTAGAGCAAGACTTGAAGGGCCCTCTTACGGGCGATTGGAAGGGGATCGTTCACTGGCAACCGGACGAGCTTCCCAACTATAAGCTCAAAAAGGATCGTGATCGCTCGACACGCCAGTAGACCCTCAACAGACAAGGACTTCTCTATGGATGTTGCTCTTGAAAAGCACTTTCTGTACACACAGATCTTATGATAGTATGCAACACGTTGATTTCTGTTCATCAAGTTACAATACAATACTAATGTTTTATTATAAAAGCCTCTTATTGGAAGTGGTAAAAGAAAGACTTGATAGCCGTCAGGTTGAAAGATTGTTGTTGGAGTAAGACCGCGGTTGTAATCACAACATAATATCGTTACGATCTGCACAGCATCACAATTGAATGAGGCTCCTTCTCATAGTTGATGCCATATATACCGCTGAATATTGGGCTATACGTAAATTATTGGGGGCACATGAACCCAAGCATTGTGATACCTACATCACTCATCATGGTCGGAAAGTTCAGAGCAAATCACAAGATTGAGTTAGTACTTATTGATGGTTACTGATTAATGTTCGAAGCTAATGATGATACTGTGATGTCTCCTCAGGTACTCGAAAGACACTCTATAGCCTGCTTCCTAGGCCTTGCCATCTAAAACACCGCTGAACCCCCGATGGCCGATGAAAGTCTCAGAAGGATCCCACTTGTTCCTGATCTCAAGCCATTTCTTCAGCGCAGAGTCCGTCATAACCTTTTAACGAGTCAGCATTGAACATGAAGACCTAAGCATCTACTGGACTTACTTTTGGCTTCCTGTGCTTCACGTTGAAATCGGCTACATACACACCGCATGACACTTGATCTGCCTTGGTATATGCATCGAGCAGCCACTTGTCCACAGCGGCGTCATGCTTGGGGTCCTTCCAGCAGCACATTGTAGACACGTAAGCCTTCTGAGCTAGACTCAAAGCCTGATCAGCCTCGTCGGGGTAATAGTCCATAGGGCACAAGGTGCCCGACGAGAGGCGAGATGGTAGGTCATATAGAGCCGGCGTGATGGCCTCAATAAGCTTGAAGGTCGGTAATTAGTATGGGACTCAAGATTCTAGACTGGGCGCACTTACCTCATCATCCGACGCTTTGGGATCGACTAGGATACTGTCCACGTTCCACCTCTCGCCATTGCCCTGTGGCTGGAAGCTTTCCTGAAGGCCCCAGAGCTCGTCCCACGTTCTCTCCACCAGCGGGACCGTCGTAACGATATACTTCTTGAAGTCCTCAGGGAACGTCTCTAACGGACTCGTTAGGACTGCAGCCTCATCCAAGGAATCGGCAAAAATGGTAAGGTTGATGGCAAAGAAGACGCGCCTGGCCGCTGATTCGTGGCCTCCATTCGGGTCATCCTTGTCAGCGAAGAATGTGCAGTAGAAGAGATCAACACCATATTTGGGCACCTTTCTGGACATTTCAAGCGTCCACTTAAGCAAGGGCTTGAAGATGTCGGTCGAATCGACGATGACGGTCTTGTCAAAGAGCTTTCTTGTTGGGATCGTCTTAACCCAAATCCTCGTCACAACTCCAAAGAAACCCTGTCCACTGCCAGGAGCCGCCCAGAAAAGGTCAGAATTCTGAGCCTTATTGGCGATAACAGTCTCGCCCTCCGAAGTGACGACTTCCAGTTGGGTGACCCAGGTAGGAGCAGTATAGCCCCAGCCACGCATGAAGCAGCCCTGCCCACCGGCAAGCAGAAAACCACCGACAGCGACGGATCGCGAATGGCCAGAGGGGAAGAACCTGCCGCGGGCTTCGAGGAAGGTTGTCACATCCTCGACCATATGGCCAGGACTCACGGAGGCGATGTTTGTTGCAGGATCGTATTCGATATCTTTGTTCAAGTTGCGCGTGTCGATGAGAAGACCGCCTTCCAGAAGCGCATTGCAGAAGAATAGGTGGCCGCCCGAACGAACGCCAATCTTCCAGTCATTTTCACGAGCCCTCTTGACGGCGGTCACGACTTCGGCTGTGGTGGATGGAATAGCTATTTCGGTTGGATGGACATCGGGGACTCGGCCGTTGAAGAACTTGCGGCGAGCTTGGTCGTAGCCTTCAGAGTCCTGGGACAGAATCTTCGGAAGTGAGGCCATGATGAAGATGAATGTGATGCTCGGTAGGAGTTCTGATAGGGAGGTAGTGAGATATGTGGCTAAGCTTCAAAGAGGTCAACTTATTTAAAAGCCAATCTGATGGATGTCTCGGATGTATTACCTTCGGAACTTCATTGCGGGTAACGTAAACGTGCAAAACCCACTAAGTAGCCACTTGTAAGCGAGTGGGTTCAGGCATTAGGAACGCCCACCCAACCCCGCCGTGAGCTGTGTTGGATCATCACCTGTGCTAGCGGCCGAAAACTTAATGTTATGGCCAGCAACCATCCATTTAGTTGGAGAATACAGCAGACTACGTAATGTAATTAAGAATATGGCTGGTCATATAATGTCAATGATATGGGTAGCAAGTGAGCGGATTAGGATGACTGAAGAAAATACGCTCGATACCTTAATCTATGTCATTCGGTACAAATATTATACAACGTACAAAACAATCAAGCAATGTACCGTAGTTAGGATGCTTCCGGAAACAGAATACCCTACCATTAGAAGCTGCTGTACAGGCTCTAGTGTCATGACAATCTGAAACTAATCTTTTTATGATATTGGATGTATTTAGATTTAGCCACTGAATCACACCGGCGATCTACGCCGAAATGTTGACAGCATGCATTTTAACACAACAAGATATGGCTAGTTTTATAAAGTTCATTTATAGCTTTCTGATGAATAGCTTCTGCCTAGTCTAAGTCCCTCGCTGCAGCCGGATCCCATCTGCATTGCGTAGACATCTAGCGTCGTTACTAAACTACAGATCCTTGATGTTTTCCCACCTCACAAACTTGACCGGGTTCCTTGACCGTTGACTGATGCTGTGGCCTTGACGCCGATCTTCTCCAACTGATTTCCCAACATCGTTAGTTTATGTAGAAGGGGGCAAATTGAACCCACTGACCTCAGCAACAACATCATACCCGTAGACGAAGTCTTGTGCGGCTGGATCGATCCTGAAATGAAAGTCAGTACCATTTCTCCAGGCATGGCATAGGCGGCAACTACCAGTAAAATGGATAGCCGGGCTGCTGATCGTAGAGTTGCGATTCTGCAAGACGATCCCGAGCTTCTTGCTCAGGGCCATCAGGCAAGTGATTAATGTGTCTCTGTAGCAGAAATTAATGATCAGAGCTTCTGATTGGGTATTTGTTGCACCTGTAGTAGGCTTACTTGTTTCATGCTCCATTTCTGCAACGCGCTGCTCCGAGGAATTCTCAGGTTCTCGTACGTCTTCAGAGCTTGAGGGAGCTGCTCTCTTCTGTCCACCTTCGACAGGATGATACCCAATGCAGCACCATCTTCAATGGCAGAACCAGCTCCTTGTGCCATATACGGCAGCATTGGGTGACAAGAATCACCTAAGAATGCGACGGTGGCTTCCTCGTTATACCAGCGCTCCAGCTCATCCACTATCAGGCGTCAGGTGGTGAAGAGCATAGTTCCCGTTGCACTTACGATGCATCAGCTTCCATTTATCAATCTTGTCCACTTGAGAGAGAAACTTCTGCAATCTGAAACGATCAGTCGACGTCTGTCGTACGTAGTTGTTGCTGACTCACAGCGGATCCCACTTCTCAAAGATCTCTCTCATTTCTGAAAGGTCACCAGACATCTTAGCCACGTTGTCTGGCAAATTATCTGGAACTAGAAGCACAATATTTGCCATGGTGTTGTTCTTGAGCGGGTAATAGATGGCGTGGCATTCCGGGCCAGCCCACAAGCAAACACGGGGCTTGTCAATGAATTGGTGCAGCTCAAGATCTTGAATGTCTTCCTTCTTGAGAACAATGCGATATGCAAGATCTCCAGTGGCTATAGGCTGACTGGGCCTACCGAGAACCTTGGACCGTGTTTTAGACCAAAGCCCTATTACGTATTAGAGAAGCATTGCTGGGTTTGGAGAGACTTACCATCTGCAGCTATCACCAAATCCCCGGTGATCTTATCACCCTTGTCTGTTGTTAGCTGCGGAATAGCAAGATCTACATCAGTCACCGTTGTACCGAACTCGAAGCGGATACCGAGGCTCTTAGCCCGCTCAAACATCGCAAGCTGTAGATCTGCTCGGTGCATATCCCAGTAAGGTGACTTGTACTTGCTGAGCATTTCAGCAGCAAAGTTTTGGCGGTGACCAAGGACCTTGCGACCGTCGAAGCGACGGATGAGGAACTCCTTGGGACTGCTGGCCAAATGCTCGAGGCTGGGCTTCAAACCCCACCTTAAGAGAAGCCGCGTAGCATTGGGTGTAAGTTGAAGTCCTGCACCGATCTGAGTGGTTCAACATGTCAGTTTCCACTGTATAGAATTACAGGAATACCCTGAACTAAACGTACCTCTACTAGCACTGGCGCTGATTCCACAACCAAAACGTCATGAGCGGGCGACTCTTGCTTGATGGAAAGGGCGGCGGCGAGCCCACCGAGTCCGGCTCCGATGACAACAATATTAAGAGGCATGGTGGCTTTTGGCAGTGTAAGTTTCTGGAGAGCTATCATTTGAATGCGAAATACATCTTCCGCCTCGCATTGGCTTTATAAATGGTTGTCTTAACTCGGCTCAAAACCTTTACTCCCCACCCGGGTGGGTGCTACTTTACAGCAGTCAAGCTAGCCGCCACTCAAGCACCTATCTCACAGGTCATTCGAGGCGAGGTCTGTTGACCATGTTATCTGTCCCCATCGATATTAAATATATCGTGATATATAGATGGCATCCCATAGTATCTAATCCGGGTCACAAATACATCAATCTCATTCTCCAACTATCACTATCTCTCTTTCAAAACTTGACTCCAAAAGCTTTCAAAATGTCATCGCTAGCTGGTAAGGTGGCTCTGATCAGTGGCTCATCGGCAGGACTCGGAGCAGCCATTGCTCGTGAGCTATCCAGCCGCGGTGCCTCTGTGGTCATCAACTACCCCAACCAAAGCGAAAAGGCAAATGCGGACAAGGTTCTCAAGAGCCTCAACGGGCCTGGAAAAGACGTAGAGGCAGACCTGTCAACACCGGAAGGGCCGCAGGTGCTAGCCGATGCGGCCGCAGAAGCTTTCGGCAAAATCGACATCCTTGTCAACAGCGCTGGCATCAATCGCCCCACGCTTCTCGACGATCCCGACGATGAAAAGGTCTACAAGATATGGCACGATATCGTCAATCTCAATGCCAGAGGTGTCTTCTTCCTCACACGCGCTGTTCTAAAGTATCTGTCGCGAGAGAACTCACGCATCATCAATATCGGTAGCTCTGTGTCGCGCACTCCAGGGCCGGAGTCTAGCATCTATGCGGGTACTAAAGGACTTGTTGAGGTCTATACTCAATGCTGGGCGACAGAACTGCCCCGGAAGTACGGATGCACCGTCAATGCTGTCGCTCCTGGGCCTGTTGGAACAGATGCCTTCAACGCTGCGCCCAGCTTTGTGAGAGAGGCACTGCAGCCCATTATAGATGCGACTCCTGTCGCTCCACGCGTCGGTACGCCTGAGGAGGTAGCATGGGCTGTCGCGACTCTGGCTGAGGAAAGGGCGGGCTGGATCAACGGGGCCTTTATTCCCATCAACGGGGGATCCAGTATATTTTAGATTGGCAAGCATGGCTGAATTGATGGGATTAGGCTTAGGCTGAAATCATACATTACCTCCTAGGTAGAAGTGTCCGCTTGGTTCTTGAACATCTCAACCCTGGATAGCTCACTTTCAATATTCACAAGCCAAAGAAGATGGAATAATGGTGTTGAGCGCAGCACAAAACAATAGCCACTAGCGAGCAAGCATAAGATATTTCTTCACAAATCTACGAACACATCGCCGCGAGACTGCCTACTTAAATCATGTACTCGCGCACCTAGATCAGGGAGCTGCAATGGAAGTCTTACAAGCCATCTCCCAACAAAGATTGCCACAACACAGAACTCTGAGATAGGATGATGTACTCGCTATCTGTCGCAGCACAAGTGGTCAGAATCTCGCTATAAAAATACTGGTATCCGTTTATTTAACTTGATAGAACCTCGCAGCAGTTCCTCCTCCTTTGCATGATATGCAGCCACCTGAAAGACATTGGCGACTGACAACACATTGGAGCGCACGAAGAGTTAACAACGAGTTCCAAAGAAATATATTCTGATAAGCCAAGCATATATCGCGACTATCTACTTCCCATTAACAGTTCCATTCGCCCTTCGCGCCTCGCTCGCTTCCCTGGCTGCATCGACATCCTTGCCATCCACCCAACTACCATGAAGTCCATCCATAAGCTTAAACGGCAACTTGATCTCAGCAAGCGGACCTCGTGTGATGTCCGAAGCCTCAAAAAGGAGCAGGACGTTGCGGCCCTCGCGATATCGGTCAGCTACAACGAGGATATAGCCATCCTCGTCGTCAGCACCCTCATGTCTCGGAACAAAGACGGGCTCTTGGAACGTGGTGTCATCACCGTGTCGGTAAGATTGCATGTTTCCTGTCTCAAAGTTGTAGCAGACCAGGGTGTTGAAGCCAACATTGCCCTGGGCTGTCTCGTGGTCGTTGAGTTTGACTTCGTGCGTAGGATCGACCTTTAGAATCCAGACGCGGGAGTATTTCTTACCCAGCAGACGATCGTCTATGCGACCGAATTCATTGACGCCGGTAACAAGAATAGCCTCAGGGTGGATCATCTTATCCGTACTACCGTTGGGGTCAAATCGGTAGCGGGTGATAGGTGCCGTGACTTTCCTGGGGTCGGTAAAGAACCTCTCGCCCTTGGTGTTAGGAAAGAAGGGAAAATGAACATCGGTCCAGACATTGGCGTCTAGAACAAGCTTTCCATCCTCCTCATAGGCGTTGATGGTGTGCGAGTAACAGCCCTGGGGTGTCTTGAACCACTTCGCGTCCTCGGGCTTGGCGCCGCGGCGAGGAATAACGCCCAGCAGCTGGTAGTCCAGAGTCTCATCCCAGTAGAAGTGGTCACCGCCGTTCTTCATCTGCTCCAGGCTGGCCTTGAGGCCGTTGACGGGAAACACGACCCAGTTGTCGGTGACCCAGAAGTCGTGGATCATGCATGGCCAAGGGGCCCTGAACCAGACCTCCTCTGAGAGCTTGCCGTGTTTGTCGACGGTGAAGGAGCAGATGTCGGGTGATGCGTCACCAGCAGCCTCATAAGAGTAAGAGACCAACTCTCCCGTGGCTGAGTCTGCCTTCGGATGCGCAGTATGCGTGGGGCAGCGGAACGTCCCGTGGTAGTCAATGTAACCGAGGGTCTCAAGAGTAATGGGGTCAAGCTCCATAGGCGGCGCATCCTCCTTGAGGGCCATCAATTTGTTATCGTGAAATACAACGTGAGTGTTGGCCGTGGTACCCTTGAGAACATTCTGAACGCGTGGATCATCTGTGTACTTGTTGCGATATCTGCCAAACAGGGCACGTCTAGCTTCACGCTCGGCGATGAGCTTAGGGGTGCGCACATAGCGTTGCTTGAAGTCAACATGCCCATCCTTGATGTAGAATGAGCTGACATTGCCGTCGCCATTCAGTGGGATCTCGGTTTCCGCAAAGATGGGTGGGAATGCGTGGTCGGGCTGGACGCGGTAGAAGGCGCCGTGGATGGTGCTCGGGATTTCGCCTATGACTTCAAGCTCGTAGGCATCTGCCTCGAATCGCAGATGGTCCTCGTTCCACTTGCTCATGGCATAGTGCTTGGGAAAGCGGGTGCCTGGAACTCCTGGAACAACGTGTGCCATGATTGGCGAGTTGAGACTTGATAGTCTGAAGAGTTGTGTTTATGGGAATGTATATACACTGCAAGGGCGCAAAAGTAGTCCTTGTTTTGTGCTTTTGGTATTCTCTGCTCAGAAGACCCTTGAACCTTTTTATGGTAGTTTGGTTCAATTGTTGAGTTACTATCCATTTGGGCATAAGGTTCACAATCCCAGCTGCTATCCGCTCGTCCCGTTGTGGGTGGCGTCTCCACTCCAAGATTGAAACATTGGAGTGGGTAATAAGCTCTCATCCCCACCAGTGTCTTCCGATGGGCCGATGTGATACAGCAAACGTAGACCACTATCTGTACCACCCTGGAGAGAACTGGCTCTAGTTGTAAGGCCTCGGTTTAGGGCGGGGTGAATGCTCACAAGATCCTGCTTGAGTCCCATAAGGACCTGCTTGTCCTGCAAGGATGAGTGATTTGTAAAAGGTCAGAGTCTATCTTTGCATTCTTTCGATTTGAGCTATTACATCCTAATCTCAAAACAATTCGACCCAAATGGTTCAGTGGTACGCATCTCCGGAGCTGCAGTCGCATCATGACAATGCGTTCCGTTCTCGTCAGCCAGGGACGAGAAGCCTTCCTCCGGGTCACGATGAAGCCAGCTTCCAGCGTGTCGTAAATGAGTTCCGATCTATCATAGGCCACGAAAACGTCATCATTGATGAGGGGTTGGCCAACTTTCGTGACCCATATCCCTTGTTCGAGGAGGGATTTGAGGCATCTGCTGGACTATGGTAAGACCTTGAATCTATAATTCGCACTATTGCGACCTTACTGACACGACTGTAGCCCATCGACTGTTGAAGAGATCCAGGCCATTCTCAAGGTAGCCAACCAACACCATGTTCCCTTGTGGACATGCTCGCAAGGAAAGAATTTTGGGTATGCCTGGGACAGACTCCGTGATGTCATTGACATTTCAGCTAATCTGGTGACAGATATGGCGGACCTGCCCCTCGGGTCGCGGGGTCCATGGTGCTATCTCTTCATCGGATGAAGCGCATCCTGGAAGTGAACGAGAAGTTGGCCTACATCGTAGTTGAGCCTGGAGTCACCTTCTTTGATGTCTACAACTACATCGTGGAGAACAAGCTTGATCTTTGGGTCTCTGTCCCGGCTTTGGGGTGGGGAAGTGTCGTAGGCAACGTAAATCACTCCTCGCTGTTCGATAGTACTATTGTTTGCTGACGAATTTCCAGACTCTGGACCGTGGTCATGGCTACACCGTCTCTGGTGACCGTCAGCATTTTATTGGCAGTCTAGAGGTTCTTCTGGCCTCGGGAGACATCCTCAGGACAGGCCAATGGGCTGTACCCAATTCCCCCAGCGCACATGCTTGCCCCAATAGCTTCGGTCCCCAAATCGACGGCCTCTTCTTGCAAAGCAATCTGGGCATCGTGACCAAGATGGCCGTGGCTCTCGACGTGGCGCCTCCGTCTTTCATGGAAGTCAAAATCCACTGTCCCGAGGTCGAAGACATTGCACCCCTCATTGACACGCTCCAGCAGCTAGAACGTGAAGGAATCACCCAAAGTCACCACATGATCACCAACATCAACCATTTTGCCTCGCATGATGCCCCCAAGCACCAGCAGCAGAGTGTGCCCGGGCCTCTAACCGCAGATAGCATAGCTGCACTGAAGAAAAAGTACAATACCGGGTACTGGCGATGCTCGGTGTCTTTTTATGGGCCTAAACAAATGGTTCTTGCCCGTTGGAGTAGGTTTCAAGAGGTTGTCGCCCAGAGAGTTCCCAACGCCTGGGTGGAGAACACGCTCTTCGAAGGCAAGGATGGCAAGCCGGTAGACAACATCCAGATTGGAACGCTCGCCGCGGGTATTCCCTCAATGGGCGCTGTGAAGCTCGCAGAGTATAACCTTCCAGCGGATGGGACAGGCGCGGGAGCTCATATCGACACTACTCTCATCCTTCCTTGCGAGGGTGAAACAGTCCTGACGTGGTTCCGCAAAGCAAGGGCTATTATGGAGGAGCAAGGAGTTGATCCTTTTATTGGATGTCATGTCTTCTCAAAGTACATCCTATTTGTTCAGGAATATGTCTTCGACAAGTCTAACAAGACGGCGCGTGAAGGTGGCCGCAAGGTGGTCAAGGCCCTACTTGCTGAGGCAGAATTGAATGGGTTCGCCAATTATAGATCCCATGTTCAGCACATGGGTAAGTACATTCTACAGACTCCGAAGACGCGTTACTGACGATTGCCAGATGCTGTTCAAAATTTTTATTCGTACAATGGCCACATTTATAGGAGATTTGTTGAGACTTTAAAGGTATGTTTGCGATTGAAACTTCGAAGCGCTACCGATTCTAACGTTCTACTTCCAGGCTGCCGTGGATCCAAATGGAATTCTATCTCCGGGTAAGCAGGGAATATGGCCTCTCAAGAGTTTAGTTCATCTACCACCTCGTGGGGTCTGAGCTGGGTGGTTTACGTGGAACAGAAGTACCAGATATACAAGACTTGATCATACATACACGATAAATATAAATCATATTCGAGCAAGCTGTCTAAACATCATGTCTGGTCTTGCAAAACTTTTTGAGGAGTGGTAATGGCCGACACTTATCAGATGCGTTAATCGCAGAAGTGAGATACAGCCAAGAGTTTAATGCTCTTGCGTCTGTGGATTACGCTAGTTTATGACTAGGAGCTTTTTAGACGCATACGTGATGATACCACAAGCAGTAGCTCTTCCACGGATATACAACTTCGGCGAGCAAGTTGCTTATTTCTTTCTGTTCTCTATCTCAATAGCTCAATAGGTGATTGTACCATCAACTACTTTAATATCATTGTCAAGCTTGACAGCCGACTTTACTGCCTCTTCATGCCGTAACGCCCCAACCTCGGCTTCCGAAACGAGCGAAAAGTCATATCTCAGTAGCTTCGTGGTTCCTGGTACTCCATACCTCTCAGAGAATCCTGACACCTCAGAGACAGTTCCCAGATCAACAATGAGAGACTCCTTGACTCCAAAGACGGCATCAGATGTCTCATACGGATCACCACGAATATAAAGCGCCCTGTTCACGTCAGTATGATATTTTTGACTAGTTTCTTGCGTGTGACGTACGTTATTAAAGGATCATATCCAGACTTCTTGAATTTGAAGTGCATGTGGCTTGGGCGATAAATATGTCGGTTCAGAGTCTTCAAAAGATCTCCGACAGGCCCATCGCCGGGTATTGGGTAAGGGACGGGGACAATAGCCTTGAAATCGAAGTTTCCTTCACTGTCGCTGTGTAGTATAGCTCTGTTATCGAAGCCTTCCCGGTCTGCATACTGCACATCATAGAAGCCTTTGGAATCGGTCTCCCAGACATCAACCTCGACGTCTGCAAGTGGGCTACCTTGAGAGTCTCGTACTGTACACACAACCAAGAGTGGTTCCCCATCAGGATCATGAGAAATAGTGTCCCCAGAAGCCACATTCTCAGCTCCGTGTGCATGAAAGGGGCCAAGAACAGTACCCTCGGTAGATGTAGCTGGCTTAGGGTGATCGATTGAGTCTACCAGAAGTGATAGTCCTAGGACATCAGATAAAAGAATGAATTCTTGTCGGGTGTCGCTGCAAATCTTTCCAGTTCTAGTGAGAAACTGAACAGCTTTCTCCCACTCGGCGGTGCTAAGACGAGTCTCGCGCGCAAAGTCATGGAGGTGATGAACTAGCCTCTCAAAAAGAAAGCGTGTTCGGGGATCTTGGCAGTTAGAGTTGATAGCCACGACATTTTCGGTAATGTTTTCGGTTGTGAGATCTTTTAGAAGCGGGATGCCTGGATTAGTATGCGACATGGTGGACAGAGGTGATATGATAGATGATGAGTATGATTGGAAATCGAACTATACAAGTATTGGAGGTTAGGTTAATCAATGAATCTTTGAGATTTGGCGGCACGGTGACCGATGTCTTTTTTAGACCGTTCCCACCGACGAGTACCTATGAAGTGCCGACGGTGGTGGGGCCGGTGGGTACGGAAAAGCCGGGTGGCTCGGTGGCTAGGTGCGTCTCGCCGCTCGGGAACCGGAGCCAAGATAAAGCAAAGAATGTTACTTTGATAGCATATCAGGATACCGCTCTCAAAACCTGTTTCAAAGAAAAGACACCCTTATTCAAGATGGAGCCCTTCGTGTACAGCCCTCTCCCTCACAAGATCATCTTTGGACGAGGTTCAATCCGTCAACTTCCGCAATGCCTGCAGCAACTTGGCTTCCGTCGGGCCCTCGTCCTATCGACTCCCCACCAAATTGACCAAGCCAAACAAATCACCGATATTCTCGAGTCGCACGTGGAAGCCAGTTGGATCTTCTCCGAGGCTACCATGCACACTCCCTTGAAAATTACCGAGAAGGCCCTCGCATTTTGCCAGAAGAACGAGCCCGATGTTCTAGTCTCTATTGGGGGCGGCAGTACTACCGGACTCGGCAAGGCAATCAGCTTCCGAAAAGGGATATACCATATCTCCATTCCCACAACATACGCTGGTAGTGAGGTAACACCAATCCTCGGCGAGACCGTGGACGGTATCAAAACGACCAAGACGCAGATCGAAATCTTGCCCAAAACTGTCATATACGATGTCGACTTGACCCTCACGCTCCCTCTCCCCATGTCGCTCACCAGCATCATCAACGCTATCGCGCATGGTGTCGAGGCGCTCTACGCCCCCAACACAAACCCTATTGTTAGTCTCATGGCCGCCGAAGGTGTGAGATCTCTCGCAAACGGATCATACGAGTTACTCGACGATTCCGATTCCATCGTAGCTCGATCGATCTGCCAATATGGAGCTTGGCTCTGCGGAACTTGCTTAGGCAGCGTTGGAATGTCTCTGCATCACAAGCTTTGTCACACATTAGGTGGCTCTTTCAACCTGCCCCATGCCGAGACGCACACAATTGTTCTCCCGCACGCTTTGGCGTACAACGCTCCCAAGGTTCCCCAGGCTATGAAGGTCTTGGCTGGAGTGCTTCCAGATAGCCAGGGGGATGCTCTACGCGGTCTCAACACGTTACTTAACAAGCTTGGTGTTCCACGAAGCTTGAAGTCTATTGGATTCAAGGAGGAAGATATCGACAAGGCAGCGGATATTGCTGTTAGCAGGTCTTATGCTAATCCAAGAAATATTGACAGAGATCTCATCCGGGAGGTCATTAGGAGGGCATGGGCTGGCGAGGACGCAAGGGCAGATTTGTAGCGCAGACCTCACAAGAATCAATAACATATTATGCTCCCCTTTAACCTCTGTTTTGATTCGTGTGATATTCTGGTGTGACCTTTATGTGGCTTCGATATGACGGTTCGCCTACAGGGTATTTGATTAATAGACTGATGTTCATTCCGCTAAATCGAGCAACTATCGGGCAACGCAGCAAATCATGACTCCCCTGCACATTCTAGCTTTCAACGTATGCTTGACGAAGATTTAATCAGAAACTAAAAGCTGGCGTTCGACACGTTTTCTATCTTGTGCAAAGTTGATATACATAAAACATGACCAATGTCCATAGTCATCTAGCAGCATACGGCTGTCTTCGCGTCCTTGCTGTCTTACTTCCAACGGGCACAGTCTCGATGGCCATTCTCTACTCAAAAGCTTGCTGCCTCTGCACAATCCGCCTTGATCAATGCCGTATGAGCCGCACTACGAACACTAATTCTAACCTCATAGGGCTTCTCTGTTCCGATCTCGAACGGCTTCCCAACTGGAATTGGATGCCCTGGAACTTGGTGGAAGTCAAAGCAGTACAGTACACGCGCAATCAGTAGGTGGAGGCTGTTACTAGCGATGACCCATCCGGGACATACTCGGCGACCTAGTAGAGTAACTTGTTAGTCGTATGATGATTGGATGCATGCATGGCTTGGCTCACCTGCTCCAAATGCCAAATGTCCCTTGATGGGCTTGTCAAGGTCCTCGTTCATAAATCTCTCTGGCAAGAATGTTTCCGGATTTTCGTACTCAGAAGCGTCCATGTGAACACCCCAGCTATTCCAGATGACATTGGTTCCTGCTGGAATGTTGTATCCTTCGAAAGAGTCATCCTCAATTAAGGAATGTGCAATTTCTGGAAACGAAATGCTTAAGAATACTTGTCAGCTATGCCACCAAAGAATTCAAAATCGCGCTGTAATGGTTTCTTTTTACTTACTTCCATCGAAGAACTTCCTTGCCGATGGCTTTGATGTAGGGCAAACTTGCGATGTCGCTCGCGACCGGAAGTCTCTGCGCATCTGCACCACATATATTGTCCAAGTCCTGACGCGCACGCTGTACAAAGTCGGGAAACAGCGCTGCCCCAGCCACAAGTTGGTTCAAAGCCACACGCGTGGTATCAGATCCCGCTTCAATGAGAGATCCAGCGAGGAAGACAGTTGACTCATAGTCAAGTACCTTATCTCTTCCAAGCCTTTTGAACTCTGAAACAAAGCACGTTACGTTCTTTCCTTGCTGTTCTCGCGCGGCAAGTCCTTCAAACTCTTCAGAAAAGTTTCTGTCTTGAAGTCAGTAGCCACCAGATATCACGAGCATTGACAACATACTTCTTGGATTGTTCAAAGACACTGTCGCCCCACCACCTCCATGGCTGAATAGCTTTTGGGAGAGGAATGTATGCCAAGAAGGGAAATGAATCGATCAAGCTGGAGCCAGGTTCAAACATCTTCATGATCTCGTTATTCGTCTCAATGATCCTGTCAACGTTGGGGTCTCCCATTTTTGTCCTCCGCCCAAACACCATGCTCATTATAAGGGAGCTGGCATATCGGGCGTTTGCCTGATTCCACAGATCAGGCTCTGTGAGGTAGTCGTATAATAGTGTTCGTGACTCGACGTCCTGGAGAGGGGCAAAGACGTTGCGGTTTCCGGGGCCGATGATCTCGTGTATGAGCTTGCGCTCCCACTTCCAGAGGTTGCCGTATGGCATGAAGACGACGCGCTTTCCGCCAGAGGCAACGTCTCCGGGCATGGGCAGATTCTGCCGTGAGATGTAGCGTGCTCCGCGCTTGTCGAGCAGCTCATTGGCGACGCGCTGAGAGTTCATGAATATCCAGTAATTGGAGCCTACCTTGAGAGTGAACCTGGTGGGGAATGTTTTGTAAGTGCTGGTCTTGGTGAGGCCCTATTTGTGACACTTACATTTCGCCATGTTTCCTAGCCAGTTTATGGAGATACAGACGCCGCCCAGCTGTATCGGTTGGGATCTGCAGCATGTTCCCGAACAGGGGCACACCGGGCACGAGATTAGGAAATTTGTACTTTCGATGGAACCTGAGCCAAAGAACAGTACGATATAGGATCCATAGCAATACCAGCGCAATAGCAATCGGCACCACTTGGACATTTCGTCCGGCCAGCTTCATCGTGGTGTTCACTATTGGGGATGGAATTTGCAGATGTGCATTTGGGGGGGTTCCAAGGTGACTATGGATTACCAAGCAAACATCGTTGAAGAGAAAATAAAATACAAGACAGACAACTTATAACGACAATAACGGAACTACCAGGCGATGCGTTTCTGGCTCCTCATCACCCACCTACTACGATGCGGTTTGGTGGGCAAACTCCCCACCGCATACCTCCCCACCCTATACTATCCACTTTTACACCTGCATTTTGAGTGGCATAGCGCTCGATAGACGTCAAAAATGGCATGCACAGAAGGCATCGATCCTTGCTTGTGCCATCAGCTAATCGCTAGAGCACTGTTTTGAGTCACCGGCTTGGGCTAGGTTCTTGTTTGCTATCTTTTTGTACACGGGCCTCGGTGGAGTGAGAGCAGCTTTCAGAACGCATAGCCACCTGGAGCGACAGACGTAGCCATTTGTGCTCGGCCACCCTAGACGCGGGAAAGATTAAATATTAGATAGATACAACGCACCTTGACCAACACTCGAATTCAAACAGTTCTTTAGCTATTCTCATCCATCTATAGACAACAATGAGCTTAGGTGACAATGCAAACGGTTGGTCAACCGTCCCACTAATCATCAATGGGAAAGATGTCATCTCAGAAACATCGTTTCCTGTAAATAGCCCTTCTAACTCTGAAAAGCTCTGGAGTGGTTCATCTGCTTCAATCAATGATGCAACCGGGGCTGTCGAGGCCGCCCAAGCGGCTTTCACGTCGTGGTCTCAGACGAAGCCCAGTTTTAGACGGGACATCATGTTCCGGGCCGCAGATCTCTTTATCAGCAGAAAAGAGGAATTGTTCGCCTACCAAGCCCAGGAGACGGGTGCGGGGCGGCAATTTATGGAGATCAACATCAACGCTACGGCGCAGATCCTGAGAGATATCGGAGGAAGAATCGAGGCGGCAGTTGAAGGTTCGGTTCCTGCGACGGCCGAGCAGGGGTCCCATGCCATTGTAGTCAAGGAACCGTACGGCGTTGTTCTTGCAATTGCCCCATGGTATGTATGCAAACACTCGCATTCGGACCGCCGCTGAGGCTGACGATTTTCCTTTCTTCCACCGCAGGAATGCCCCATACGTGCTCGGCGCGCGATCAATTGCGTTTGCCCTCGCAACGGGCAACACAACAGTTCTCAAGGGTTCCGAGCTGAGCCCGCGCGTTTTCTGGGCAATCGGCGACATCTTTCGACAGGCTGGCTTACCGGACGGTTGCCTTAACGTCATTTATCACCGAACGGCAGATGCCGCTGAAGTGACAGAAGCCTTGATTGCGCATCCCGCAATTAAGAAGATCAATTTCACTGGCAGTACCCTCGTCGGAAGCATCATCGCCAGTTTGGCGGGGAAGCACGTCAAACCGCTTTTGCTTGAGCTGGGCGGGAAAGCGAGCGCCATCGTCCTCAAGGACGCCGACGCGAAGAAGGCCGCGACAAGTTGCGCTGTCGGCGCGTTTATCCACGTGAGTTTGACCCGTGATGCAATGTATTTAATTGATGCTAATAATATTTAGGGCGGTCAGGTGTGCATGTCGACGGAACGCATTCTCGTGCACAGATCGATTAGTGACGTGTTCAGCGCTGCACTCAAAGAGGCCACGCAGGGGCTCTTCGGGTCCGAGAAGCCGCCGTTCGTGCTAGTAAACCCAGCGGCTGTACAGAAAAACAAGGGTCTCGTCGCCGACGCGGTCGCCAAGGGCGCGACGACCCTCCTGGGCGACGCCGAGGCTGTGGAGGACCAGCCCACCAAGATGAGACCTGTCATCGTCTCCAACGTGTCCAAGGAAATGAACATCTACCACACCGAGTCCTTCGGGCCTACCGTGTCCCTCCTGACCTTTGACACGGAGGACGAGGCTCTCGCGATCGCCAATGACACCGACTACGGGCTCTCGGGGGCTGTATTCTCCGAGGACTTAAAGGCCGCTATGAGGGTCGCTAGGAACTATGAATCTGGGGCGGTCCACATCAACTCCATGACCGTGCACGACGAGGCGTCGCTGGTGCACGGCGGGGCAAAGAAGAGTGGCTACGGTAGGTTCAATGCCGCGCAAGGACTGGCTGAGTTTCTGAGGTACAAAACCATCACTTGGAGGGAATGAGTCGCAGAGGTATCCAATGATGTGAGTCGTGTTCATCAGCTTAGATGGCGTGCTCTTTTTTGCACAGCAGCGAGTACCATAAAATATAGACAAATCTACACGTGCTGTTATAGGGTATATAGACACCGAGTAAAGCCCGAAGCCCATTGTCAATGCTGGCAACATCTCATCTTGTGTGTTTAGAAGATTACAAAGCTTTAGCAAGGATAGGTAGAGGCAGAAACGGCCGTACAGTGTTTCCGCGGGAATAAGCTGGTCTGATTAGCTATTAACCTATTGAAGCTGGAGACATTACACACCAGACCATCCCCTATAGACCCCAGTAAAGTGTTCCGCATACATACCATACTTTCGCACCCATCTTTAGCTGTACACATTCTACTCTAAACCCTCGAACGTAGGCTAGTCTCGAGATCTTCCCCCGCAATCTTATCCCCCACATTTTCGGACTGGATTTGTCAACTCCAGGATCAATCAATCATTCTTCCGTCCAGACCATAACCGGAGGCACTTGTGACTCCCTTCATCTCCCTCATACCCACTCTCCATTAGCTCACTGCAATGTCTTGTCAAACCAACACCTCTACGCAGCAAGTTACTCGTGAAAATGCAGACAAGTCTTCTAACCGCCAAGGTTGCGGGTTCTCCTGCGATCAATGCAACGCCAGTTTCAACCGCCTAGCTCACTTACGACGCCATGAGCTCACGCGCAAGTCGCTCCTTTTGCTGTTTCTTGGAGAATTAGCAGCCACTGACCATCTGTAGATGGAAGCGAGAAACCGTACAACTGCATGTATTGCTCCCTAACATCTTCCAGAAAAGATGTCATCGTCCAATCACGGCCTTGGCAACAGAAAGTCCTCTGGCTTTCGAGGCAGGCGTCGCAACAATTCTCACCCCGGAGCTGCTCGTCCGAAAGGATCAAAGAACGGCTCTGCGCGAGCATCACCTGCCACGACGACGGCCCGAGGACAGCAAGATCGTCATTCAGAAGGATTCAACGACGCAATCGAGGAGCGCGATGAGTCTCCGACAAACAATGAGGTAGATGAATCTCAGAGCAGCCAGGCTAATTCGCTGGACATTGCCATGCCCTCGCAGCCCGACATGTTCCCTGCCTATCTTTCAGGGAGTCCCCTGGAATTCAACGCTTCATTCATGGACCCCGACCTCATCAACCCAAATCTTTCCGCCATGTTCGATCTCGACGCGCTTCTGTCGGATGCCCAAGAACTTTTTGGCGAAGTACCACGCTGCAATCCCCCGGAACTACCGACACTAGCCCTGGAGCCACCGATACCCAACAGGCCAACTACTCTCGGTCACCTTCCTTTGTCATCACACTTTCTTGGCATACAAATGTTAAGAAAGTGGCCCTGTCTACGCCTAAATCCTTAACAAGTGCACAA